TGTCATGTCATCCTTCTTCTTTTGCTCTTGCACCTGCTTCTTCGTCGATTCCAGTGCCATCCTCTGTTCCGGGCGCTGGAGTGCCTTCGCCTACTAGTGTCTCTCCGTCTGTAGTTGAAACATCTCTTCACCCACAGAGTCGACGCCGTCTTTGCTCTCCGGCGTGGGACCATCCTCATCTGTAGGTGTGGCAGGGCCGTCTCTGTCTTCAGGTGTGAGTATAGATTCTCCTGCTGTTTTTATGTCGTCTTTGCCTTTGGGTCTTGCGTCTATGATAGTTTCGGGCGTTGGGAATTCCTTCTCGTCCTGCTCAGGTGAGGGACCGTCTTCATCTCCGGTTGTTACACCGTCAGGTTTTATGCCTTCTGCACTTTCCGGTGTCGGTCCGTCCTCGTCTGTAGTCGCAGGTCCGTCTTCTCCAGTTCTTTCTCCTTCACTCTCGGGCGTTGGGATGTCATCTTTTGCTTGAGACGGATCGTCGCCATCTTCAGTTGTTCCTTCCTCTGTATCCTCAGGCATGTCGCCGTCGTCACTTTCCGGCGTGGGTTCATCCTCCGACGTAGCACCATCTTCGTCGACAGCTGTACGTCCGTCTTCTCCAACTGTTTCGTCACCGTCTTTGGTCTTAAGTCCAGCATCAGCTGTACCATCGGGCGTCAGAGTTTTTCCATCTTCAGTTGTCACACCCTTTTCGTCTTCTGGCTCTTCACTGTCTTTAGTTTGTGGTGTTGGACCGTCCTTATCTTCAGGCGCGCTACCATCGTCAGTTGCAGGTGTTGGTTTGGCTTCCCCTGCAGTTGTTTCGCCGTCTTCAGGTTTAGGTCTCGTATCAACTACACTCGCTGGCGTTGGAAACTCGCCCTCCCCGGGCGATGGATCCAGTTCTTCTCCTGTCAAACCGTCTCCTGTGACACCTTGGCTCTCTGGCGTTGGACCATCTTCCTCCTCGGCCGCCACTCTATCTTCCCCTTCTCCCGTCACGCCGTCGTCGTCACCAGGCTGCACCAAGGCTGCAGGGTCGGCTGTCGCGCTGACGTCATCGCCGGTAGTCACACCTTCTTCTTTCGGAGACACGCCGTCAGTCTCAGACACCTTAACGTCCTTTCCCTCAGCAGTTTCTGCCCCGCTCCCTTCCAGTTCTGCTCCAGAAGCTTCCTCTTCGACACCCGACCCCTCGTGATCTACACCAGATCCTTCTTCACCGCTTCCTTCCAACTCTGCTCCAGACCCTTCCTCTTTGTCTGCTTCTGTTCCACTTCCTTCGATCCCTTCCGCTGATCCCTCAGGCTCGGCACCGGAGCCCTCGTGAAGTTCCTGAGGTCCTTCCTTCTCAGGAGTCTTGTCCTTGGATGTTGTGTCGTCTTTTCCTTCTGTGTCTCCATCTTCATCGCCTGGCTCTGAAATGGGTGTGGGGCCGACCTCACCCTCAGCTGTCTCCCCGTCTCTTCCTTCAGGCTTGGTACCATCTTCACTAACAGGGGTGGAAGGTCTCCCACCTGAGTGGTACGACCGTCTGTCTCTTCAGGTGACACACTGTCTTCTTCTCGCGGTGCTGTGTCGTCTTTGCCGTCTTCTTTGGTGGCATCTTCCCTATCCGGAGCAATAATGTTTTCAACCTGAGCCGTGGGACCTTCTGTATCAGCAGGAATCACGCCTTCTTCTCCTGTCGGTGTGTCTGAAACATCTGTGCCGTCTAGCTTGGCAGAATCGATACTTTCCTGAGTCGGAAACTCGTCCAATGTAACGTCGTCATCCCTATCTGTTGCGGCACTGACTTTACTCAATGGCGTTACAGCGTCTTCACCTGCAGGCTGTACACCGTCTTCACCTGAAGGCGTTACACCGTCTTCACCCGCAGGCTGTACACCGTCTTCACCTGCAGGCGTTACACCGTCTTCTTCTGCAGGCGTTACACCGTCTCCATCTTCAGTTGCCTCGTCGTCTTTGTCAGTACCAAGTTCAGGTTCGGCAATTGGACCTTCGTCTTCCTCAGTTTCCCCTTCAACAGTTCTAACCGCCTCTGGATACGTATCTTGGTCTTCCTCACCATCTTCTGACTGGGGCGTTGTGTCGACATCACCAGTGAGGCCTGTGGGGCCTTCCTCTTCAAAGGAGAATCCGTCCTCCTTCTCGGGTATCGTTCCGTCCTTTTCGTCTTCGGATTCTTCTCCAGTTCTATCCCGTTCTTGTTCTGGAACTTTTCCCTTGGCATCCGAACTTTCATGGACTTGCCCAGACCCTTCAACACCAGAGCCTTCATGGTCTACTCCGGATCCTTCACCCTTTTCCCCCGATCCTTCATGGTCTATTCCCGATCCTTCATCCTTTTCCCCCGAGCCATCATGGTCTATTCCAGAACCCTCCTCTATGAGTCCCGAGCCTTCAGGGGCTTCTGTAGGCCCTGTTCCCTCTCTCAATGTTTTAGCATCCTTCGGCTTGGGTGTTATGGGGTAAGGTTCGTCTGGTGTGGTGCCGTCTTTATCGTCAGGTCCTGTAGCATCCTCGGCGGTAGGTCCTTCCTCGTCCACAGGTGTTTCCTCGCCTTTGTCTTCCGTTGTAACATCGTCTTCACTTTCCGGAGTTGGACCAGCTTGATCGGTTGGCGTCTCCCCGTCGTCTGTAGTAGCGCTGTCTCCATCTCCAGCTTCACCTTTTGGTGTTGGGACCTCTTCATCTTCATGCGTTTTCTCGTCTTTATCTTTGGTTGTCTGGTCATCTGTACTGTCGGGCTTTGCGCCGTCTTTACTCTCGGGAGTTGGGAGTTCATCCTCTTCAAGCAGTTCTCCATTTTCTCCCTCCGCCGTAGAGGCATCTGTAGTGTCGGGCACCTCGCCGTCTTCAGTCGTCACCGTCGGCCTGTCTTCTTCCTCTGCTGCGGTAGCGTCTGAACTGTCGGGTGCCTTGCCGGCTTCAGACGAAGTCGTTGGGTCGCCTTCTTCCTTTTCTGTAGTAGCGTCTGTGGTTGGCCCTTCTTCTCCTTCTGGCATCACGACGTCTTCAGGCTCCGGCGTTGGAACTTTTGTGACCACAGGTTCCTTTAGGTCCTTCCCAATGGCGGTTTCTACGCCACTCCCTTCTAGTTCTGCTCCCGATGCTTCCTCCTCGACACCCGAGCCCTCGGGGTGTTCCCCTGATCCTTCTACACCGCTACCTTCCAGTCCAGATCCTTCCTCCTCGCCCGTCTCTTTTCCACTCCCTTCAATCCCTTCAGCTGACCCCTCCTCCTCAACGCCTGATCCTTCATGGATTGCTGCAGGTTCTTTTCCCTCGGGCGTCTTCTCATCTTGTTCTTGGATCATCGTGTCGTCCTTTTCTCCCGTGGTCGTACCGTCTTCTGGCTTTGTATCATCGTCAGTAGTTGGCGTAGGGATGTCTTTACTTTCGGACGGCTCGCCATCTTCACCTTTTGTAGCTGCGTCTGTGCTTTCTACAGTTGGGCCGTCCTCTGCGTCGGGCCTGACATCATCCTCAGGCTGAGACGTTGGGCTTTCTGCATCATCAGACGTCACCCCATCAGGCATGGGCCCATCTCTATCCGTTGCCGTTGGTCCATCCTCCCCATCCTCAGCTTTTACGTCGTCCTTGTCCTTAGGCTTCGCACTATCTTTGGTCTCAGGTGTTGGAAATTCGACCTCATCAGGCGTCTCTGCGTCTTCTCCCACGGTTTGTGAGTCTTCCGGCCCATCCGTTGTATCTGCGATTGTCTCTGGTGTAGGACCATCTTCGCCCTCGGATTCCGCCATGCCATCAGCTTTCGGCATCCCATCTAGTTCGCCTTCAGGCGTCTCGACGTCTTGCCCTACATCAGTCACGCCATCTACTCCCTCGGGCTTTACGTCTTCTGGCTGATAAGTCACATCTTCGGAGGTATCTGGCGTGGGTCCATCTCCATCCTCCGGCTGTTTTATAGCTTCAGCTTCCGGAAACGTGTCTTCTTTACCTTCGGTCGTCTTAGCGTCTTGTTCTTCACTTGGCACGCTATCTTGGTCTTCATGTCTTACATCGTCAGGCTGAGACGTCGTTTCAACGATTGGCTGTGCAGTAGAATCATCTCCATCTTCTTGCGTTTTTATATCCTCGGCTCTAGGCACCTCGCCGTCTTCGGGAGAGGACATACTTAGTTCGTCTTCCTCCTCTGGCAGTAGACCATCTCCAGGCTTGGGCGTTACCCCGGTGTCATCACCTTTGTCTTCCTTTGGAGCCATCACGTCTGTTTCAGATACCTTTGCGTCTTTTTCATCAGGTGTTTGAACCCCACTTCCTTCCAGTTCTTCTCCGGATCCTTCCTTCTCGAGGCCAGAACCCTCGTGGTGTTCTATACCACTCCCTTCCATCTCTACTCCAGACCCCTCCTCCTCACCTGTCTCCGTTCCACTTCCTTCAATCCCTTCGGCTGATCCCTCGGGCTCGACCCCGGAGCCTTCATGGACTTCTGATGTTCCTTCGGCCTCGGGAGTCTTCTCGCCTTCCGTCTTAGTCTTGTCGTCTTTATCTTCTTTGATCTCCTCGTCTTCAGTTTCAGGTTGAATCGTGGGCGTGGGACTTACTATACCATCAGTGTCTTGTCCATTTGTCTCTTTGTCAGCTTTTACGTCCTGCTCTACATCACTGATATCGGTAGGCATCGGACTGTCTCCATCGTCCGTCGCTGTGTCGTCTTCACTCTCAACGGGTGCTCTAATGTCTGCGCTCACTGGCGTTGGAACGGCTTCGCCAGGCGCAGAACCGTCTCTATCTTGAGGCGCTGTGCCATCCTTATTGTCAGGGCTCGCGTCTTCAGCACCACCTGCTGTTGGAAGCTCTGTATCCTCTGTCGTGACGTCATCACCAGGCGTCAGTCCGCCTTCACCATCAGGCGTCACATCATCTTCACCCTCGGGTGTCACACCGCCTTCACCATCAGGCGTTGGTCCGTCTCCACCCTCGGGCGTCGGTCTGTCTTCGCCCTCGGGCATCGGTCCGTCTTCACCCTCGGGCGACGGTCCGTCTTCACCATCGGGCGTCGGTCCGTCTTCACCCTCGGGCATCGGTCCGTCTTCACCCTCGGGCGCTGGTCCGTCTTCACCCTCGGGCGTCACACCTTTTTCGCCCTCGAATGTCTCGGTGATTGGGCCTTCTTCACCCTCGGGCGTCTTGGCTGTTGGGCCTACTTCACCCTCGGTCTTCACACCGTCTTCAGCCTCGGGCGTATCAGTGGTTATGCCTTCACCACCCTCGGGCGTCAGGTCATCTTCATCCCCAGGCTTCACGCCATCTTTGCCATCTGGTTCTGTACCATCCTCATCTTCAGGAATCCCTGGCTCCTCTTTCTTAGATACCTGTGTATCTTTTCCATCACGTATCTCCGCCCCACTTCCTTCAAATTCTTCCCCCGAGCCTTCAGGATCAACTCCCGACCCTTCTAAGACTTCTCCCGACCCTTCTGGGGCGTCTCCTGACCCTTCCTGGAGTTCTCCTGATCCTTCTGGTCCGTGTTCTCCTGATCCTTCCGCCGCTTCTGTCCCACTTCCCTCAGACATGTCACCTGACCCATCGTCTGCAACACCTGACCCCTCCTGGGACGTCCCAGTTGAGTCCGTGTCATCCTCCGTTACAGCCTTAGCAACGACTTCGCCAGTTGTGCCTCCGCTTTCCTGGTTTCCATCCAAGTCCCTTTTTCTCAGGGATTTTCTCAAGGGTTTGCACAGGCCAAGAGCTATCACCCCTCCCACAGCAAAGAGTACCAGCAAGACGGTCCGAGTCCGCATGGTCGCAGCTTATATCTCTCCCTGACACGGTGAAAGACTAATCACTGCAAGAGTCTACCAATGATGCCCCCGCGCTCTTCGATACCCGGGAATTAATCCTCTCAGGTTCTCCTTTCTCCCCGCCGGAGAGTCGTATTCAGGGGGCCAAAGCGTGCCCAGGTAGCAGGCTGTTCGCAATTACGCGTCGCACCTCCCCTGGTTTGGATATATGGGGTGAGTCGAGCTGGTGGGCATGAGTCGGCCGGTGTACGTTCCAGCGAGGAGGCGGGACGACGCGGTGTCGGCGGGGTCAGACGCGCAAGGGAGAGATCCGGGCAGGTCGTCTCGCGACGATCCTTTTGATTTGTTTAACCCCTGCCAGGGGTCGATTTGGTGCGTGTGTCAAAGTTACATTCAGGAGTAGCAGATCAGTTTATAACAGTAGAGAGAGCATCGCACTCTACATATATAAACAGAAGTGAACGGGGTTTATAGAATGCCCGGTCCCACGTGTAGACACTTGTAGGATAAGAACGCTGCCAAAGAAATCAGCCTGGTGTAACCTGTTGGGCTAACTTCGTTATCACCAAAAGGGGAGCCGCCTTGTTCTAATTTTCCTACATTTCTGAGTAGTCATTCCCAGACCTCCGAACGCGGCCCAGACTAAACCTGCGCCCCTGCCGAGACGGGGACATAACCAGAACGGTCTGCGCCACCGCCGGCTTTCTCCGCGCTCAGCACCGGGAGAGTTATCACGTAATTCAGGCGAAATGAAAACCATAAATACACATCTGAACATGACACAAGTCCTCCTTGAAACCGTATCCGCAATTTAACGCTTTTAATATATCTGCATTTCCTTTAACTATGGGAACATTTGAGATAATGGAAAACCTGGATAGTATGAGTGAGTGATTAGGTGTGAGTCGATGCGATATCGGTGCTTGTTGTTTTCAGGTAGCCGGTGTACAGTGATAGATTTCCTATTTTACACTTGCTGCGATCAATTCATGATTCTACACCACTGTTGCAAGTTGTTAGCATAAACTTTCCACAACTATTTTGTTCGTCTATCTGGGCGTCAACATTTCTGGTTTTGAATTTGCTGACTCGAATCAACTCTGTCTAGATGCAGATGTTCTAGTGCATATTTGTCGCCTAAATAAAACCTAACGCCCTGTAATGTAAAGAGAAAGGACCTCCCTCCAAGTTGACCTAGCTAAACTTGCTCCACTTTTTCGGATTCTCCAAACACCACCCCCGGTGGGTCTTTTAATCACATTTAGTCCAAGCGCTACAAAATAAAGGATTGGGTTTATTGTCGACTCAATGTAGATGAATTTAGGAGTGTGTTTTGCATTGACGACGTCCTCGATCGGGACAAGACGTCATTTCCAGTTCAGGGATTGTAGTGACAAAAGCGGCCGCTTGAGATCTCTGCATCACATGAAACGTAGGAATGTAGTTTTCTGTAAAGTCGACAGAGGTCCCTGTTGTACAACACTTAAAAGTCAGGGCAAGCACAACAGGTTGAGAATAGTTATAAAATAGAATAACACGAATGGAAAAATGTGGTGCTCCTATATATATATTATATGTAACATCCGTGTCCATAATATCACCAGGGTCCATAATATCGCCACCTTGAGAAATAGTGTGCTTTAAAAATTATAAGATATTTTTCCTGCAACATACTTTTGGTATGCACTCCTGCACACCTCAAATATACATACCTAGGGTATGTTGCAGTAAAAATATCTTTAAGCACACTTTTTCTCAATGTGGCGATATTATGGACGCTGGTGATATTATGGACACGGATGTTACATATTCCTATGCACATAGCTCCACATGGGCTTTAAAATGTCGATAGATTTGCCATGTTGATTTGATTATATGGATGACATCCACGCGCACATGAAAATTTTTCAACCATAATGTAAATCGTACAAAACAGTTGCAAAGTAAGCAAATATATACTGTAAGTTGACCCAAGAAAAGATAGGAAAACGATACCAATGTCGTAGAATGCGAAAATCAAAAGAAAAAGACGAAAATGTAAAGAAATTAAATTGAAGACTAGATTATTCGCCATACCATACCCTGTGTCATTTGTTCAACCTTCACGACCATGTAGATTTCATAACGAACTTTCAGCAACTTTTTTTTGCCAACGTTTTTTTTTTTTTATTCGCACGCTCGCGTCAGTTTTGGGGTTCCCAGAGATGTCATCCATATAATCAAATCAACATGGCCTAAGCAGGTATAGAACAGCCAGCACCCAACACCTGCATGGAGAACGGCCCACGTTCCAGAGCGCCCGGGTCGGTTGTGACGTTGCATGGTGACGTCACGCCAGTGGTAAACAAACCTATCAGCCGAGCCATAGCTGCAGCAGCGGACCTGTTGGCCTGACGTGAAACAGTCGGTGGTGCAGCGAAAAGCGTCACAGGTAACGCCTTTTATGGCTTCTGTTTGTACCTTGGAATGTCTTCCACGTCTTCTATTTTGTATTCTAGAGACAACGCTGGTTGTTTTGCACGGTAGCGTTCTGCAAACCGTTTGTAAGAGGGGAGGGGGGTGCGCTGTATTAAAACTTCTTGTCTACAGGTGTTGTCTCAGGAGTGAAAATGACGTAATTTTGCAAACAAGATCTCCAAAATGGACACCAAATTTGCTTGTGGAATGTTGCACAAACTCTACGACGGGAAAGTTTTGATTTAGAGTTTGGCAAAAACGGATTGGCGAGGCGGTGGGTGTTAAAGGGTTTGAGACGATCCAGCTTTGCAATGATGATGCAATACACGGTACAATGAATGGAGGGAGGGAGGGGGGCGTTATCGATCGTTTAGTACTTCTGTTGTAAGAGGTCTAAATCGTGTGTTCCCTGCCCATAACGTCACATGAATATGGTTTTCAGAACAAAGAACCAGAAGTGTCGTTGAGTGTTGTTGTTTTTTTTTTTACTTTGGGATATCAATATTACTTTATAGCAATATGCCATAGGGACAATGCATTGCGTAGATACCCTCGTTGTCACGAAACAACTTTCATATGAAGTTGAAGTTGTAATAACGGTTGCTTTTTATGTGGCAACCTTGACACGACCTTCAGAAATCAACATGGCGGACGAAGTGGACGAGTACGAACACTACAACTACGAGGCGGACCGAATCGCGGCCAAGGGCAGCGGCAAGGGGCGGTCCAAAACCGAGCAGCGGGAGCGCACGCACTCCGACCCGAGCGGAGAGACGCGCAAGATCGTCACCAACATCCAGAACGCCGAGAAGAAGGAGAAGGAGAAGAACTTGACGAAGCAGGCGCACGCCGCGCAGCACGCGAAGAAACAGTCCTGACGACGTGGCGGACAGGTAACACTGACCTTTGCACCCACCCAGGTAGTCTGGCTTAGGAACGTGGGAACTTTGCCACATTTTCATTTTTTTTCTCTCCGTGGCAGAAACAGAAAAAAAGAAAAATATTTGATAATTATAATAGAAAATCTACTAGAAATTTTTGCATCCTTAATAATAAAACTAAACAATAACAAAACTACAGGCCATCCAGACTTCAAAACAAAATGATAAAAAAATCGATACGAACGCTGCTAGACTTTGTTGACTTCTGAGATTATATCAGGAGAGAGGTATAAACATAGGTTCTTGACTACGCTCGCTGTATAAAGGTGAGTACCAAACAAAGGGTACATGGGGGACACGGTCGTTTAAACACGAACAACAAAACATAAAATCATTAAAGACTATGGTTTAACTGAGAGGAAATTTCATATGAACTATCAACATGTTTTATTTTTCTTTATACTACGTTCGCTTGCTTTGCTTTAGTGTATTTTAGTTTCAACTGAGGCTTTTGTAACTACAGAAATTTTCGTTGGTGTAAGCACTTTGATGGCATTACATTTGATGGGTTTAAGTACTATGTTCATCAATTTCTGTTTGAAAAATGTACAGCAAAACTCTACGTTATTTTGATTTTTAATATCTCGTTTATGGTCGCATTTTTGTTGACGTATTTTCGGTTGCCCTTACAGGAATAATTTGAGGCCAGTTTGAAGAAAGAACAGGAACTACAACGGATCTAATGATTACGGAAACACGGACTTGTTGCCTGTTTTTAGGGACTTCCTTTTGAATAAAACGTTACAAACGTTTAAATCCCGTGTCGGTTGTAAACAACCTTTGGCGGGAAAAACAGGAGCCCACTTGAGCGCCTCTCAGAGTGCCAAAGTGCAATGACCGGAGATGACATAGCAACATATTATGGTCTAGATAGAGTTTCGTGTTGTGACGTCATACGATGTTTACGTACCGTTACCTGATGAAATTGTGTAGAACTTCGGGGACGGATCATGAAAGATGTAGGGGTGGGTAGGTAAAATGGCAAAAATACGATACGAAATATTGACCGTTAAAAATAAAAGTTACACCATACGTATGAAAGACGCCTGGTGCCATCACTCTAAACTACTGTCTTCCATCAAGTATATTTCAAGGTTGCCCAGAAAGTATTGAAAAAAAAATACGTATTTTCCCCTAAACATGCTATGATGCAATACCTACCGCACACACTAGGCGACGCTTCAATCTTCACTCTAAAGGCTCACAAATAGTAGTAGTACGATATACCATAAACACGCAGAAGAAATTTTCGCTACATCAAATGCAAACACAATGATCTGTCAGTTCACTAAATTTTCATAAGAGCAGATTCTTGAGCATTTCTATATTGTAGCGGCTTTTACGTTATTTAGGGAATTAATCCGCGATATACACGCCACAGTCAGGCATGAACGTTATTGAGGCATTACAGGCATAACAAGTACTCCGGCAATGGGGTATAAATCTGTTGTTAAATACCAATGATATAAACCCTGATATTCACCAGTAATGAGGCGTTAGCTGGGTACCGATTAGTGGCACGTCTGCGCGCTATTAAAACGCCGTTAAACGTGTAGATGACTTAGGCCATGTTGATTTGATTTTATGGATGACATCCGCGCGCTCATGAATTTTCGACCGTTTCCAAAAAAAGTTTGAACAAATATATACCGTAAGTTGAAAAAAAACTAATTTTGAAAACGATACCAATGTCGTAGAATGCCAAAATCAAAGGAAAAAGAGGAAAATGTAAAGAACTGAATTTGAAGACTACTCTTGTGTCATTTGTTAAACCTTCAAAACCACGTAGATTTCATAATGAAAGCAACTGTTTTGGGGCCATTTTTTTTATTCGCACGCGCGCATCAGTTTTGGGGTTCCCAGAGGATGTCATTCATGTAATCAAATCAACATGGCCTTACTGATTTAATCTCTAGTATATGTGCGCATCCCACGTCGACGTCCCATGTGGCTTGAAATGAGATCGGGGTTTCCTTTCAGTCGCGTCTTTTTTCCTGAGATAGTTCTGCAGTTTTAACAGTCATTAAAGTCTTACGGCTCAACTTGTTTGCAAACCGTGAAGCCAGGCAACCGTGACGTTATTTGTCATCAGTCTTACCACATCCTTCATTCCCGTATTAGACGTCGTAGCTTTACCCCTAGGGTTTCATATCCTGAAATAGTTGGCTCTGTAGCTGGATGTGAATATTTGGTATGGAGTGCTAGGGAGTTTATATCGTCCACCGTCTCTGTTAAGAGATGGCTGGATTGTTGTGATATATATGGCCTCCTTAATGCCTCTTAATACGTAGTCCTGTTCAGTGTCCAGTATTGATATAGTGCTACATGTTTGTTAAGAAGCAAAGGAGACGGCGTTTCCCCCCGTGACATTTTACCGTGCTAGACCCGAAGCTATCCCGGTGGTTTGATGCATATCTCCCCGGCACCAACTCCTGCACGGCCCGCTGCCGCCCCTATGAAGGAATCCCTCAACTTCAGCACACCACCATTTAGGATATCCGCTATCCCATCTGGGTAAAACATTCAGGTCATCAACACACGCGCACTTCACGTAATACAACATGAATCAAGCAACTGGATATACTGTTTCAACACTCAGACGTTTCAGAGAGCACCCTCAATATTTCAGTGTGCCGACAACCGGTACCTTTGCCAAGATTTGTACGTATAAATGTCCTAACATACCTGTGGAGTCTACGCTCCCCTGGACCCGCTCAGGTTATCCATGAAACCATCAGGCTAACCTGACAGGCCGTTCCGATGTGCTTCCCGCACGGCGCCGGCCCGGTAATGGGAGGTACGCCGCGGAGTCTACAGGTGTATTATGTCTGTATAGAACAGTTCTCTGGTTGGGTGCAAGCGGACGTCTAGACGTCTAGCTATAGGTAGACAATGGGAGGATAAGGCTCTCCAAGATTAGTCTCCACCAGGCTTTTCTACAGGAATACGGATAGTAGAATTTGACAAAAAGGAGAGTAAAATTGGCCAGGGGAGTCAGGCCGCGGAAGGTTGTTTCTTTCCCTGCGCGGCCAGTCAAACCTCAAGGCGGTCAAACTCCCCCTGGCAAATATTCTCCTACATATATCCAGCGTAGTTAGTCTGGTAGAGACTACTCCAAGATGTAGGCTGTTTGCTTTTGTGGAATTTTGTACATCTTTAGTTATCTGCGTGTGTAGTTTTTTGCATGTCTTTCACTTTGTCATGTCTTGCCCTACTTTTATTGAAGAAAGAAAGAAAGAAAGAAAGAAAATAATTGAATAAGAAAGGCAATAATTAATTCAGTCAAGCATGGCTTATTATAAGACCGTACCACGTGGACACACACCAATATTTCTTCAGTGTTTGTGAGTGTGCACTGTGTTTCTGTTGGCATTTTAAAATATGTTGTTATGCAGCTCTATAGATTAGCCGGTCGATCTGTTACTATATCCCTCCCTCGGCTACAGGTTACTTACGTTCGAAGTCTTCCAGCTTCTGTTACTTAACAATCACGTCCAGGTCCATCTGTCTTAGAGACGCGACGGCGAGACATTTAATAGTTCCTTGTAGTGTTGCTAGTGTTGATGAACCTTCGCGCCGTGTACATGCGCTGGATAATGGACTCGTCGTCTGCGAAAGTTCTGTGTTCCAACTTTTCCTGCTCATCTTTCACAGGTCAACTCACTGTAACTCTGCCAGACTACACATAGATATACTCCATTGACTTAGCCTCCTTCGCAGACTTGTTGGGTGTCGGCGTTATTTTTTCTGTGAGCGACGCGAGTAATATGCCGCGGAGGGACGATTTGCTGCCGAGGGAGTTTTTGCCGCGGAGAGAAGGAGCGCGAATCTATCGAGCTGTCCAGGGAAATAGAAGTGATATGCCATAAGAACAAAAACGCATTATGAAATTTTTAAAAAGTCGTAGTCTGCTAAGGAACCTAGTACATGTACATGTACTTGCGGTGTGTTTTACCTCACTTACACAGTTACAGTTTATTACATCTAAACATTCTTAAATGTATTGCATATATTTGGACACTGTACAGATTGTCTCCTCCTAACATATGATGGAATGTACAGGCGGGATCAATTATATCAAACTCTTGTGAGTGATGTAGAAATCAGCGGCGGGTCTGGCTGGAGGGTCGGGCAGTCGGCATGACTGATTCCCGCCCGTTTGTCTCGGCCTGACAGACTTATTGGACTACAGGCATATTGCATCCCGTCGCCATCCCTCATATGCCTTACGGTGGGCGCCACTTCATCATGGCACAGGGGTGGAAAGTTCACACATGACAGAGGACTTCTGTAGAAAACAGACGATCTGACCCCCTTCTCCAAAAAGGAAAGTTTCTGTTTACAAAAAGCCTGACGACATATCCTGAAAGTTCATCTGTCTTGGTAGAAGTCATTATGAAACAAGTTTGAACTGCAATATCCAACAGAAATTGGACTTACCCAAATTTTCAACTGTACAACTCCAGTCTTTGTCAAGAAATGAGCAATCCATTGCATCTGTGACGTCACGCAGATATCGCACCTGAATCCGTGAGCAGTGGATCATAGGTTGCAGAAAGTCTGTTGCGCCCCCCGTCTCTGTTGAGGGATGGTTGTAATGCCCTGATGGAGTTGTACAGTCGAAAATTTGTTGTGTTGGATTGCAGTTCAAACTTGTTTCATAAAGCCTGACAAAATGTGTGTGTAGATGTCGAATAAGAAAGAAGTATTACTAAGATTGGACAGTCTTATAAAGACCAGGACTACAAAAAGTCATAGTTCAACGTGATGTCTGCGGGATGATATCCGGGGTCCTTTCCTCCTCTCCTTCCGTTTCCGCTTTCTGTGCACTTCCGGTTCCCTCTCCAGACCCAGCTGGTACATGATCTGAAACGAGAGGATTGTGGTAAAGAAAAAAGACTACTAGAAAGGTAACATTTGCAAATGCATAATGTTTACCTTCGCATATGGTCTGCTCTGTTAATTCTTACTCAAACACATTCATATATATGGTGCCAGGAGTCTAAATACCTCCTGCTATAAAATTGCAACGTGATATAACCCAACTCTAGTTACCATGGTGACAGACGTCTGGTTCAGGTCGTTGGCCAAATTTGGAGAAGAAGACGAAACAGAGCAAAAACAATATGTCGAAGGTAAACATAAAAATTCATGTCTGTCGTTAACGTTAACATGGATGTGTATGCAGAGCACAGTCACCTTTTTTCAGCTTCCACTATACATCGTTCTATGGCACGTACGTCATCACCCACTCAGGTAATCAGACTCGTAAGTGCAAACAATTAAAAGTAAGTGAAGGCAATTACCGCTCCCAGTGTGAAATTACGGAAGACCCTCCTTCGCGCACGTTTGTCTCTGAAAACCGAGGCCGCGTTAACCTGATTTTACAGATGATATCCACGCGCGCTGTCATTCCATTACCTCCGTGTGCGTGTACGGAGGTTTAGTTTTCGGTGTGCCGGTTTGTGTGTGTACATGTGTGTGTTTGCTTTCTTTTCCATGACGGTCAGTGCCACATGCTAGGCACGTCAAGGACCTTGACAGGACGTTAGGTCAAAGGTCCTAGAAAAGGTTATCTCGTTTCCTGATTTCAATTTCGTTCTATATGCTTATCTGTTGCTTAGAAGCCATATCTTAACTGGGTTGGACTCTGTATATAGCTAATTTAGTGTGGCCCAAGTACGTACCTGCTTTACTTGTTCGTGCAGTCCTTCCCAGTACGTTTCGTTGCGGTTGACTGCTCCCAGCATACGCCCGACCTTGATAGGAAGAAAAAAATGATCAGTGAGGCCAACTCGACAAAGTGAAATATGCCGGTATTTGCAAACTCGGGATTCTGATTGAAAAACATCGATTTTTGTGTAACGGTCAGGCTTGGGGTGTTCCGTGAGTCGGCCATCCGTGGGTAAAACGTTTCCATCATCATCACGTACTGACTGCCGTGTCCTCTACACATGTAATGTACGCATCAATTTATTCGTATTAAAGATCTCTATGTTTTATCTTTGTCCTAAATTTTAGTCATTATTTATAAATAGGCTGTAGTATTTAACTTTCTCCCTCAAGTCTACTTCCTTTTTTTTTTCAATTTACTAAATGTTCATTTCATACTGGGAAAAACAGTCCCAATTTGTTGGAAATTTAATAGTGTTAAGGTGGTAAGTGCAGAAATTCAGCTGATGTTTAGTTCATGTTGTCCTCAGTGAGGTTACACCAGTTCCTCCACAGATTTCTGGGCAGAAAGAAACATGAATTGTGTTAACACATGTACTATGCCTGTCCTTGGTGCTGAACGCTTTCCTTTACTAGCAAATAATATAATGCCTACTGCTCACTGTTGCGTTTTCTTTATGCTTTATGTTTTGAACGAGGTCTTCACCAATTGTTATACCGATACCTAAAGTTGACCACAAAAACACGTAAAACTGTAAAACATCTGCGTAGAATGAACAGACCGGTGCAACAAACTCCTGGGCTGAGTGTTCGTCTTGAATTCGGGGTATCGTGGATTCAAACCCCGGCCAAACGAAATATAATCCTGCTTTCTCTACCAAGCACATTTCAGACAGAGTATAGGAGTTGAACACAAATCACTACCATTGGACTGGCCCCTGCTGTATTGGCCATGTGTGTGGGGAGTTGAAACTATGGGAGTCAAGAATACACCATTGCCAGTGGACCAGCTCCGTAGTGTAGTGTCCCTGTGTGACCTAAGGACTATAGAGAGAAACGGAAAGAAAGCGTCGCACTATACACTAAAAGGTGTGGAAAGGATTTTAACTATATAAACGTATGACTTTGCTGATGACTAGTACCTGGTGACTGTATTAGTTTGGCCCATGTAAAGAACCTGTAGACTTCTGTAAGCCTGACGTACTAATCCGAGCTCGTGGCTTTGATGAATGGCCGGCTGTAAACCGAGCAGACTTGAGCCGCTTGGGGAAGACAGTATAGGCGAGGCGACTGAGCGGCTCGAGTGGCTTAACGGTAAAAAGGTTGGATGTCAGTGTTCCTGGTAAGAGGATTTTTAGGGTGTGAACTATCCTGTCAAAACCACCGCCGCTTTGATACAGATAAGATAACCGAAGACGGGGGAATACTTAACTTAACTGTCTTAACGGCAACAAGTCGTTGTGCGTCCATGTCTCAAGTCATTGAAAGAATGTAGCACTATATCTGTGAGGAATCAAAGCTTACTATGCAGAATGTCAGGTACTGTAGAATGTATAATATGCATGTAGAATATACGGGTATACGTACTGTCATAAACCTCGCTGAAAACCGAACGACAAATATGTGACCGTGCCGTTACTGTACATATTGGCTTTGGGCCTGTATCACCATGTAGTTTATAGTATATTCTGATGATATTCATCTTTTTTCTTGTTAACAGACCAAACAAACACGGCACTGTGCATATGGTTTTTACCACACCCCTTTAGTTGCTGTTGACACTGCCCAAATGACGTGATGATTTTAAAATTTCCAGAAAACTTGGTCATAGAATTCTAACGGCTGTTGTTGCTACGTAATTTTGTACGTAATTCTGTTACAAGATAGCTCCTTTGGCAAATCATTCATCACCCCATCTGTCCAATTTCACTGTTTTTGTCCGCATCCCGAGGGGCCTGTTGGAGACTAGCCGCCGTCCACACGATAAATCCCGCGGATCTGCCGGGTGCAGGCGGCGCACGGAGGGGTAATCTCCAACCCGATATCGGCACAAACTCTGCCCCGACGACTTTCAATTACAGCGCGCAGCACCGTGAAATTAGATTACTTTGCCGATGTCAGAGCCGGGCAGTTTGGCATGCAGGAGCGCGGGGCGGAGGAACGCGCGGGATAATGCGGGGCGAGACGGGTCGGTAACGGGAGAGAGTACCGGCCGTTAGGCGATACTTACACACACGCGAACAACTGGCGGTGATATAATACCTTTTACAGGGGGGTTGTAAAGTATAGGATCAAGAAAATGCTTAGAGACAGAAAATGGAAAGTGGTATCAGTTTCAAATGGATCTTTCGTACTTTGGGCTGCTGATGTAAAGAAACATGGATTTTAACTGCCTTGTCACTCCTCGTAACGGAGATCGGGACTCTGATGCATCGGAACTGCTACGAAGCTGATTTAGTGCCGGACTTGGGATGTGGAGTGTTTGGCTGTGTTGTGTTATGCTCTGCGGAAATTTGCTGTGTTTTGAATCTGACATTAATTTGTTGGAATGGTTACTAGTATTGAAATATGATAGGAAAATTCTAGATTCGCCTGCTGGTAAATTCTAGATTTGCCAGCTGGTAAATTCTAGATTCGCCTGCTGGTAAATTCTAGATTCACCTGCTGAAAATTCAACAAAATTCAGACTGATACCAAATAAATGTATGTCTTCCGGTTGAGTAATAAAGATTCATTCATTCTATTGCTTAGCCTAAACAAATGTGACACATGTATTGATAAAAAATATGATCATAAACGAGGAAAGGTCGCCCCTCTTCCGTCATGTCCATTCGTCAATGCCACCGCAGGCTTAACTCCGGACCAGGGAGTGATAGACAGAGGTAAAGGTCCACGGCCTTGCTGATGCTCTAAGGGTAGTCGTTAATCTACTTGTGATGTGTCATGGGTACAACAGTGAAAGGTGAAGAGCACCGATATTCCTCTCCTTCCACCATGTACAACCTATTACCTCTCCAACCGAAGCCAGATACCCCGTTCACATCTGGGGGAAGTCGAAGAGCCTTTGCCTTGATCTCTTTGAAAACACATCAGACGGTAGAATGTGTAATACATGCCCGTAGCCAGGGGGGGGTTCGGACGAACCCTCACCCCCCACAAGGCTCAAAGGTCCACTTATTATCTAAAGGTCCAAGATTTTTCTTTTCACCAGCTGGGCTGGAATCGTAGAAAAACTGCTCACTCTATCATTGAATAAAAAGTTATCTCTGATTTCTTCTTTCAAATCCTCTCAAAAACGCAGGAAATACCATTTCAGAAAGTTCATCTTTCAAAATTTTCCTGGAGCCCTAGGAACCTATGGCGCTCGCTGGTCCCCTCAACCAGTGGGAAGAACTCCCCCATTCAAAATCCTGGTTACGGGCATGTAATATTTATCTGCTACGACGTGAATGTTTTCGGCAGTCTGGCCCCGTTACCGGTCCAGCGGTCATTCTTTGTCCGGCTGTAATGGCTTTCGTCGGTCAGAGGAAAATTAACATGAAGTCAGACGGACGGGATAATGCCGGCTTGTTAGCTGACCTGTTCAGTACGATATCGGTCAGCGGCCGCTTGATGCCAATGCTAAGTCAGATAAGGCCACAGGCCCACAGCAAGTAAATTTTATGGATGACATCCTCCACAGACTCCAAATCTAATGCGATAGGGCGAAAACAAAACAAGGCGGGCCAAAAAAAAAGATTCCTACATTTTCAAATCTTGATCTTGGTGAACACGACATGATACCTATATTGTGCTAAGTTTACTGCCAACTATTACAACATTCATTGTCACTGAAAAATAAAGGTTTTCAATCATTGTACAAATGGTTTTGATTCAGTGGGAACATCACATATAAAAGGAATGAAATACATCACTGCGTCAAAGTAAAAGACAATCAGAGCCTTGTCTTATCCTGTCTTGATATCTATTTGCCATCCACGTACAGCTCATCTTTGTACATTTTTGCATCCACGTACAGGCATCTTTGCACATTTTCGGCAAGCTGACCACTGTCTGTGGGCAACAAAATTTCTTGCTTTTTTTCAAAATCAGGCGAAATAAAATCAATGCGCGCGCGGGTATAATCTATAAACATTACTTGCTGTGGCCTAACGTTAATTCGCGTGACCGCTGAGTCATATATGCACGGTAAGCAACTGAAAAGGATGTAAGCTTGGCTAGATACATCTACAGACTGAAAAAAAAAATATAAACGCGTCTTGCTACATCTACAGAAGCTCTGTTCGAAGTGCCCGCCCGACCCCGAGCTGAGCAGTACCTGCCCACTGATCGACAAGCTGTCAGAACTATAAGTCTGCGCCGTATTTTGTATCGGAGTGAGTACAATAGGTGGCCGGTAGTGCCTGAGGGTTAGTGGAAATGGTTTTTCAATACTACGGAAAATACCGCATGGATAAGCAGAAACCAAATTTATGTGACACAATTTTTTCCAGTAAAAACAATAAAAATACCATATATGAACAATACACGAGTTTTTTTTTTCCTGCTATGTTGAAATTGAGATGATCACGAAGGCCGATTTCGTATTTCCTCCATGCTATATCTGTATCGGTATAGCCGGTATAACCGTCCTTCGGCGTAACACACCAGCTTCGCGGGCACGCGGCGCGGCGGCAGCTGCACACATTGAGTGGATAGCGAAGTGTTGAAGCATCTTGGTGCTAATTGCCTATAGCTAATTGAATAGTAAACATTCAGGATGACTCACAGTGTGAGTATTCAATGCTCGTCATTTCATTTTCATGGAACTGCTGAACAGGCAACTACTCATTTTCTGGCAATCTGTAGCTAATGAGGTAAATGAGTGTCATAATTAGATGCTGATGACTTCAATATGCGCGTCCATGTTTTTAGTATTCTCTAGTAGTTTCGCAGAAATAATAGTCAACTCGTCCACTTTTGTCTTCGTCACATATTGCTTTCTTCAATGTTTCTCATAAAATCATTTTAAGTGGTGTAAAACAGAAAAATCGTTTCATCTTTTCCCTACTTCACTCATCCACTGCGCTACTCCCCCGTAATCCTACCAAGGGTTACAGTAAGACGTAGTTATTACCTGTAAGGAACGAAATAAGATGTGGTGATCACCTTTAAGGATCTCAGAAGATGCTGGTCCGTGTCTTCCCCTGTCTTTTCCAAGACGTACACCAGCAGGGCGCTAAGTCTCGGATAGTCCTTCTCCAGAGAGGCGTTGCGGAACTGCCGGAGCCAGTCCTCGGGCGGGATGACTTCAGCCCCCGCCGGGCTCTCCCCCTGCCCCCGGGGAAACTCCGACACACTCCGGGCGGACTGAGAGCTCTCTGTAGACCCGTTACTCGTTGTAACTAACACAAACGCCTCCCAGAAATACACCAGCCCTGTGAATAAAATGACGGCACTGGGGTGGTCCAACGCGGACTTCAGGTGGAGAAACATGAGTGAGTCTACCTATGAAAATTTTATCGAGCGGGGCTTTCTGAACTGGCAGCTTCCGCGGCTGGTTATGATCGGCGGGCGCGCTGGGAAATCCCGGGATGATGCGACGGAAAATCAGGGCTGTACCACTCAACAATTTATAGGGGTGGATTTATCAGGGTGATTAGGATGTGTAGACGACGGCGGCGCTAAATGGAAAGCCACAAACTTTTATGGCACGCTTTTTGCAGTAATTACTGTTAAACGGGGAAGGGCGCTGTAAATTGCAATCAACGGGCGATACGGGCAGTTGGGTATGTAGGGTAATATGGCATGGTGGGGGCGATACGATACTTGCACTGTACAACTGGGTGGTCAGGGTGGCCGGTTATCTCTAAGTAGATGGTTGGTGTGCTGTTCCTGTTTGTTTGTGTGTATACATTGTGTCGTACTATCAGTGAATTGGTGTATTGCAATTTGTTTTGTTTTTTTCTATATTCAAACGAGACACGAACATTTCGATAATGTTATTTTCATTGCCTCTCAAAATGATACCCTATAATCCTCATCGTGTGACGCCACTTTCCCTTATGGGTTTTTGATCTTCTGCCAATGCAGTTTCAAATAGAACGCTCATATTTTATATTACATTTTATATAACGTTATATTGTGTGTGTGTCGGGAAGTATGATAGCATGTTTCGCATGCAGCAGTCGTGCGCCTATATCATAGCGAAATGGCAAATTCACGAGAAGGAAGGAGAGATCTCTCCCGCCATCCGATGACCCCAGGGCGGGGATAACTACATTTAACTCATATCTCCGGTAAGCACATCATCCTCACAGAGCATAGCCTGGATCCCAGGCTGTTCCCAGGGCCTAGTCAGGCTAATTCCTCGGTCCCAGAGCCAACATGCTTCCAAGAAAATTTTGTGTGTTAACTCAGTGTCTAAGACAGCGAGGGCTGTGGTAAAATTTCATTGAGGGCATTTTTTATATATTCCAACATTTCATGACTAGACATGGCGACAGCACACTCAAGTTATATCAACTTATTTTATGCCGCCACCAACGCAGAGGCGAATACAGCCAAGACAATAGTCATTTTCACATGAGTTAAGTGAGGAAAGTCGTGTAAAGTGCCTTTCCCAAGGGCACAAGATCGGTGGCATGTCAGGACTCGAACCTGGGACCTCTTGGTTCCTTGTCGAGCCCGCTGCCGCTACGCCACACGACTCCACAAGGGCATGTTGGTCCTAGAGCCAATAAGGAGCTGGTCGGTGTAGGCCCTGGAAATAGTCAGACATACAGGCTACACAGCAGCGGGCTCTTAATGGTTTTCCTCCACATCTGAGCCCGCCCACGTCTCTATAACAACTAATGGGCAAAAGCGCGCTGAAACCATTACGTGTTGCTGAAGTTCGCTTTCACTCCGCTTCTCTGAGCTCTGATTCTCATTACATCGTAGCCAGAAAGTTGAAAAAGCACTTAAAGAGTGGGAAACTCCGCCAGTAAGTACACGGGAAACCTCAGGACTCCTGGCGCAGAGCTTTATTCAACAGCCTTTAGAATGTACACATACATGTACTCTGGTGGGTAGTCTCTACCGGACTCCTTTGGATACTAGAGGGCTACATCTCTACAGACTATTGCGGCGTATGCTGCATGTGTCTAGCCTGTACCAGGCTTCTGGGGCGGCTGGAAATCTTCGGGTACGGCAAACTGTACTCTCTAGTGGACCAACTCCTCGGCATGTTATCTCTCTATTTGGCCGATTTCTACTCTTTCCAGCTGCCTCCCAAAGCCTGGTAGAGGCTAGCTACAAGTATCCCCAGTTGTGACAACTAACAGTAAAGTTTGCTGTGTACATGTCTTTTTTTTCTTACCCTGACCACAACATTCCGGCACATCACCTGTACCTTTATCAGCATGACAATGATTGATTCGATTGAATGATCGTTTTGACTTGATCAGCGTGACAATGATTGATTTGTATTGATTGCTTCGCAAGAATCCGTCTGCCCTGTATTCATGATTTGCTGCTTCTCTGTGACTACTACAGGTTTGACTGTATATCAATAGATCTTATGCATTGGCGGTCACTAGTATAGGTTTGACTGTATATCTGAATCTTGGAATACTCTCTAGAGGTAGATGACGATTATATTTTAGTGTATATATCGGCGCGCTAAGTACAGTCATGATATTTCTCGTAAATTCCTAACATACAGTAATTCTTTGGTGAATAATATCCAACTATTACAACCAGTATCATAGACGTCCATATGGCGTGGAAAAAATTCCAAACTCGCGCGGTTCTGCATTATGCCACAAATGACAAGAATATTACAGTTGTCAAAAAGTGCGTTGTGCAATGCAGAGTTAGTCATGATACGCGTACGTGTACGTTGATCAAATCACTTTTAAAGACCTACCACGCCATCAACACATTTGTATTTTACACCGCCTTCTAAGCGGACCACATGCAATCATAGTATCAAATTTCCCCCAATTTTACTGGTTAAAATGATTTGTCCCTCCAGAAATTTTGGAGTAGCTTTCTGCACGTAAATAGTCTGGGAAAGGTTGACATTTAAGCTTCCTGATAAGTCTGTGCTGTGGTTCTGAACGTTCTTCTTACATGCTAAATGTCTGGTATGAACTACGTCAACATTACTTAGCAACCAAATCTAAATGTCTAACATCGACATCTGATCTCGCTAGCTGGTCCAACAACGAAGGACGGCGTTTGGAAGTCTGAGGTGAGGCAAACCTTCAGTCAAGTTAATAAAAACAATGAAAGCTAAATATGAGTAACATTACACCATGCAGACTAACACCTCGAACCTGACTATAAGGAACATTGTTGGAGGGAATTCGCTTCACTTGACGAGTAGATCTAGACATGGACGATTCGAACTAAGGATCCGAACCCAGAACCTTTAGATGCTAAGGCAACCATCCTAACCACAAGACCACATTGCCTCTGGTTTGTTCATCATGTGGGAAAAACTAATGGAGGCACTAAACACAGAATTGCAGCTTCAGAAGGCGTTTCAGCACCAAGGCTGAAGCCTTTCAATATTTCTCGCCATCTTCCACAAGTTTCATGTTAAATTATACATCTTTTTTCCCAGTCCAGACTGACTACCGACGCTTTTAGCAGCCCTCCCACGTCACAGACAGAAAGAGATTGTGTATCTTAGGCTATTTCCAGTCTAAGCGTTTTACCCCGACCATTTACTGAATTTACAGATTTACATGGTACAGAGACTTTGTATTGCTAGAAAAGACAAAGAAGTTGCAGTTTGCTTCAACCCCCATAACCCTATGGTTTAAACTGATACAGGAGAGATGTTTACATCAACACAATGTGAACCTGCTATATATCAGTCCAAATGAGGCGCTTGTCTAAGGTTTGGGTATTCATGTGCGACTGAAATATGACGTTCTGTCAGTGATCGAATCTATGCAGTAAGTGTCGGACACAACAATGTCGCTAGGGGCCATGTCGTGAATGCCGTACGTGTCAAATGTGCGCGGGGGTAGAGCGGGCTGTTCAGTGCGGTACGGTGGGTAGCAGCTGGGCGCCTGGCTGTAAGCCGGTACCGGCATGCCGTAGGTCCCGACGAAGACCGGGTCAGGTGGTGCTGTTGGGGCGGGCAGCCGCGTGTCGTACGTCCGAGGAGTGCTGGTGTAGTTAGGAGGTACGTCATATGCGGGTCTGGTGTGGGTAGGAGACACGTCATATCCGGCCGTGGCGCTGTCAGGTGGAACGTCGTATTCGCGTTCCTATATAACATATCAAACATTGGTCAGTTTAAATTTCTAAAGGTTTTATCATTTTGGAAATTATCGTTCTGTTGAAGACAAATATCCCAACAATGCATAACCCAAACGGTTACAGGTATACAGTGTTGATATCCGCGATTCCCAATAAATGTAAGGTTCTTAATCCAAATCGTACGAAATTGATCGTACGTAAACGGAACGTACTTCGCCCCCTCCGCCGGTGTTCTCCCGGCGTGTGTTCCGTGTCGTTGCCCTGGGCGGTACGGGAGGCACGGGAGGGAGCGGCCGCCGACTCATCTCCATGGCCCGCCGGCGGTTAGCGGCCTTCTTCACTTTAGCCTTGCGTAGTCTGGAAACATACAATAAAAGTTGTTATCTCCGGTTACAGAGGTATTGTTTCGGGTGTGCCTGTGTGTACGTGCGTGGCGTAGCGTAGCGTAGTGTAGCGTTGCGTTGTGTTGTGTTGTGTTTTACCTTTGAGCCACAGTGAAGGCGATGACTGCAACGGCCAGACCCAGCAGCAGAAACCCGACCACGAGCCACAGCCACTCCCTCCGGAAGTCCGACACGTCCGGGGCGGGCGAGGGGGCAAGGTCTGGCGGGGAGGATGTACAAGATTACTTCGCCATCAAATGCAACAAGCACAGTCAGTTTTACTTAGTACTGAAATAATGTTGCCGTGTCGTCACGGCAGCCATGTTGGATGGTTAAACCCGGTTGATGCAGACCTTTGTACTGCAGACGAAACACTGGAGTAGACACAAAAACAGACAGAGAAGCTTTGAAAACGTTACTTTGCTCCCTTAAAGTGAACAGGATGACTTACTTGTTTCGCAGGTTACTCCGGCGTATTCCAAGTCGCAGTCAAGGCGGTGCCATTCGCTAGGGGAACAGTCGCTGATGGTTGCCTCAGAACCAGTGCAGGCTACGTCCCCCAGCCCGAAATCGCCAGACACCTGCCCGAAGGTTTCTGATTGGCTGATGTCGGCGGCACGTCCGTACCCCAGCTGACGGCACACCACGTCGGCGTCCTCCAGGTCCCAGCCGGCCTGACACACCGACTCCCAGGTCCCCTCATGGAACACTTCAACCCTGCCTTCATTGGGCGAACTTCCGCCCACAAGCTGAAGACCTGTTTATAAAATATAATACCGAAAAGTCATTCATGTTTCTTTGTTTGAGCACGACTTATTTCAAGAGACTCAAGCATGTATAAAGTCTAAATGTAAAAAATTAGACGGCACCCAAAACCTTACCATCCTCGCAGTTTGTACCGAAGAAACCAGCGGTGCAGTTACAGTTGTGACCGCTAGGCTGTTCCCTGCACACTCCTTGGTTCCGACAAGGGTTGGGAGAACAGAGGTTCGCACCTGCGCAGAGAATGAAACTGGTCACTGTTCTAGCTCGGTGTGTTCATTTGCATACCCTCACTGCATATTTTTAATCTCTAAGCAGATGTAAGAACGCCGCTTATTCTTGTTGTTTTCGCCTATTTTTGCAACAATGGTACGTTTTTCTGGTATTGGCTTTTTAACAATTTGACCTCTCCTGTATCGCTACATCTTGATGCCCCCAACCGATTGTATGAAGCAGACTAATTTATCCTATAGCCAAACCCGCCACCTACACGCTAATGCTTATGGACGATTCAGGATCACTTTCTATTTATATTTAGAATTTATTATACATATAATATAATTCAGAAAAAATTCCAAATGAAAAAGAATAGGTTTCAAATCTGTCATTCAGATCTTCATTTGTGATACAATACTGACTACTAGCATAATGACATATCTGGCATATTGGCTACTGGCATAATGACATATTTCAGAATGACAATAAATAAGGACCCGCTGTGTTTGAAATTAAACACGTGGTAAGCAATTGCAAGTATAAACCTCGCGTTAGCGAGTACAGAGTACAACCCCTTCAGGCCTTCAAACAACATGTCTCAAGCTCGAGTTAATATTCATGCACCAGAGAAATATATTTATCTCATGTTGTCTCAATGTCTTCTATATGTGATGCATCAACCTATCCCTACTATCCCTTATACACTACGACAAGACGTGTTGAATAGTATATCAAGTCGATTGGTTTGGATCTATAAAAAGATTAAAACTGCTAGATTTGACAAAAAATGCTGGCTGATAGTTCTGCGTCACATTCGTCATACGATTTTCACGATGGAGTCGGTAGGAACCAATCACAGAAAACCAACAAGGCACTTAAATTTCTTACAACACATTCAATCAAAATAGACAAATGAACGTAAGTAGCTCCGACATCGTCGCCAAACCTCTGTTAGCCAGGCTTTCTCCCGTCGCGGCCGTGAGCAGACCGATCGGGGCGAGCTGTAGCGACAGCGCGGCGGCCACCAGGTACACGGCGAGGCGCATGTTGGCAGAACTATCCTCATCACAGGAGGGTCTGGATAGTAGAAAACAGCGTTCCCACCGCGTCACAGCGAAGACATTGGTGTACCAAACATCGTTCCAACGTTCTAACACTAACCACAAGATTTCCGTCAATCTACAGTAACTTTGATCCGTACGTAAACAACGACCAGCCGAGGCAGTGTACGCGTTTACAAGATACAAATCAATATGGGTTATGTAAACATTGTAAAGGTTTTCGATGAATATTTAGTTCACGTTTTCATAATTTCACGTCTGGGTCGAGCACCGCACGCACACACTTGTAAAGGCGCGTGTTGGCCTAAATAATGGAAACACCACAGGTTGTTGAAGGCAGCAAAGGCAGCAAACTTTCTCTGTCACTTTGAATCCTTCGCGAAGGCTGTCGTGGGTCTGAACTCTGAAAAAAAGTCAAACATTTTCTCCGAAAAGCAATCAATTAAGTCTCCTACCAGCTGCTAACGTCTTATATTTATACTTATTAAAAGCTGGTGTTCATAATCACGTAATATATTTTTTTTACTTCAATCAACAATATCACGTACATTTTGACAAGCTCAGTTTCCGATTCAAGAACAAGAATAAGGCAATGAGAGACGGTAGACGCCTTCCTTTTGCCTACACTGCTTTGTGACCTCGACCTTTAAAGACCCATAAACAACAGCAATAGGGAATTGGGGATGGTATAACAACACTGCACCGAAGGAAAACATATTGTTTCTGCTCTGTTTCTTCTTCTTCCGTTCCAAACACTGGCCTGGTCAATGACCTGAACCAGAACGTCTATTACCATGGAAACTAGTGTTGGGTTACATCATGTTGCAATTTTATAGCAGGAGGGATTTATGCTCCTGTCAGCACCATATATGAGAATGTGTTTGAGTAAGAATTAACAGAGCAGACCATATGCGAAGGTAAACATGATGCAGGCACAGGGAGGGGGGAGTGAGAGATGGGGAAAGGGCCTTGAACTTGCATCCACCTCTACTTTGCCGTTAGCCATGTTGACCTCCAGTGAACTGAGATGTGAGTTTGTCAGACGTATCACAGTCTCTGTGTGGTAGTAGACAATCAGTCTGTGCAATTTCAGCTGGTGACATCTTCATACAAGTACCGGGCGTATCTATTTTACGGATAGATTTTTTTTAATTAGAGGGAATTTGTCAGTAGAGGATTTAAGTCATTTTGTAATTAAGGCCCGTGCTGTAATGAGACTGATTCCCTCACTTTATGACCACCGACATCACCATATTGCCCATATAAGGAAACTGTGGGTGATCACATGAAAACTATGCTGGTTGCACATGTATCACTTTCATGTAGATGTTGAAACAGCGCGACTTATACATGGTAGCAGGCCAGGCCATGATGGGGCTGGGCATGAAATAAAGTTCAAGCGAGACTTTAGCACTGTGTGCAACAAAGCCATGGCAACATAACTAAGTGTAAGGCATGGCGTTGACCTACCGGAAGCAGTTACCGACCCGGTGAAGGACAGACACATACTACTAGTAACATGGCGAACTTTGAGACACATAGTTTCCACCTCCTTCTTCCTATCATAGCGGTTTCAACATTCTGCATACGCTTCGCAGGTAACTGTCTTTCTCAAGTTTTTATTATATTATAGCACCGAGTTGTCTCAGATTAAATTTTCAATATCATCTGATAGCGATGCCCCTCATGATTATATTCGTCTTGTTTTTGCGGGTCCTACTCATCACCCTCCACAATCCGTTATTCCGTAGTGTTTATTTGTAAAATGACCTTTGCGCTTAGCCACAGGTGACCTAGTGGCAGTATCGACGGCTCCCATTGGTTGTTACGGACGCCAATGTATCAGCAGCTGCCATTGGTATATGCCGGTGGAAAGACCTCGTCCTTGAACTAACAACATCATCGTCCTCAATTTCCTTCAATGTTTGAGCACTTAAAATACTGCGGCAATAGAAAGCCCACCATGCAATTTTAACGGATGTTCTGACAGATATACATGACATACACATATTACTGATATCAACACTTTGTTGATCAAACCATTATCATTGAATCAACATGTGAGGACGTTTACACTTAAGGATACTTAGTATATGTATTACCAGGGATATTACACTGTGTAATGTCCTTGGTATTACGTTTCATATTTGACTTTTATCAAATTCCAATTTTAGTGTGTTTTTTCTCAAACTGTAGTGACCGGTGTTATGACTTTCCCCCCTCCTCAAGGTTGTGTCCAGGTATCTACCCAGTATGGTGACGTCAGAGGGTATGAACTCCAGACTGACACTGCGGTAGGAGACCCTGTGTACGATCGGCTGTACGTCTTCAAGGGCATTCCGTACGCAGCGCCACCTGTGGGAGACCTCAGGTACTGTTCATTGTACACTTTCTTTGTAGTAGCGTGCGTAGTCCATTGGTTAGTGAACCTACGTCTTGAACCAAGAGGCGCGACAAGACTTCGAGTACTAATAGTTCCAAGTGTATGAACGAATTAGCAAACACAGTACGCTCTAACTTCCAGACATATACAAATGTAAACTACTCTTCTCTTGATCCGAAAACCTACAAATTACAGAAAAAAGTAGTAGGATGTTTTGTCTTCCTTGTTCTTAAAAATAAGTCAAACCCAGTAGTTTTTAGGAGTTATCAGTAGTGCTCTGTGTATTGATTACCTGTCCTGATATCAATTGTTTCCTCTGTACTTGCAATTAACCCTCGGGCATGAATTTGCAATAGAATTGATAAAATCATATGCCATTAGAAAAACGCACATTGTAAGCCCCAAATTCCGACTCGTACAGTCTGCTACCGAGTCTACACATCCCTACACCATCATGTCCAGGTTCCGGCCGCCGGTAGACCCCCGTCCCTGGAGCGGGGTTCGCGACGCGACCCGGTATGGGCACCAGTGTCCGCAGCCGAACAACACCATGTCGTACCCGCCGGTCTACACGGACTTCGTGGACCCGCTCATGACTTACCAGAGCGAGGACTGTCTGAGTCTGAACGTCTTCACACACGAGATCAACAGTAGTGCTGCCCTACCGGTATGGCTAGGAGTGGTTACTGTAACTCATGCAGAGTTGTACGTACGCATTATAAACTTGCCTCCCTGCCTTGTCTTTCGCTCGTTTCGTTTGGCAATGAGAATAGATTGATGGGCAATGATTGGAAAGAAAAGTGAAGGGAAACACCACGGACTCACTCACTCAGTCACTTTTTTCCCACACTTTTTATTTCCATCTCTTTCTGTCCCTCGCGATCGCCAGAAGTTTCTCCTTAAAACGTACTGTTATGCTGTATAGAATAGATTGTATATTGTTATTACCACTAAGCAAGTTCGCAACTTCACACACCCGACCAACCTGTCCCGTCCGTCAGGTGATGGTGTGGCTCCATGGCGGAGGCCTGTCCACCGGCAGTTCCCTCATCTACCCCGGGGAGGCGCTGGTGGCGCACAACAACGTGGTGCTGGTCACCGTCAACTACCGGCTGGGCGCGCTGGGCTTCCTGCCGACCAGGGACGTGGACGCGTCGGGAAATTTCGGTTTCCTCGATCAGGTTTTGTTTTTATGTTAACAGAAGGAAAATATATTGTTTTTGCTACGTTTCCTCTTCTTCTTTCCCAAACAGTGATTTCTGACCTGACTGAACCAGACTGTCTCACCATGGTAACTGGTGTTGGATTACATCATGTTGCAATTTTATAGCAGGAGGGATTTAGACTCCTGTCATTATATATATATGAATGTTTTTGAGTAATAATTAACAGAGCAAACCAACTTGGGGGGCCTTGGGGCAGATGGCATCAGCAAATCGTCAGAATATCAAACCTGTTGTGTCGGTTATCTATGATTTGTCAATACATTTCTATTCCTTGTGGGTCTTTCGTAGGTGAAAGCGCTAGAGTGGATACAGGCCAACATCCGTAACTTCGGAGGGGACCCAGCCCGGGTCACCATCTTCGGGCAGTCGGCGGGAGGCTGGAGCGTCTCCCTGCTGGTCATGTCTCCCATGGCAACGGGACTGTTCCATCGCGCCATCTCCGAGAGCGGTGTGGCGGTCGTGCCCACTCTGCGGAGGGGGGACATCGCTGCCACCGAGGCGCTGGCTCGGGCGGTCGGCTGCGGCACGGACGGATACGACGCCATGATGGCCTGTCTTCGAGGGTACGTGCGTGCTCATGTTATAAATGGATGAATGAGTGATTGAATGAATGAATGGATAATCGCGAGTTGTATACCGCATACACTTGCCTTGCTAATTTGCTTGTGCATTTTCTTTATTTTTTTTCTTTATTTCTTTATTTCAGGCATAACTCGCCCATATACAACATACATAAATTCTCCTGTAAAATATAATAGACAAGTTGAATCATCTCCTTTTCAAACTATTGAAGCACAAACGTGTACACCATTTCTGCGTGAAAATTTACTTCTGACAGCTATCACCAACTGCATATAGTTAGCAATTATCATGATCAAACAGAATTGAGATTTTACAGAAAATCAGTGGACGAGCTTCAGCGTGCTGAGGGGGTGGGCATGCGAACACCTGTTATAGACGGACACTTCCTAACGGACACTCCTTGGGTGAGTTACTTCTTGGGTAATATTCCCAGAACCTCTAATGATAAAGTGGTCGAGTATTTGCCAGAAATAGCAGAAACTCTAAATGCTTCCATTGGAGTTAAAATCTTTGATTTCTTGTTTAAAGTTAAAACGTTTGATCCAACACAAAAAAGTTCCCTCACCTAGAGCTTTCGACCAGTCACTCTGGTCTTCCTCAGTAGACTGACCCAGTGGGGCTTGTCACGTGGCTTCTGTGACGTTAACACTGGGTCAAGGGTATCTGGTAGACGATGTCGACCCCCGTTTTAACTTTAAACATGTAACTACCAACACAAATGAACTTTCATGATAGTCTCCTATTTCTTTCTCCTATAATCAGAACATCCTCCAGCAGCATCAGCAGAACAGCGTGGACTACCTGCTGGGGACGAATAACGACGAGTACGGCTGGATCCTGTCCCTCGGCTCGCCCTACGTCACCGAGAACGGGCTGAACAGGACCGAGTTTCGGCACGCCCTGTCGGGAGAACTCGACTGGGCCCAGCAAACATTCCCGGTAAATGTTGAACTTTTCGTTGCATGAACATGTCGTAGAGTCTTCTTCCGTTTGGACGTTCCAAATGTTTTTGAGCCATTTTATCTGACCTAAACAATTATTGGCATCAGATGAACATTTGTGGGGGGAAACTGTTAACATGTAAGAATAACTCTTTTCGATAAGAAAAGGAATGATCACCAACGAACTTGGCAACGTAGGTTACTGGTATTAAGTATATCCGCCCCAAATCCTCTCAACAGACCGGTGACGTTAGCACGATTGTCCAGCCGGTGACTGACCAGTACCTGGACCCGGCCGGACCAGATGACCCTATCGTCATCCGTGACCAGTACCTCCAGTTGCGGACCGACATGTGGTTTGCGGCACCCACGGTTCTGATGGCACAGTCCCAGTCAGGTGTGTGTGTGTGTGTGTTTGTTTGCCTGTGTGTGTGTGCGTGTGTGTGTGCCACGGTGTGTGTGTGTATGTGTATGTGTGTGTATGTGTGTGTGTGTGTGTGTGTGTGTGTGTGTGTGTGTGTGTGTGTGTGTGTGTGTGTGTGTGAATGATTTCATGTCTCTTTATATGTGTTGTGTGTGTGTGTGTGTGTGTGTCTATCTGTATGCATTCGTGTAAAACCTCATCCGTTACCTTTCAACCATCTGCTCTCTCCCAGCTAAGCCCGCCCGAGTCTTCCACTACGAGTTCCAGCACCGCTCCAGTGCCTTCTCCTTCAAGCCGCCGTACGTGGGTGTTGACCACAGTGACGAGGTGTTCTACGTGTTCGGCCTGCTGTTCCTGCGGGACAGCACCAACACGTCATGGAGGTACCCGTTCTCAGACCGGGAGAGACAGCTCTGTCTGGACATCATGGCGTACTGGACAAACTTTGCCGCCAACGGGTAACTTCTGATTCTAATTCGCTTCATCTTGGTTTGTAAACATGACAATTTCGATTCAGAAAGTTTTCAGTACTATTAAGTTGTTTTGTATTTCTTATTGTAATTATGTTTTCTTTCATTATGTTAACCGAAGGAAAACATATTGTTTTTGCTGAGTTTTATCTTCCTCTTCTTCTTCTCCAATTTCTGACCTGGCCAATGACCTGATTTGTTGACGTCTGTCACCATGGTAACTGATGTTGGGTTACATAATGTTGCAATTTTATAGTAGGAGGGATTTAACTCTTGTCTGAACCATATACATATATGAATGTATTTATTGAGTACGAATTTACAGAGCAGATCATATGTGAAGGCAAACATTATGCATTTGCTTTGCTAATGTTACCTTTCTAGTCTCAGATTGTGATTGATCTTAGAAGAGTTCAAGTTGGCTATGAAATAATGGCATAGGTGAATGAAAGTGACGTTTAATCTACTACATTTCTTAATTTAGGACTTTTCGGTAATTAAAGAATTTCGTACGGGACATGATTGTGACCTTAAATGTCTGCACAGAGATCCGAACGACTCGACAGGATCACCGCGCATGCGCAGTCTGGTACCATGGCCACGCTACATGACGTCAACCAAAGACTACCTCAAGTTGGACATGACGTCATCTGCTGGCGTAGCGCTGAGAGGGACCCGGGTGAAGTTTTGGAACGAGGCTGTACCAAGGATGATGGGAGCAGATGTCGCCTCCAGTGGAGCAACTGAATCTGCAAACCTTATGATGTTTATCACTCTGTGTGCCGTTGTTGTCATAAATGTAACATTTTGCATTTGAAAAAAAGAGGAGTTAGAAGAGAGATGTCAATAAAGCTTGAATATAATATCATACTTGAACATGCATCCGTGTTTGCACTTGGGCACTAACGTTAGTAGTTACATGTGTGTGGTAGAAACGTTTCAACTATTTTCCGAGCATCCAATGCTATCAAAGGTCATTGTAGAATTGCCATAATTCAAAACTAATCTCCAAGCAGATGTGATGAAAGCTCCTTGGTGTTGGGTACAAAAATAGATATTACATGTAACAAATTGATCAATCATCCATGCTCAATAGAATAAGCACTAAATATGACGATATCCCCCAAATACACCATGTTCTCAGCACTATATAAACGATAAAATGCAAAACAAATGCAGTTCCAGGATAAATCACAAGGGGGCCACAGTCTAACCGTTTCTTTACTAGGTCCAGGCAGAACCGCATCATAAAATCCATCATAAAATGTTAATCCATACATATTGTTTCTTGGGTTATTTTGGTCACCCACGAGCTAGAAAAAACGTTATCGTTCGTTACCAGAGACACAAACCATGGTGCGCACACCCACACAATGTCTTCCTTGCACATTAGAGTTTGGCGCCTCTTGAGTTTCTTGGTAGTCACGTGATGGTCATCACCCAATCAGGACGGCGCAATATGGCGGCGCGACAAGTAATGGTAAGGCCGTGGTGGCGCTAATTTTACCGATTTTTATTTGTTTTAATCACTGTTGATTGTTAAAACTTATCCTACGGACGCGTTACATGTCCAGGATTCGGAAAAGCACGTATAGTTCGGATATCTGACCTAAACGTCGCGCTGGCGGGGAGAAAATAGACGATGAACGACATTGGAAATTTGAAAATTCCGCCTGACCTGCCGCCAGAAAAGATGGCGGCCGCGGCGCCCGATTCATTCCCTGCCTGCAAGATTCCGTGCCTTCTCAGCCGGGAACAGCTCCAAAAACTCTGCGAGAAGGAGGAACTGAGATTCAACGACTACGCAGGCCCCACCTGGACGGAGCTGGCCGTGGACATGAGGAAATTGGGCATGAAAATGGACGTTATTTTCCCCGAGATGCCCAACATTGACTGTATAACTGTGCTGGACACTCCCAGCCCCTCCTCCGCATCGTCTGTCAGTCTCACCGCGACTTCGAGTTCCGGGAACAACAACGCCAAGCTGCCCAAGACGGCCATGCTCAAGAAACGACGTGTCTTAGACGAGGAGTTCGAAGTGGAAGAGATCCTTGACTACAAGCGTCGAGCGGTAAGTTTTTTTTGTTTTGTTTTTTCAAACTTTCCTCCAAATAAATTATTTAGGGGACGGTTATGTCAAAAGCTTAACATGTGTAAACAGCCGCCTGGTGAAAAATTTGAATTAATTTAATACTGATACATACAAAATTATGTTAACGATGTCACCAAACAACATTTTACATGATATTTTACATTGCTAGAATTTTTTGACAAGTGCTGTGAACCATAATTTATGGCTACCGCCCCCCCCCCAAACAAAATGTTATTACAACCCCATAGAAAGAACCTTGCCTTGCCTTCGAATTTCAAGTGGGTCAGCCTTCCTCCAAATTCATACCATTTGACCTCCTAACTGTTATTGTCTTAAGAAATCCAATATGATATTGATAAAAATAAAAATTAAATGATCAAGTGAAACTAGCACTATCCCACTGCACTACCAGGAAGTAGAAAGTAGAATGTCAATGGGCAATAAGCCAACAACCAGTGCCTGGCATTGCCCTGCTTCCTTTTACAGGGGCAGGACTATTACTTCATCAAGTGGCAGGGCTGGCCTCCATCCTACAACACCTGGGAGCCCAAAGAACACCTGCAGTGCTCCAAACTCATGAAGGAGTATCACCAAAACTTGAAAAGGAAGAAACTCTCCAGAAAAAACAAGAGGCGCAAAGACCAGCATCAGTTCAGCGTCTTCATGCCGCTGGTCGCAAAGCCCCTCTTCCCTCCCCTGACCGAGGACACTCTTGCCAAATTCAAACAGAAACAGAGTCTCCTACTCTGGCAGGAAGAACTCAACAGGAAGTGCACAGATCCAGGTAGGATTGTCGTCGAAAACCATGTTGACCTCGAAGGCCCGCCGCCGAACTTTATCTACATCAATGACTACAAGGCGGGGGAGGGGGTGGTTATACCCGAAGACCCCCTGGTCGGCTGTTCGTGCTCAGACTGTTTCGAGAGCCAGGACGCCTGCTGCCCAACTCAAACCGGTGCCAAATTTGCGTACACGAAGACGGGGAGAATACGGTTGCGTCCAGGGAAGCCCATCTACGAATGCAACAAGAGGTGCAGCTGCGGCCCCAAGTGCTCCAACAGGGTGATACAGAAGGGACGGCTGCACAACATGGCCATCTTCAGGACTGCCAACGGCTGTGGGTGGGGCGTGAAGACGCTGCAGAAGATCAAGATGAACACCTTTGTCATGACTTATGTCGGGGAGGTATGTCTTACACTCATTCTGAATCATCCTGCTTGCCTTCACCATGCATAGGCAGGCACTTAATCTTTTTATTTACTTTTAATTTTTTACGAGGAATTCTGACTTTGTCTACCCTAATACTAGTTTGAATTTTATGTTCTCCCTTTATGGTTCAACAGAATTTTGGTGTTCCAAATTTTAGATTGCTCAAAAGACAAATTACATTTACCAGCTGACTGTCTCTAGGGGAACTTACTGAGAATATTGATGTTTTTCCCCAGGTAATCACTAACGAGGAAGCAGAGGAGCGTGGGAAGGTGTATGATGAGAATGGGCGCACCTACCTGTTTGACCTGGACTACAATGACGAGGACGCCCCCTATACTGTAGACGCTGCAGTCCATGGCAACATCTCCCATTTTGTCAACCATTCTGTACGTTACAAACAATTTTATATTTCTCTACAACAGAAAATAATCTGAAATATGATGGCAAAAGTATGATTCTGAAGTCCTAACATACAAGGATGCAAAGGTGTCGCTATTCACATTGTTTGCCATTAGCTATCTCTGTTAAATACGTAGCTAATTTCACTTTCAATCACAGACATACACTCAGATATGCACTTACAAGAGACTTTAGAAAGACAGGATGTACATTGTATACCAACAGACATATGCTGTATGACAAACACATATTATGTGCACACATCATAAACTTTGTTTGCTTACACACATTAATAATGTATGTACATATTCATGCACACTTTTATAGCATTACTGAGAGTCTTACAATTAGTATGACTACGTACTACACCTTGTCAGTAAATTGATTGTATGTATGTATTTGCTCTACAGTGTAACCCCAACATGACAGTGTACAACGTGTTCATCAACTGTCTGGACCCCAGGCTGCCTCACATCGCCCTGTTCTCCAACAAGGACATTGAAGCAGGGGAGGAGCTCACCTTTGACTACCTCATGTACAAAGGTAAGGCACAGGTCACTCATAGGGCTGTGTTCTTTATGGTACCCATGCATGTTATTTGATTACTTAGGTACAGGTCCGGACCTGAAGATCTGTTGTACCTGTACGGTTGTACCAGAACAAAATATAACGCCATTGGACACCATTTTTTTACACTGAAAATAGGTAAAAGTGCATTTCAAAGATGACAATTCAGCACTTGAAACTGCTGCTCTTAGTAAGGGCACGTGTTTTGAATGTTCAGACCAGTTATCCTGAAAGAGACTATAGTTGGTTTGCAAATTCTGGGAGTCTTGTTTTCTTGCATTAGAAAATACTGATAGACTTTCATGCTTTACTGTAATGACTTTACGTTTCAGACCCTAGAAAGTAATGATTTTGCCTTCCAGCATCTACTTAAGAGATCTAGACTTTGTGTCTCAAGCATCACTTGGACTTGATTCCAGACTCCTGAACAACATGTTTTGTATGTTTGTTTTCAGGTGACTCCAGTGATGATGACACCTCCCACCCCAGCTCCCCCATGACTCCCTTTGTGAGCCGAAGTCCCATCAAGGACCAGTCCACAGAAGGGAAGAAGGATAAAGAGCGGGTCCCCTGCAGATGTGGGGCAGAAAACTGCCGTAAATATCTGTATTAGAAAGGAGGTCCATAGAGTAGGCAAAGTTAGTGAGTATATGAAGGGGGAAAAGTAATTGAGATTTGATATTTAAGACTTGCCCGGCCTAAGTATGAGTAATGTGTACTTTGACAGAATTTTCCTATTTGTTGTACTTGAAATATCAAAGTGTTTTCACTTACTTTTTTTTTACTTAGACAAGTGTACATGTCAGCCATAGTATCATTGTAGTTGATAAGGAAGCAGTTGTCATGTCAAGTCATATCAGACAGTGTGTGTTACTTGTACAACCTAGGAGATTACCCACCAGCCTTAATGTACAAATTTTTGTAGGTTGCCCTCTTTGCAGGTTGCATACATGCTTTGCATGCTTCTGCGAGGATGTACTTTGATCTGACCAATGAAGGCTATTTGACCAATATGATAGCTAAGAGTTCTTGCCCTTTTTTTGAGAGTGAAGAAATGCTTTCTTGGTGTGATATCCTGTATTCTAACATCTAGATTGTCGTGATAGTTCTCTGGCATCTTCTGTCACGCAGGGACTCCTATGTCAAAAGTAGGTAACATGTACATAAGATTTAAGTTTTAAGGAAATGTTATTAGATAATTTCCTGTCCTTCCCAATCCAAGGACAGGTTTTAAGTACAAGTTCTTGTGTTAAGGCCACAGTTGTGGTCAGTATGTAACTTTTTTTACCTTGTTTAGTGATGTCAAAAATCCATATGAAAACAGACCTGCTATAGCAGACCAGTGCAACATACTGTGGACTAAGTCGAGTGTTGTGCTAGTAGCTCAGGTTTAGTACTTGATATTTGATGAGATAATGGCCTATTATAGTATTAAGAAGATAGATTTTCTGTAGACGCTATGTCTGCTTCACAGTAATCATATGTTAAACACAAAGCGAAACCTGCTGAACTTTCCTTATTTTATCTCTCCCCTAACTGTATAAGATTGTATTGTGATTGTGACATGCCTACAGACATTTGATATACACGTGTATTTACTTGATGTGAGCACTGCCAGCCTCTGTGTGGATAAATGTAGTCATCCAGCAAACTTCATCCACACAGCTTACATGTATGACAATAATTAAAATGTTTCAAGGCAAGTCAATGGGAAGAAACAAATTGTGCATTTCATTTGTTACTCAAGTGCTTTTCTTTCCAAGTTTGATGCTCAAGAACATTCTTTTTTGTACTTCAGTAATTATTTTGACAAGTGAAGCCATCCTTTATTTTTGAATAAAAGATTTAGTATGAGTGACCATCACACATAAACAAACCAAGGCAATATATCTGCTTGAGTATAGCAGGGTTGAAATCTGTAATGGTACAGGTAACATTTGACTTTTTTCCACTTTCTTGAGAAAACAATGCTCGAAAGTGTTTCTGATGGTACCATGTGGATTCCTATTACTTTCTGTACTAGAGAATGTTGTGAGGAATCCAAGGTATTTTCGGGCCACATGTTTAGGGGATGGCTGGCCACCAAGGTAGCACATCTCAAAATACTCTTGTTGTACCTACATAATGCTGAAGGTATTTCTCGCTCTTAGGGTATCTGAGCTGTACCCGTGCATTCATGCCATAACCCATTACTGTGAATGTACGTTGCTTCATTTATTACTGAAATGAAGATAGCTGAAGTACATCTTCTTACGAAATATGCTTGTCTGTTAGCTTTCTCAAAGGATTTCACATTGCCTCACTAACTTTCGTCTGTACCTGACTTTATTCCATACTTTTCATGTTTCTCCATCAATTCAACTCCATCCTGACCCCCTTTCGCAACATCTCATCAAGTCCATCCTCCCCAACCTCACATGCACCATCATCTAAAACTCAAAAGATAGCCATTTTTTGTACATCGTTATATCACAACGTAGCCAGTAGGTCGTGTAAATGAAAGCAAATATATTGAAACACGCAGCAAACATGGGCTTTGCACACAGATATTTTAAGGACATTTTTTTAGAAGGTTTACACATAATTCCCCCTGGTTCATCCTCTGCTTTACATGATTTTTTTTTCTAAAAACAAATGTGATGAGGGCTATCTTAGTTACCAACACAAACAATACGCGAGTATCCTAGCTAGTAATTTCTTTGTTGTGTACTTCACTTCGTTGTCTAAGCTACCACAAACCTATTTTCCAATCAAGTTGTAGCCAGAATGTAGATCGTTTTCTATTTTTTGCTACCGAGTCTGCTAGCATCTCATCTGGGCAAACTACGCATCCTGGGACAGTATTTGAAACGAAACAGTCCGTTAACGTTTGGTTGTTTCAGTATTTTTTACAGCCCCAGTTTCTGGGCCCATAGCATGGTCTCTGTGTGGAAGGACGCCCAGGTGCCCAGGAACTCAGCAACGTTGATGGCCGGGTTGGCGGGGTCCTGCACCACGGGAAGTGTCGTCATGTGTTCGATCCGGAAGCTGGGCGGTTCGTAGAATTTGTTCCAGGATAGCCTGAAATAACCCAAATGGGTATACATCAATGTTTAGTCTACTAAATAACTACACATGGTGTTTGCATTTGGCGTAAGAGCCGCCATTCTGGTCAGTTTAAGTACACTTTACACGGATTTCCCCACACCTTACTCAGGTGAAAATGAGTATGTCCGTTGTCCGTTTATGCTTTGGTAGCGGCATAAGAAATAAGTTGAGAAGAACTTGAGTGTGCCGTTGCCATATCTTGCAATAAACTTTGGGGTATAAAAAAAATACACGGTCACAATAGTCTGAGTGAAAAATGTATATATATAGGGACAGAGAGATGTATACGTAATTCTGTCATGTAGACAAATAAATTTCTCAAGCGTGACAAGTTCACACATATTCATTTGCCACCCTGACTCGTTTCATGTTACAGTCCCGTAAGTATTTACTACAAAATTTCTTAAGGTTTCTAGAGTGTATCTGGCCTGACCTTGTCATGGCGCGGTCCAGGTCCTTAACGAGCGCGATGAAAGCGGACAGTGTCTCGGCCATGGTGGGGAACTCGAGCGGGTTCTCAGGCACCACTGGGTCCGGGTCTCTGTAAGGACAAACGTAAGTATGAGTTATGAAATAAAGACTAAGCTTTCCTTCCAACACTGGAATGAATACTTACCCCAAATTTTCACGGAATGGACCCGTCTACTCTTGGAACGTGACGTCAGAGACAAGTAACCGTAGTAGCGGATCACGTGCCAGATAACCTGTGTCGCCCCCCGTCTCTAAGTATGGGTTATGGTGTGTAGGACGTCTCTTCATCATCCGGGATTCAAACTCCCAACCTCAGTCCAGAGGCTGCTAACTACTGGACTACGCACGCTACGCACTATCGATTTACGATTTATTGATTAGTTGATTTCTGTACCTCATGAAGAAGCCCTCCTCATCAATAGGCGGCGGCCGGATGTTGACCCCCTTGATGACCTGCGCGTTCTGGTAGGCCTTGACCACCAGCAGGGACAGGAGGTAGGAGCTGGGGCGGCGGGAGCTGTCCGCCCAGTCCACACCGTTACGCCAGTGTTTCACCACCTTAATCACATCCCGAACCTGCGGGGACAGAAATATAGCCTTCAGCGTTCGGTGTATATGTTTTGCATCGTGCACTTGTCATGCAAACTGGACGCCGCGAACCTGACTTTGGAAAACATATTGTTTTTGCTCAGTTTCGTCCTCTTCTCCAAACAGTGATCTCTGACCTGGTCAATGACCTGACTCAGACTGTCTCTCACCATGGTAACTGGTGTTAGGTTACACCATGTTGCAATTTTATAGCAGGAGGGATTTAAGACTCCGGTCACCATATGTGTGAATGTGTTTTTGTAATTAACTAGAGCAGACCATATGCAAAGGTAAACATTATGCATTTGCTTTGCAAATGTTACTTTTCTAGCGTTATCTATACTTTATGATAGCGGATTTTTATACTTGATGATAGCGGATTTTCTAAGTGTACAGACAAAAAACATCACGTACATCTTCTTCCTGATCCAGGATGAACTGACGTTGCCGTCTGGCGGCAGCCCAGGAGTACCTGTAAAACAACACAGGATATCGTTACGCCAAGAACGCTTATTTTTGGTAGAATCGCCTAACATCAAGGCCATTTTCCGGTTTGCAAAATTGACGCATTTGGTCATTGTGTTGCACCTGTCGGGTTCTGCGCCACGCCTTAGTTACATACGGCTATCCTATATACTTAGCACAAATGCACATGCAGCCAGCACTAGTCTCAGGTATGAATTTCATTTCGATTTCTGACTTCATTTTTGCGTACTGGCACTACCTACATGAAGGTAGAAGCAATTGCGCACACTGCTAGACACTAGACTGAACGAACAGGAATTTATTTCGCAGAATTAGCACCGTGTAAAAAACATGTACATCAAGAAGACTCTCACATTCTCCTGTTCTCGGAGTTGCGCTGCCGCATGCTCTCGTCGTACAGCCTGGTGTACCCGCCGGCGCGCTCAGACTCCCAGTCGTGGGTCAGGTACACCGTGAACTCGATCCCCTGGCACGTGAACCGCACGAAGTACTTGGTGGTGTTGAAGTCGGTGCACTCTGGGATCTGGCCTGGAAATGGGAAGTTATGCAGGTGAATAAGTATTTAGAAATCATTTTCTTAATGTTAAGTAGATCTCGCTACATTCTAAACGTCATTGTGCAGGTTTTACTTTTATAACGCCCTGGAGGTTAATGTTGTCATTCAACTGTCCCTATGCCATCTTCATGAGAAAGAGATGGAAAGTAATAGGACGTGCTGAAAAAAAGACCCGAATGACTTAACAAGAACAGCACTACACTTGACACCTGAAGGGAAGAGAAAACAAGGACGACCTAAGATCACTTGGCGTAGAACAGTTGCGAAAGAACTGAAGAGCTTTGGCCATTGCTGGGATACCATCCAGAGAATAGCCCAAGACAGAGAGAACTGGCCTTTGTTGCTGCCCTACATGCCGGGACTGGCATTAAGAGCAGTAAGTAAGTACTTACAACGTATGACGCACAGTATACAGCCTTGATCGCTTACATATAGCATACGTGCATGCATTATAACACAACTTATTTGTCATGAAGTGTAAAATTCCCTCACCTTTGTTGCAGTCCCGGATGAGAGCCTCCACTGCCTTCATCGCTGACGGCAACCACATCACGTGACCAGCCTTCGGGAGCTCTGCAGGTAAAGACAAAATCATTTACTGGGCTCTTAACGGTTTGTGTAAATATTTTATGTAAAAGCATCATTTACGTTTACAGCTCTGCTTGTACAACTCATGGAAAGATGCATTTATACTAATTAGTTAACTAGACATGAAACCTAGTAACTCCTACCGACCTTTGCTGAAGACGTAGAGATCCACATCGTTCCGACTCTTGACCAGAGTGTCGTATCCGTAAGACCCACCAACCAGAACCTTCGTTACATCGAACGGCAGGGAGGACTGTGACAAACGAAATAAGAGGTCAGTTTCATTTTTAAAAGGCCATAGCGTGACGAAATGTGTGTTCAGGCAAAGGTAACTCAATCCATGCACAGGAACAAAACTGGAAAACTTGTAATCTCAATACGTTTAGACCAACCACGTACGCGTAATAGAAGTCACTGCTGTCAGTGCTGCCAATATGAATCCATAGCAGACCTAGTAGTCACGCAGAGGCTAATGTGTTACGTAGCCCGTTGAGGTTTGGAGTGCAATTCACACTGTCCTATCTACTCCAACAGGCTACGTAACGGACTTTTATTCGATTTTTCCTCCACTCATTCATTCACAACAGGCACATGTACCTCTAGGAAAGCGATAATCCTGGGCACGAGTTTGATGAAGCAGTCCTGTGTCTCGGCGTCAGGCTGACAGTCTCCCAGCAGGCTGTTCACGTCGATCTTCTGGTACAGCGGCTCGTCCACCTGCTCCTGGCGCTGGCTGTGCAGCAGCGACCTCCAGCGGCGCTTGGACCGGTACGTCTCCACGTCGATCTCCTCCAGGGTGGAGGCGCGCGTCTTCGACCAGTGCTGGATTCGAGGGAAAAAATCGCAATAGAAGAAACATGGACATCTTTGTCATATTCAGTTAACGTTGGAGGTACTGAAGGTACGTACATGGATCTCCCCAGTTTTTACAGTATTTCTGATTAGCTGTTCTTAGCATGTCATTGATGTAAGTGGCAGCTAGCAAGGTCATTGAGAATAAGACAAAAAAATGATTGGGCAAAATAAAGCACATAATGTTGATGCCTAGTCGTAGACTAAACCCTATACTTTCAACATGATGTGCTCTACCTCAATTTACAACGGTAATGCTTGTCTGGGGGTCCGTTTAGCATCGGACTGTATAGAGCGAGTTTAAGAAATAAGGATTACCCTGTACCTGAGTGGCCATTGTCCTGGTGGACAGGTCCTTCAGCACGTTGATGACGAAGGTGGAGGCGGTGGGTTCGGTGGGGGTGGGCCGGGGAACATGGATCGTGGAGCCCTGCGCGTTGCCGATGTCTGGCAGACCCTCGTGCATCCAGCCCCACGGTGCCTTGGCTTTTGGTCCAGAGGAAAATGAAAACACCATTGTGATTCATATACCGGTAACAAGCATAGTGACCAAAAAACGAACAAAATTTGTAAACAAAAACAAACATTCCCCTCGGTGTAGGTTGTGTCACTGACCTGGTGCGGCCTCCATCGCAGTGATAGCGGCGACGACATCAGCGAATATGGCGGTCACCTCGCGCTGGGCGTTGATCTGAACGGAAGGAAATCGCATGGCTTATATACATTTTGATTTTGTTTTCATTGATGCAAGTAATTAACACAATTTGCCATCCAACTCCCAAACGCCACCAAAATATGAGTAATGCATGTAAATGTAAACGGGTGTCAGACTTAGAAGACTCTCTCGACTTTCTGACCTCCAGGACAATTGGACAAATGTGTACCGTAAATACAGCTATTTAGTCTTTCTTACCCTCCTGAGCTTCCCTTGCTTTTCGTAGTGCGCCACCAGGGGCTCCGTGACGGAGTAGAAGGTGTCCAGACGCTTCTTGATGGTCGCCTCGTTGTCGTCTGCCCTGCCGCTGGTCTTGGCGCGGCCCAGGAGGCGCTCCGTCATGGTCTGAGCGGAACACTCGAAGTACAGGACGATGTCACATGGCCGGATCTGCAGGAGGTCACATGGAAACAATGCCTAAGTCTACACGTACACACAGGTCTTTATCGAAAGTTTCTTGTTACTGATCGTTTAACAAGTTTGGTTAGATCACAAATTGACACGAAAGCTAGTTTCGTGAGTTCTTTGTTCTGAAGACAGACTTACGTTAGACTCGAACTCGGTTCCCTGCCTGATCTCCCTCGGGTAGCCGTCGATCAGGAAGCCCTTCGACTTGTCCGCGCGGGCAATCATGGCGTCCTTCAGCAGCTCCAGAACGGTTTCCTACGAACAGAAATTTCATAGGGTTAATCAAATACGTAGAATTACTTTCTGTAATCCCAATCAACAAAGGTTCAGGCATTGTCCAGTGATGCAGTTTTATACTTATATTCCTGCACCAAATTGTAGATATCACATCATCAAGTCTCACCATCGGCACCAGCTTGCCCTGCTCCATGATCTCGGTCAGCTTCTTGCCCCGGGCTGACCCTGACTTGACCTCGTCCCTCAGCAGATCACCTGTGGACAGGTGAGTGTAGCCGTACTTGGCTACAATCTTGTCACACTGGGTTCCCTTACCGCAGCCGGGACCGCCGACCACGAAGATCACCCTCTTGCCCTGCAGCTTCTCCTGTCCTGAAAGGTACATGTATATCCAACCAGATCAACGGTTGCGCATACAAAATCAATTAATTACTTGGCTAGAGAACAAAGACCTGTACTTGTTTCAAATCCCAACAAAGCTAAAGATGAACCTCGCCTGACACAGTCATTATTATCATCATCGACATCGGTCGACCGTGTATTGGTCGGCGTTACACCACCATTTACGGGGTTCGCCACACATGCGCGCAGTTGATCTTTAAGTCTTTTATTCTTCTATGTTGTGTAAAAGGTGTACGTGTACGTACCAGGTGAGGCTGGAGGGGCGCCAAGAGCCTTGACGACGTCTTGGAAGATGACGTCAACGGTACGCTCAGCGTTGATCTGTATGGGGTAGTAACAATAGCCATTCAGATACCATGCAACCACTCAGAATTCCAAGTAAACAACAGATGATGCCATCCCATTACTTGCACATATAGTAGAATGGCCTGTCTTCTGTTTCTGGCAGTTGGCCAATGACCAACATACATTTATGACATTTGAGATAGATGCCGAGAACTCCTTCTAGGCTTTCAACCTCGATGACAAAACTTTTACACAAGTTTACCCTGTTCAGCTTCTTCTTATCCTCTTAGCACTTGCTTAGCTTACATTCAGTTGCTTAGCGGTAAGTTTTGGTAAGATTTGCTGAACGAGAAACTCCAGTCGCGTATGGACCAAAGTGACGACGTTGCTGTCCTTGGTGCTGAAAGTTGTGTAAATGATGACTGTGTATCGAACATCAGGGCAGTCGACTAGGAGGAATATTACAGACAGGTAATGGTTGCGAACCAAATAGGGGCATCTAATCATGAACCACGAGGGAGGGAGGGGCATGTGGAATGGTGAAGGGTTGGAGAAGGACAGTGTAAAATTGGAAATCTACATGTGACCATAGTCACTGTGGTACAATGTAGGGGTGTCGTGGGGTAATCGTATCTGGAACAGGTGTGGTGTAGAGTAGACAAGTGGTGAAAATAATGAGACAAGATGCAAGTTAGTCAGAAGAGTTGGAGACAAGGAGCATACTCGACACTCAAAGGTCTGATCATGAAACCATGTATTTGGTCAGAAAGGGACAGACAGGGAAGAAACTTATAGTAGAATGGCCTGTCTTCTGTTTCTGGCAGTTGGCTAATGACTAACATACATTTATGACTTTGAGATAGATGCCGAGAACTCCTACTAGGCTTTTGACCTTGATGACAAAACTTTTACACAAGTTTACCCTGTTCAGCTTCTTCTTGTCCCCGTAGTACTTGACCAAAGGCTCGGTGGCGGTGTAAAAAGTGTCCAGCCGCTTCTTGATGGTCGCCTCGTTGTCGTCCGCCCTGCCGCTGGTCTTGGCGCGGCCCAGGAGGCGCTCCGTCATGGTCTTGGCGGCGCACTCGAAGTACAGGACGGTGTCGCACTCTCGGATCTGTACAGAATAATAACGTTAATCTTACACGTGTTTTTAGCGGTCCAGTGTCTGAACTGAGTGACAGTACTGCATCCGTTACAGGTCCCAAAAGTGCCAGCTATGTCTATGCCAAATGACAATTCAAATTGCAGACTGAAACAGCCGCTTATGTTTGCTTTGAAGTCATTTTCGACCCCGTTACTGAAGTATCCTGTTCGTTAACATTACCGTAGACTCGAACTCGGTTCCCTGCTTGACCTCCCTCGGGTAGCCGTCGATGAGATAGCCGTTGGACTTGTCCGCTCGGGCGACCATGGCGTCCTTCAGCAGCTCCAGAACGGTTTCCTGCGCAAACATAGGGATAATGTTTTTTTTTTTTCATACGTCTACCTCTTTTAACTACAGTGATTACGGAAAGGGACTTCTCACATTTTTTTTCCTAAACTGTTAGATTGTTCATTATGAAGAAGTCCCCTGCTTACTACAGTTTCCTAATAATCCCTTAGCGTTTACACAGAAATAATCATTTTGTTTGATCTCACCATCGGCACCAGCTTGCCCTGCTCCATGATCTCGGTCAGCTTCTTGCCCCGGGCTGACCCTGACTTGACCTCGTCCCTCAGCAGATCACCTGTGGACAGGTGAGTGTAGCCGTACTTCTGTACGATCTTGTCACACTGGGTTCCCTTGCCGCAGCCAGGACCCCCCACGACGAAGATGATCTTCTTGCCCTTCAGCTTGGTGGCTATCATGAACAAAGGATAACACGAAAAATGTCTGTCAAATAACAAGTACAAAAAAATTGACTTATCAAAGCAGATTTTCGATCTCTCACAGATTGTGATGACTTCAGTAATTGGTGAATGAAAATTTGCATGAACACAAGTTAGATTCAAGTAACTATTATTCTACCGGTACTCTGATGGCAATGATAAGAAAATTTTACAAAACGTTTCTTCAAGAATCAAGATATAATCTCCACTTGTGTCACGTGGCGTTGTGGCAGAGTCTACCGCCTACCTGCAGATACAGGTGGAGCTCCCAGTGCGGACACCACGTCAGCAAAGATGGCGTCAACAGAGCGCTCTGCGTTGATCTGTTCGGGGAGGGAGATAAAACAAAAACAATCAGAACCCTGACATGTATATTAGTGTTTGCTAATTGCACAGCATGTACGGCTAAAGCGCCAGGATGAATTTGAAAGTAGTACGAAGGTAGCAACACGATGTTGCACATCTCGAAATTCCCAAGTGGAGTGTCGGAGAAAAGATTGAGAGTCCCTCGAGGCAAAATGTTGGCAATCGCAGATCTCAAAATGTCGTCTGTAGTCTACAACGTTCCGATGGAGGCAAAACTTCAATCCCTCTTCCATTCTGTGGGTGTATAAAATCAGCTTGCTCGATTAAAAAAACACCTCGTTGCCTTTTCTTTCCTTGCAATTAACTTGTAATCTCACAAGTTGTTTAGCGTTAAAATATGCTAAGGTTTTCAGAACAGGAAATTCCAGGCGCGTGTGTAACAAAGTGACGGCGTTGCTGTCCTTGGTGCTGAAAGTTGTGCGAAAACGGCAAATGATGACTGCGTTTCGAACATGAACAAGTATGAGGAGGAATGACGGTTTTATGGGTAATGGTTGCGAACCTAATAGGGGCATCTAATCATGAACCACGAGGGAGAGAGGGGCATGTGGAATGTGTTCAAGGTTTGGTGAAGGACAGTGTAAAATTGGAAATCTACATGTGACAATAGTGGTACAATGTAGGGGTGTCAGATGGTAATCGTATCACAGGTGTGGTGTAGAGGAGACAAGTGGTGAAAATAATGAGACAAGATGCGAGTTAGTCAGAAGAGATGGAGACAAGGAGCATACTCGACACTCGAAGGTCTGAAACCATGTAATTGGTCAGAAAGGGACAGACAGGGAAGAAACGTAACAACACATACGGCTATGATACTGATGTCTGGTTGAAATTATCTCTTTAGGAATGTAATGTACCTAAACAGACATGAGTCAAACAGGTGCTTGTTTCTACATATCCAATGAAAATGCTCTACTACAAATGTTAAATGTGATTTTGAACTTTAACTCAAACAGATTTACTGTACAGTGTAGTTTTAACATTAGTGGTGACAACGGTTATACATTCATATACATTTGCTACACACCCATTCTATGAAGGACGGAACAAATTCAATTAGTACATAAGACATTACTTCCAAATTACAGAACACTTCAGGAACTCAAATTCTGTTACCCATTCTTCTAGAAATTGGTGGTCATAGTCATGCGAAGTCAAAACGCAAAGAAACACAAAATCAGTTGAAAGTGACACTTACAAAATGTTATTGGAATTTTGGACTGTTGAAGTGAGGCGATTGGAAACAAGAACTTCAGACGTACGCAGACATGTTACCAAGACCAAGTAATACGTACCCTACACAGCTTGCCCTTGTCCTGGTAGAACTGAACTACAGGTTCAGTAGCGGAGTAGAAGGTGTCCAGACGCTTCTTTATGGTCTCTTCGTTGTCGTCTGCCCTGCCGCTGGTCTTGGCGCGGCCCAGGAGGCGCTCCGTCATGGTCTGGGCGGCGCACTCGAAGTACAGGACTTTGTCACATTCTCTGATCTGTGAGGTAAAAGGGTTGCCTAGTTGGTACCATAGTTGATATCTTCCACTAAAATGTGCTACCTCTTAAGGTTGAAGAAAAACAAAAGAACAGTCGAGTTAGATGTGTGACTTTGCTATGTGGCAATGATATGTGGTGTTGTTGAGATAACTTCCGCAACTTAAAATGCTGCAAACGTTTTCGATAAAGAAACACAGGCGTCTTCTCTACTCCTTACTAACCTTGGACTCGAACTCGGTTCCCTGCCTGACTTCCCTCGGGTATCCGTCGATCAGGAAGCCGTTGGACTTGTCCGCTCGGGCGACCATGGCGTCCTTAACCAGCTCTAGCACGGTTTCCTGTCACAGTGGTAAAATGCAACATTGAATCTAGTGTTCTATAACCCTGACAATCCATAACTTGAACAGGTTTGCTTCGTCATACGTACTACTTATACTGTCCTGTACTGACTGATATGAGACAAAATCAATATCATAAATCCGTCACAGAGTAAGATACCTATTCACAAAGCAAGTTTTAAACCACTTGCATATAACTTATAGATCTGGCATGGTTTTCCACTACTCTCTCACCATGGGCACCAGCTTGCCCTGCACCATGATGTTGGTCAGTTTTTGGCCCCTTTCCGATCCTGAGTTGACCTCGTCCCTCAGCAGATCACCTGTGGACAGGTGAGTGTAGCCGTACTTCTGGACGATCTTGTCACACTGGGTTCCCTTGCCGCAGCCAGGACCCCCCACGATGAAGATGACCTTCTTATCCTTCAGTTTTGCGGCTGTTGAGAGAAAGGAATTCGAATGATGATTGAAATATCAATTGCTCCATTGGCATCATCTACATAAGAAGATCGCCAAATATTATCATGCAAGTACAAGTATACAAACTCATTTTTTCAAGTCAACATAAATTAGTTTTCAACACACACGGTCCATGGCATTCTTCCTGTCTTTCTGATTCTAAACCTTTGATATGATAGCTATGAAGGTATTACGATTACTCAAGGATAGAATATGATTAAGTTACGTAAAATGTCATTCATCTTCAAAGTGTCATCTGTATATGAACTCCTACATGTATACATGAGATCAACGCTTACCTGCTGGGTCGAGGGCGGCCACAACGTCAGCAAAGATGGCTTCTACATCACGTTCAGCGTTAATCTGTGGTTGTTGTTGGCATAAATATACATAAACAATTGAGCTGGAAAACAGTAAGATGTCACAAGATCAAATATGGACCGTGCTTCCTTGTCGTTGGCTTCTGTCTTCAACGCTGGCATGTTGTGGTGTCCTCTCTCTCCTGTAGTCTGAGCACCTTCGGCGTTGCGATGATGGTAACTGGACGATCTTGTTCTCGTAACACTTCTTCACTTTCTTTCAAAACATAGTACATTTCTCCAAAATGCATTCTTGTTAGACGATAGTGGCGTTTACACCGCACCGTCTGATGACTCTCATTCCAATGGTGAAAAGGGAGGGGAGATGACTACACTGGATGAAATTCTCACGGATGTAACGAGATGGGATTTTTGTGGTACAAGGTGTTGGACGTGGGAGTTGAGAAAAGAGGTACCAAGGATTCATGTGTTCGTACATGTAACTGAAGAGAAGGTACTGGGAAAGTGCACGATGGGACTGGCATTTGTAGACTTGGAGTGTGGGATGTTGGGAATGAGTAACAAGGATACATAGGCGTGTGTTGTTTGATGTGGAAACGACATACAGAGCCACGGGGAACAGGGAAGTACGCATGATACATGTTGTGCATACTGTTTGGGTTCAGGGGCTTTAGATGAGTAGAATCTACCATGGAACAATAGGACAGGAACTATCAGGAACAGGGCTCTTTAGTCTGGGGTGTGGGGATATACCATTTTTTAAGTTCATAAAGGTTGAGGCAAAGACTTGATAATTACAGGTATGTATGAAAGGGTGAGATTGGGTGTGTAGGCACGTAACATATGGAACAGACTCAAAAAGACACGAACAAGTTTGATTCATACGTGTACCAGGGAACTGGAAGGGGGATATTGAAGAATGGAAATGTGATATTGTAGATGAGCTGGGATGTAGAACGCTTGTTATAGGGTATGAATGAGGAGGGTTTATGGATTTCAAATTATCCTATTATAACGTTGTAGTACACTTCTTGCGATTATAACTCTAAAGTTTCCCACTTCACATTGTGTTAAAATAATCACTGTAAACTACAGCCTTACCGACAATGCATGAATTGACTTCCTTTACACAATGCAAGAAGGAAGAAGGTAATATGTTTACTGCAGAATAACCCGTTCAGTTTCCCCCGACATACCCTCCTCAGCTTCTTCTTGTCCTCGTAGAACTTGACCACGGGCTCGGTAGCGGAGTAGAAGGTGTCCAGCCGCTTCTTGATGGTCGCCTCGTTGTCGTCCGCCCTGCCGCTGGTCTTGGCGCGGCCCAGGAGGCGCTCCGTCATGGTCTTGGCGGCGCACTCGAAGTACAGGACGGTGTTGCACTCTCGGATCTGTAAAATGGACGAAATTCTAGAGGTTTTTGTTTATCTGGCGTATCGCAATAGAAACATACTACCTACACAAGGCCGTCTTTAATTTTCAATATCATTAGTATTTGATTTTTGTTTCGAATTCATTCACTAACCGTAGACTCGAACGCAGTTCCCTGCTTGACCTCCCTCGGGTAGCCGTCGATCAGGTAGCCGTTCGACTTGTCCGCTCTGGCAATCATGGCGTCCTTCAGCAGCTCCAGAACGGTTTCCTGTGAAAATAAAGAAATGGTATTCTTAACACCTTCAAAACTGTGTCTGCTTCTCTTAAAATGCCCTGCTTTACAGAAATGGATTTATTTTTGAATCTTTCACTACTTTTCCTAAATTTGAAAGGTCTACAACAGTTGGGTCCTTCCTAGCAAATCTTAGTCTCACCATCGGCACCAGCTTGCCCTGCTCCATGATCTCGGTCAGCTTCTTGCCCCGGGCTGACCCTGACTTGACCTCGTCCCTCAGCAGATCACCTGTGGACAGGTGAGTGTAGCCGTACTTCTGCACGATCTTGTCACACTGGGTCCCCTTGCCGCAGCCAGGACCCCCCACGATGAAGATGATCTTCTTGCCCTTCAGCTTCTCCGAAGCTGCCGCCTCGGGTTTGGCTGCCGCCGCCGGCTTCGCAGCCTCGGGCTTTTTCGCCCCAAACTTGGGCGGCATGGTTCCTCTTCTCTAGTCTACCTGGAGAAAACGAGTCACAGCATAGGTCTGTAGAAAATGTTCAACTATTTCCATAGAGAAGGGTGGACTTCCCAAACTTTCGACCAATATAAATGATATGAAGATACTTTCAACTGATGAAATTTCAGTATATATCAGTACAGTTTTTATAGAAACAAAGAGCATACAGAGTCATAGACAATATTTTTTTGTATTTTTTTTTGCCCATCAACAAATGATTTTCCATAGATGCTTCAAGAACGCAATTGTTCGCTATAGCCTATTGCATTGGAAGCACCAGTAACATACAAAAATACATAGCAATTGCCCTTGGGTCAAAAATAGTATGAGCACAGATAAAACTCTGGCAATGAAATACGACATCCAAGCATTTTGTGTATGGACTGAAGTATGCTTATTCCATTAACCCCGGACCTAGACCTGGTATCTATCTACAAATCCAAAAGACAGCCATGGTCGCTAGGTCTATCCAGCTATAAAAGTTTCGATTGATTTTTATGATCGAGCAATCTTTGTAACTGTATTCTCTGTGTGTCTCTTGTCTATAACAATCACAGAAAGCCATTTTGCATCTGTAAATATCACGATAGTGCTACAACCAGTGGATGAGTCGCTGTTTCAGTTACCCCTGTGACGTCGATATTGAAATTAGACACTCCAACAACTAGGTGTATCAGTACTTTGTAAAGCAAGACTGTTCTTTGACATCTCTGCAACCAGTTCAAATTTAGCACATTGGCTCTATAACTAGTAGGTAAGGCGATGCATGGTTGAGGCCATTCCTGTCCCATGTAGTACAGGCGGGGAGAATGCTGGCCATGTGTAATACAAGCCTGTCATCCGGACGGACGTGCCATATATGGTGGGTCGTCATCAATATAGGATAGGGCTGACGTCTCGGACGGGGGGGGGGGTACATGGACGGGAGCGACTCATTCAGTGGCGAATCATGATGATTTTGATACTTTGCAGTAGGTTAACGCAAACAAACAAACTAAACAACAACCATGTCATTACAAAACTTAGTCGACCCTCCCGAATGTCATGTTTTCTATTCATACTACAGTACAATGTATATATTATGACCTACACTATAAACATCACATCTCTTGTTCAAACAGTCGGCTCTGTAAGAGTTTTGTGAACTTTTTACTTTAAGCCCCCACGAGTCCAGTTGGTAAGCCACCTTTTCTGTGCAGGACGGTCTAGAATTGTGCATGGTATCGTGCGGATGTTTAGTTTAGGATGTTCTAGTTAGAAAGGTAGGTATGGAGTGAAAGCCACTTCCTACATGTATTTCTTGACAAACACGTACAGGCCACCTGCGATTTGACTATGGCCACAATTTGAAAGACACAGTAAACTTATAAAATTCACTGATTTTTAGTAGGAATCCTGTTTAGCCTTAGCTTCGATTACCATTAAATAGAGACACAACAACCAGTCAATTGTTGCCTGTACCCATACAATACATAAACATGTACTAGTACATTGTACAGTACTGTACTAGAAACTCTGAAGGAAAAGAGTCTCCTCTACTGGCAAGTCTGTGTATACCCATGCTTTCACTTGTCTTCAGCTTTGGACATTTATACTATAATAACGTAGGGATGGCCTTCAAGCTATTAAAGGTCACTCTCCATCATACCCTGTAAACAAACAAGACTGGACAATAGTGACCAAGTACCTAATTGTCGAGATAAGAGAACGTTATGCATTAACAACTGTGGGTGTGCTTGAAGGTAGGTACATGTATTACTTGGGAGTTTCCTACTTTAATGTAACTTTCTAAATAGAATATGTGAAGGAAATCTGATCTTCAGGTGCCATGACCACACGTCAACTTCACAGTTCTGTGACTTTAGTACATTAGTTACACACGAAAAGGGAATGCACTTTAAGCAGCAATAAGAGTCAACAATAATGAAATATACACGTGTATAAGGGGTTTTTTTCCCAATAATTTTTTTGCCCAATGAGTTATTAGTCCCCGGGTCACTTTATATAGGTTCAGCCATGTAATATGATACCTGCAATTGTGTATGACTATAACAACACCGTCATGGTAATAACAATATGCATGTTTTACGAAATAGAACATAAGCGGGACATTATAACGACGGCATTACACACCCTCTTTTCCAGAAAAGTTACAGGTACGTCATACATGTCTACCACTACCAGTGTCTGTGTGTATCCCATCTTTCTACAGCGGCCAGGATTGGGCCAAATATAGCCCCGTGTGTCGGAATGTAGCTGCCATGTTCCAAAAGGAATTCTCTCCGCGGCCGAACATGGAGGTCATGAACCACAATACCGCTGTCTCGCTTCTGAGCGAAATAAACCAAACTAGCTTTTATAAACTTTTGTTCTTCTAGAAGGGAAAAGAATGCTGTATTCAATCTTAAACGATGCTTCTTAGATGCAATTTTCTTTATGCGAATATGCAAATACGTTTTTCCGTGATTTGGTGACCATGCAAAAATTGGTTCGTAAGTTGTTCGCTCTCAGTAGCATGATCGTACATAGATAGCTAGTTTAGAATCAGTTTCGTTGAATGTCATAGTTTTTGGTGTGGCATAAACTGTAAGTCATACAGAAGTTGAAGCTTTCATTACTTTAGCAATGTATAAGTACTATCGCCTCGATTATCGCGTACATGTAAAAGCGGACAGCGTGCATTTTGCTGCCCGCCGGCATGTCAGTTATGCGAGCCTGCTCAGACCTTTCTGATAACGGCCAGGCTTTTCCCTACCCCGGGAGAACTTTATCTACCCTACAAATTGGCGCCTTGGGAGAAGTAGCGGAGTTTTACCTGGAGGGAAGCTGGAAGGGCTGGAAGTTTGGCCCCGGGACTGGGTAGAAGCTGGCCGGTCGGAGCTCCGCTTGGTCCGCCAGAAATAGCAGGCAGGCGCTCTCGGGGCGGGGGCACGGGGAGGATCCGGTACCATAACATGATGGGGAGGCACATTTTTGCAGCTGCTCGGCTTTCTGTCACGTCACGTGACTTGGCGTGACAGGAGCAGCGGTCATTATGGTTTACTATTAATTTTTTTTTACCGTCACAAAAACGAAGGTATCGTTTTGGGTGTGCTTGTGCAAGTCTCCTTCTAACTCCGTGGTTTTTACGGTGTTTGTGTATTCGTAAATGTGAGTTACAGCACATAGGGAATACCACAAAAGGTCAGAAACAGGAAGTTAGGTCCAACTCACTGAGGGATAATGAAAGTAAGCCAGTGGACTATACTTTACTCACGTGTCTATTTTGGTGAAAATGTAGAAATATTCATGATACAATAAATAAGGCACAATTATAAAAACATTTTTTTAATGTTATCAATCAGGAGTTATTTCAGAATGACACATTGCCTCCTTTTATGTTTGCAGAACCGTCCTCAATACCATTTGAAACACCACAAACTCAAACAAAGAAAAAGTTTAGAAATCACTGATTGGCAAACAAATACAGTGGTTGAAATACTTTTTTTCAGTGCTCTGCAATATTGCAGAAGAGTCAAAATTTTGTTCTGCAAATTGGAAATACTTTCTGCAAATACACAAGCCTCCATATTACAACCTTTCTGCAAATACACAAGCCTCCATACTACAACCTTCTCAAACCAATAATTCCTTTTTTGCATCATTATTATATAGCTTTGTAAATCTGTACAGTAGCATTACTGGACTGCAGGAGAATTTCAGGTTTATAAGCATAAACTATGGATTGATATGCAAATTAGTGAAGACAATTTTTTGGAAGTCCAAAAGGAAACAAAAGTTAGACAAGTCAAGACAAGGAAGATGCAAATTAGTGAGGAAGTTCCTGTTGTTTCAGAACAGTCTGTCCCTGGGGCCTGGGAGTTTTAGTTTGCTAAATTGAAAACTAATGAATCTGGAGCCTATTTTTCCTTCTGCAAAATTGCAGATTGTATAATTTTTTCTTCTGCAATCTTGAAAATCTATCTGCAGATTGCAGACTGCAGGCAGGTATTTCGAACACTGAAATAGCAATACTGATAATAACTTGGGAATGGTGATGATGATTCTCCATTAGTGTATAAAACATTTGGTACAAGTATTTACAGATTTATGTTGATACCCATTAATAACATGAATACTGTTTTACTTTTTTAAACTTCCAAACGCTAAGCCATCTCTTCATGTCAATACAGAATATACTTTGGCTGAGCCTTGTACTTCAGTTGGTGTTTAATATACTATGTTTAAGTGAAAATTTACACCTATTAATCAGGACCTACCAACCGGATGAAAATATTCACAGATAGGTGGGAGGAACCTTCATGTCAATACAGAATACACATTGTGAGGAACCTTTAATGCATATCTTCTCCAATGCATAGATTTAGTAACTCAAAAGTTTCTAGAAAGACATTATCTTTAGACCTTAATTGTTGAAATAACACTTTACAGTAATGTGAGTGCCCAGTGCTATGACAGGGCAGACTGTGGATTTGTCATCAGGTCGCAGGCCTTCTTGTGTTTGGGCCAGTGTCCCACCTGACACTCTCTGTGGACAGATGAAAAAAAAACAAATTGATTGTTCAATGTTTGCATTCATTTTGTTACTTCTATCATCGATGGCTGGCTTTTAAAGATCTGCTCAGATTCAAGAAGCACTATTGTCCAACCCTTTGTAAAATATATGGCCTTGAGCCATTATCTACTACAATGTATGTATATAGACATCAATGTTGTCTCAAGAAAGACAAATACTGTAATTGACTTAAGAAATGTGAAGTCCCAAATTCAAGAGTTGACCTATCCATCTATACCCCTATACACGTGGGGTCGTGTGGCGCAGCGGTAGCGCTTTCGGCTCAGGACCTAGAGGCCATGGGTTCAATCCCCACCCATGTCACCGATCTTGTGCCCTTGGGAAAGGCACTTTACACGACTTTCCTCACTTCACTCAGGTGTAAATGAGTACCTAGCCTCGGTTAGGGCCGTCCCTCGGATAGGACGTTAAATGGAGGTCCCGTGTTTGGGGAGAGCCATACCCCACGCACGTAAAAGAACCCACCACACCTTTCAAAAAAGAGTAGGAGCATGCCCCGGTGTGCGATGGTACAAAATTCTACTGTCTGGGAGTTGGTGATTCACCCGGATGGAGGCCTGGCGAACCCCATCTCGTACTAGCCACAAAAGGCAGCAGAATCTTCAGCATGTTAAAGGCGGCTGCCTCAAATGAAAGAAGAAGAAGACCCCACCATACATGTTACAGGGCTTGAAATACTGCACCCAAATTTGGAGCTGTGCACCCAATTTTTTTCTGTGGGTGCACCAGTGTATAGTATTATACAGCGTATTCTTAATATCTAAGGGTCAAAATTAGCCTGGGTTCCATCCTGGGTCAAAATAATGATTTATTTATTTATGACGATTTACCACATTTGTGGAAGGATTGACATAACAGGATTGACATAACTATCACCTTTTCAAAGATGTCAAACCTGCTGAGACCAGACTGTAAGGTTTGAACCACTCACATCGGGAAGGTCCCTTACTCTTTTCGATAAGTGTGGTGGGTTCTTTAACATGCGTGGGGTGTGGCTCTCCCAAACACGGGACCTCCATTTAACGTCCTATCCGAGGGACGTCCCTAGCCGAAGCTAGGTACAATGATAATATCATTGTTATAGTTTTTGCTGACATTTTACTTATATGATGCACCCAAAAATTTTTTTTTGTGCACCCAATTTTTTAGGTTGGTGCACCAGTGCACCTATTCCCAAAATGAATTTTGAGCCCTGTGTTCCCTACCTCCTACAGTACCACTCGTTCTGACAGCGGGAACACCTCTTGCTGGCCGGCTCCCCGCAAACCGCACACTTGGGCGGGTCCACTAACATACTCTCCAACAGGTCCAGGTTATAGGTCACTGCCCACCTGTACAGTATGTGGAAAGGTTTTTCCATACATTAGGCTCTTACATCAACAATATTATATAGCATCATATTTTTTACAAAATAAGAAATTTGAATCACTCTAACATATCTATAAGTTTCATGTATCTTGTATACAATTCTTGGTGGCTGTCTCCTGTCACAATGCTAACATTGCCTGAGTTTCAAACTACCGGTAGATGTTCCAAATCCTGTCTTCCAGCAACTATACTAAGACATTGTATGACAGAGTCTTGACCTCTTAGACAGCTCCTTGAGTTGCTCAGTACTGGGGTTGAAGACCGTCTTGACCTGGTGTTTGGCTAGTGCCTCCCACTTTCCTTTATTTTCCTGAAGGATCCTCTCCCTCACCTCTGGTACCTGTACAGGGATAGTTTCATAAAAGTTAGTACACATTCACTGCTGTACATGGAACTAATGCCAACTATTGAAATCTTGAGAATCATGTAGTGGTCTAGTACATAATTGAAAGTCCGCTTTCAACGTGACAGGGTTGGAGTCTGAACCTTGTCAGCCCATAATATTGGCATTGTTTAAGGATGTGCATGCACACATGCATCAGTTCTGTAATCAGCTTTTTCTAAACAACTAAATAACTAGAGAACGGTCACAGCAAAACAGGTAACACACAATTGCTGAGTGCCTCATGCCATGTAGAACCAGAACATTTAAGTATCAGAACATGGTGGCAAATAACAGGTTTTAACGGTTAGAGTACACAAAAATGCACCTGCGTGCACATACCTGTTCCAACACCAGGTCCTTCCTGGCTGCGGGTGGTTCCATCATGGACAGGTGCTCCAGGTACCGCTGCAGCTCTGCCAGGTGCGGGAACTGGTCCAGCAGCACCTCATGCAGGTAACCTCTCACCTGGTGCAGGTGAACAGGTGTTTTTGTGAAAGCTCAGAAACTTTTGATACCATCAGAGTCTGTTTTCATGTTAAATTACATTAGTGTAAGCCAAAAGTGATTTTCCAAACAAAGGACAAGACCAACCTTCAGCACTTGGTTCTTGTTGTAGTCATTATATTCATACTTCTGCTGACAGTCTGGCCCCATCAGCACATTGTACAGGGCAATCCACACCTGAAATTACAGTTGAGTACTCAGTTACGAATTTTATTAAAAAAGGGGCAATGTTGGACAAGAATATATAAATTACGGAATCTTGCAATAATGAACAGGAACCCCAAGAGCCATAATCAATGGGGAAAGCATTCATTCTACATCTAAAAGTTCACCCCAAGACAAAGTAAGTGGGTAGTGTTTCAGTCTGTAATCCAAGTTAGAAAGAAAAACACAGTTTTTAGATGTTTAACCTGGTGTTGTAAAATGTGAGTCCCTGACAGTTGAAGACAAATAACTAAGTCCCCCACCTGTCCCTCTATCTTAGTCAGCCTCATCCTGTCCTCCGGTGGAACCTCCTGCCATTTCCCGTCCACGTACTTACGGAGTCGCCCGTCGGACTCCCGCGTCCAGGGACAGTTCTCCACCAGCTGTACCAGCAGGATGGGGATGTTGTGTGTGTTCAGCAGACGGTGGGTCGTACTCAGGGGCAGGCTGGGGAAACATGGGGAGAAACATGAACACTAATCCAGCAGGATGGGGATGTTGTGTGTGTCAGCAGACGGTGGGTCGTACTCAGGGGCAGGCTGAAACAGTGGGGAGAAACATGAACACTAACCCAGCAGGATGGGGAGAAACATGAACACTAACCCAGCAGGATGGGGATGTTGTGGGTGTTCAGCAGACGGTGGGTCGTACTCAGGGGCAGGCTGAAACATGGGGAGAAACATGAACACTAACCCAGCAGGATGGGGAGAAACATGAACACTAACCCAGCAGGATGGGGAGAAACATGAACACTAACCCAGCAGGATGGGGATGTTGTGGGTGTTCAGCAGACGGTGGGTCGTACTCAGGGGCAGGCTGAAACATGGGGAGAAACATGAACACTAACCCAGCAGGATGGGGAGAAACATGAACACTAACCCAGCAGGATGGGGAGAAACATGAACACTAACCCAGCAGGATGGGGATGTTGTGGGTGTTCAGCAGACGGTGGGTCGTACTCAGGGGCAGGCTGAAACATGGGGAGAAACATGAACACTAACCCAGCAGGATGGGGAGAAACATGAACACTACTAGTAACCCAGCAGGATGGGGAGAAACATGAACACTAACCCAGCAGGATGGGGAGAAACATGAACACTAACCCAGCAGGATGGGGATCTTGTGGGTGTTCAGCAGATGGTGGGTCATACTCAGTGGCAGGTTGAAACATGGGGAGAAACATGAACACTAACCCAGCAGGATGGGGAGAAACATGAACACTAACCCAGCAGGATGGGGATGTTGTGGGTGTTCTGAGCAGATGGTGGGTCATACTCAGTTACTACACATTTCAGGTACAGAGATGGTGTGCTATGCCATGTTATAGAACACAGGTATATATCCTTACCTGTCCAGGTGGTCTGTGATGTACCTCAGTATAGTCACAGCCTTCACAGCAACATCAAAGTCTAATGCTCGCTGTTGCTTCTTCAGGTCCTGGGACAAAAACATTTTCATCATGGTAAAGAATAAAGCAGACAGGAAAGGCAGATGGGGGCATATACAACAATGGTACTAGCATCAATAATTACTTCAAAACAAAAGATGCTGTGTATCATGTAAATTAGCATGCCATACAAGTGTACATGACATGTTGTTTGTACCCACCTCAAATGTAGTTGGATGCTCCACAAACTCCCTGATGTTAGGAGGAGTCTCCACACCTTCATCCTCCTCAGGGGACCTTGGGATTAAAGAAATACTGTTGGATAAGCATGGAACAAGCAGAGTACAACATTGACAAATGATGTAAAAGGAACAATAGGTTATAACAGCTGTGTGCAACTTCGAGCTTCAACTTCTACACTGCTGACTACCAGTATCAAAAATGTTTCATGACATTACAGTGTGTATGTCTAGGAGTATTACAGATACACTTGCATGTATGGCATAGACATGAACCTCTCAAAGCCCTCAGTGATGAAGACAGTGTTTCACACCTCTGGCTAGTGTTCGATACAAACCCCACCTGGCTATCAGGTCCACTATCTTCCTGTAGCAGTAATCCAACAGGTCCAACATGGTGTCTTCAGCTGACTCACATGTGTCCTACAGGGGAGGGAGGGACCGTACGGATTCATGTTATAATTACAATCTTCACATTTGAGTTTACAACAAGCACAACATTAAAAAGTGAAAGGATATAATGATGGTGATATACACACCTTGTGGTACATGATGGTCTCAAGCAGGTTGATGATGGTTGCTTCATGGTACAGCTGGGATATGAAGATACAAGTACATTGTACAACTGTAATACATTGTAGCTGGTCTTAAACCACCACTAGTATTTACTTTAAAACTCAAGTGTCTGTATCTGTATAGCTGGTCTAACCACCGTCCGGCATAACACACACAGCAAGTGACCAGTGAAATCTCATCAAGATGTTTTGAAAATTATGCTCTCTTGTACAATATGATGTATTTATTTGTGTCATGGGTGGTACACAGTTTACAACAACAATTGTAACAGAGTTAAGTTTCCCAATCAGACTATGAAAATGATGGGATAGTCAGTTGTACTCACCACAGTGTAGACAGGAATGGTACTGGAGGGCTGGAAGTCCATCCTCACCAGCAGGGAGAAGATCTTCTGTGTCCAGACTTCAACTGTCAGCAACTCATGGATCAGGACTGGGATCTGGGGCAAGTAGGGTTGAAGCGTGTTTTTGGAAGTCTGATGAAGTTACTAGCTCATGTTTTACTACCTGATATTTTGATGGTTACTCCAATAAATGAACATGGATTAATTACTTATTAACAGCCTCACCTTGTCATACGACACCAGGAACTCCTTAACGAACTCATCCTCGTTGCTGGAGGCACTGATGATGGCCTGCATGTTCAACTTCTCTATGTACTCATGCTGCTTCAACCACCTACAGGTACATGTACACACAACAAACAAGACATAAATATCAAACAATTGTATATCTCTTTTCCGTTTATTTTATTTATTTATTTGATAGTTCTGTAACTTCGAACTTAGGAAACTTTATGAATCTGTAAAGCTAAAAATCTTAAAGTTAATGACTACTAATATAATTTATCAGAAAAAGATGAAACGGCCCAAACTGGAATATTCTCGAGTTGAACATTATACTAGTTCCTTCGTGGACGAAGCTATCTGCTCTAGATCTTGACATTCCACGGTACTTTACCCACCTATCTGTGCCGATATCCTTGATTGTTAGAGTCTCTAGTGCTTCTACATAAGCCTCTGCCTCAACCGGCATAAGAACCCGTGTCGCCTGCTCCGCCTGCATGGTGAAATCCTGCACTAAACACAGTTTTCACTTCGAAACTCACAACCTGGCCGCCATTTTCCACGCTCAACTTTGACCTCTTATCGTCATGACGACGAGACCAGGTTTTTGAGATAAAATTGCATTTTCTGGTTCTTTTCTTTTCAATCACTGAATAAAACATAAATATGATTCGTTGGGATGAAAAATTTTATAGAACGAATCGAAATGAACGAAGAAATAAGAGATGAAAAGATACGGGACACCTCGGAACGCCGGTGTGAGACACGAGACAAAAACTTTCCCTTGTTTCCGGACTGGGGTCAAAATTAGAGCAATAAACAACGAACCGAGACAGGAATGCCGGCTTAGTCTGTCTGCTTTGGCAGTAACGAGGTAAGGAACTTTAAGCAGCAGGCTTTTAACTAATTTCTGAACTTTCCTAAGTGTACTTTGGTGTGTTTTGGGTCGGGATTTTGAAGGGGAAAGGGGTTAGAATCGGAGGTGAGTTTGACCCCTTTTTGAGTCAACAACCGGTAGGAGTGGTGCGATCAACTCTTATCTGGAAAGTAAATAATGCCAGCTCACAACAGTACCGCCCAGGTTAAACACTACAGACTGGGCAAACTTACTGGGACGACAGAAATGGTGTGCAGTTAGATTACACGGCGGCTTACTCATAAGTTATAATGTGTGGAAGGGGCACATTTTTGTACAGGTAACCGTCAACGTGTTGCACCGTTAGTGGAAGTTTTGCATAATTTATGCATCATAAAACGTGTGAAATAATGTGACAGGAAATTAATCAAATAATGCTGGTCAGTTTGAATTTGTCAAATTTCAAGGATGTTGAACAACATCAAAACTTGTTACTTAAGAGTTACAGAATTGGGAGATTTTTATATGCTTGCTGCATGATACATAAGGTATCATACATAATTTTCTCCAATTTATGCATAAGTATGATATCCAGGTACTAGTGGTATAGAAATGAAAAAAGGCAGTCGTTCATACGAATTACTCATAGTCATACATATGACAGTACATTACCATACGGTACGATCAAATCAAGTACTACAATTGTAAAGAAGTTTAGAGTTTTAATATAGACATTAGACAATGAACCAATTCGGTCAGTGAGTTTTTATTTCCGAGGGCGTATCGTATGTCAAAGGAGAGGGAGGGAAGAAAGAAATTGTGGCCATGGCATTACTATGGCTAGGGAAACATGGAATTATAGAAAAGCCCACAATTTATAAACAACAAAGGGCTCCCAACCAGAATTTAGATGCTTGGAGTTGGACAAAGTACTAGTATACCCCACCAAAAACAAGCAGGGTTGACTGATGAGAGACAGCCCAGTCTGAACTGGAGTGATAGAAAATCCAGAGATTTGTCTGATAAGCCTGTTTAACGTCCTGTAAAGCCCAGAGTTCCCCCATACTAATGCATCACCCACTTCCTACAGCCTGCTTTACTGGTGTATTTATACTGAATATGGAGTTATTTATAGTAGCTGCCAGCAGGCCTGTGGGAAAGCCGCCCTTTGCTGGATTACCTCATCATCAGGGTCTGACAGGGATGTGTATGGGGTCTTGTAGACTGAAAATTCTAAAATGTTGGACTTCGATTGTATAAAAAGAGAATAATCTGTGTAAACTTAACTGTTAAGTATTGGGAGGCTTGTAGGAGCTGAGAATATGTTACTGTGACTCATTTTTATATATAAAGTAGTACTTAGTAGTCAATTTGATAGCATTAGTCTACAGGGGATTGCATGGAGCAAAAAAATACCATGATGCATCATTATAGAAAAATTGCCTCATATGACACTCATACTCATAGTCTTTCTTTAGACTACAGCATTCCTTGATTATGTTGAATTTAAGCTGTCCTTGTATGAATTATGTAAAAGAACCCCAAGGATTGGTAATTACATGTAACGTTACATACATTGGGATATTCAGTCATTACACCAGTCCAGAGTTTGGAAAAATACTGGCATGAAGTTGTAAGATTCTCCACGAAGTAAGCTCTTTAATCTGTTTACAATGTTGGAGCTTACTACCTCCTTGTGAAACCCAGAGGGTGACCTTGACTGGGTTAGAGTCAGACTCACACATGAAGCTCATTAAACTGTCTGGGACTGATAAGGGGTCTGTGCAAATCTGCCTAACTAGTCGACTCAGCCTAACTTGTACTTACTATAGGTAGGAGTTAGGCAGGTAGGAGTTAGGCATGTAAGCCTAGCTCCAGAACTTTCCTTCAAGCACGGGGTCTCTGACCTTGCCTCAAGTCCAACCATTACATCATGCTTCTAGCAGCTGGTATACATGTACTGACATTCCTAGAAAACAGGAAGTTTTGTTACAGTGACAACTGTACAGTAGACAGATTAAATAGATCATTAGATGAAAGTTGGGCTATAGCATTCTACTATAGCATAGGCTTCCCATAAAATTTAGTGTTGGAGCAAATGATTATGCATTGCGACTATAGTGAGTTCAGGACACATGTATTTGCTGACACTCTTTATTTGTGCCTTTTCAGATTTTCTATGACTGATAAGTTACCAAACATAAACTGTGCAATTTTGAAAACAGTACTGAGTTGGGTTATGTTTTGCAACAGTCATCAGGAATGTTATTAATTTATTTATGTATAATTTTTTATTGCTGCTGTGCAAATAATAAACAAACAAACAAATATATTGAGCTTCCCTCAATATTTAGATCTAGATAACTTTATTTCAATAAAAAAATGTTAAGTCATGCTACAAACATATAGTTAGACACATTTGACTCTGAAAAATGTTCAGATGACTGATTTTTTAAATGTCCATTTTTCTCCATGTTTTCAACTTACTAGTAGTATTGTTCTACACGTTTTTACAGGTGAGTGTTCTGGTTAGCAGCTAAAACTGAGGAGCATATCCTGATGTAGGGGACAACAGTGAGCAGTACAACATGGCAGAGAAACACAAGTACCGGCACATGCACAGTATCGAGCTACAGGACTTCTCGCCTCAGGCACGCCACGTCCATAGCCAGCGCCCCGCAACCGCCCCACCGGGGAGCGCGCAGGAAAAACCTGCCATGGCGGCCAGCTTCTTAGGAGGGATCAGCTTCTTCATGTCGCTGTGGAACAAGCCTAAGGAGGAGGCGGAGAAACACCTGGGGCATGAGTTTGAGGTGTCCAGTAACCCCACCTGGTGTGACCTGTGTGGGGAGTTCATCTGGGGATTCTACATGAGACAGGCGCTCAGGTGTAAATGTGAGTCATTCATTATTACCTTTGCCAAGAAGGTTATGTTTTCAGTAGAGTTTGTTGTGTGTTTGTGTATGTGTATGTATGTGGGTTAGTACGATAACTCAAGAAGCTTTAGATGGATTGTCATGAAACATGGTAGGTGTATAGGTCTTCATGAGATCAAGGACATTATACTTGATGAGACCTAGAAATGATTAGATTTTGCCCCCCTGGTGGCCTTCCTAGGTACTGCAGCAGAACGTCCGGTTTTGATATCTCATGATCTGGACATGCTAGAGTCACAAATTTTTAATGGTAGATAGCTCTTGGGCAAGGGAAGAAGTGACGTGAGATTGGGCCCCCTAGCAGCTTGTTGATCATTTGGTTATTGCTTGATAATTGTTTTAGGAACTGAAAGTGAAATTATGACAGGTTATTTCCGTTCAGTTACCAAAGAAATCAGAAAACCTTGTCATCTTTCGGCTTCCTTAGTTTCACTTTTTTCTCACAGGTACCGGAAGCGATTAATTGATTGTTTAGTAATTTGTTGTACTGAAACTGCAAAATGGTAGGTACATGTATAACAATTACTAGTATTATTTTCCAGTTATTTGTTGTACACATAAATTATCATGTGGGTAGCCATTGTGAACCATGACTTGACAGATCAGGTGTGAAACATTATTGACACTTGTGGTGCCTGTTTGTCTCACCTTTTATCTGTCTGACCTTTGAGACCACTTAGCCTCCCTGCCACACTGATAAGGAGCTACTCACAGCTACTGGCCAGGGGAAAAGTAACAGTAGGATATTGTATTACCCAATAAAAAATTTGTACACAATACATTGCAATTCCTGTAATATGTTTAAGCATGGCACAAGAATGATGCACAATGAAAATTAAACTGTTCTCCTACTCAGGAAAAATCATATGTTATGATTTTACCAACTCGGATGAATTTTCATGCTATTGCTAGTACACGTATTAGAGTGATACATGGTCAGAAATTTCGCATGGGAAGTGGTGTTCGATGTGTTACAAAGTCTCACGCTTTTATATTCATGGGCAAAAAGATCACTGAGCCTAGTACCAAGGAGGTCTCTTTTTAAACCTCCTTGCTAGTACCAAACCAATGGACTTGGTTTCTGACTACATGTATTTTGTTTTTTATTAGTTTCCATGTCCTTGCTGTTTCACAATCTTTTTTTGGTATTAAATGTTAATTCCATTTCTGAGTTGCCTGCCAGTTTTGTTCTTTAGCCCCCTCCTGTGATGTACAATACTGAATGGTACATTATGTAAAATGCCCCTTTTTTCACAAACTGAAAAGTCCAGATGTGCAAGCCAGTTCTGCTTGGTTGAGGATGGACAAAGAATATTCTGCAGTTTGTGAAAATATTTTTCTGTGCATTTTGCTCCATTTTATTTTGGTATTCTTTTTTCACAACTTTTGCAACTTTTTCATTTTACCATGATTTTCTGATCCCAATTTTGTCAGTTCTATTGTGGGACAGAAAAATATGAAAAAAGTCACCAAAAGAAAATTACTTTAGTTTACTGTGACAGTGTCTGATTAAAAATACAAATATCACCAGCCAGATATTTTTTTAGTTGTTTAAAATTAAATGTGGTTGCCCTATTCAAGGAGTTTGCCCTCCTTGCTCTATCAGACTAAGTTCCATACATGTAATTTCTTTTGCCATTGAGAACACCATAGATTAAATCTGGCAGTTAAAAATGGCCAGTGTTTAGCTGAATGCCAAAGCCCATTACAGTGAACACACCCCTTTTCACACCCCTACATCACAAAGCACACAGTGGTTTAGATAAAGCCTTCAGTGTGCCGGCGCATGTTGACTCTGCACGTTTGTCAAACACAGTTCCAGCATCACCAAGCACTCTCCTAATTCCCCCACTTTTCTCCTGTTCAAGCTATAAATAACTAGAGGGGTAATATCTTATTGATCCATTAGAAAGGAAACCTGGGCCAGGCTGATAGCAGTTTCCATGGAACTTAAACCATCTGGCCGCGCAGAAACCCGATAAGGCCCAGATAAATACCGTTCCCTGGTACTCATCATCGCGTCACGCTCTCTTTGTTGACCTGAAAGGATCTTCTTTCTATCCTCTTTTGGCAGAAAGGAAAACAAAAATAGGGCATGACTTAGAAGGTAACAATTCTATAGGTGAAAGGAAGTGAGTTTTTTCATTGTGAAACGGTGAAACTTGTGAAGCATGTTAAAGCGAGGGAAGGTATGAGAACCATGCGCTTGTTTGGTTCCGCCCAGCACATGTAGGCTGGGAGGAAGGAGTTCAGCAGGTTCAGTCATACTTCCTGTTGTGTTACCGACAGGAGGGTTGTGAAATTAGTCTAGCCGGGATTCCTGACTCATTTCTCATGCTGTAGTGGTACGACCCGCCACGTCAGAAAAACCTGCCGTTAACAGCCGCCTTTTGTTATCAAGTCCCGCCGCTGAGAGACTTGACTTGTTGAACCTAACTGTTTGTTACGTGTAACGGCCGACGGTGTGGCTTTTGTTATTTGCCATTGGATTGCAGCGTTGTTGTGTACCGTCGGTGTGGGCGTAAGGAGCCCACCAGAATGGTGGAGAGTACCATGGCTGAGAAACTCTTCCAGTCACCTAATCTGCTGACTTTACTGAGCGATTTAGACCACAAGGAGGAGTGTACTACGAGAGAGGACCTGTCCAGTTACCTGTGTGAGCTGTATGATCTGGACACACTGGTGGAGGGGAGGGAAGTTCTACTCATGAAAGCCGGAGCCCAGGAGGATTTCTCACGTGTCAACCGCAGGCTACAACGTCACAAGAAGAAATCACTGGCGGAGGAAATTGTTCTCCTGTCAACGTTTCTTGACGGGAATGCACAACAGGAACAGGTACGGGAGGACAAGCTGGGTTACTACGACAGCGACTTGGAGAGCCTGTCCGAGTGCGACGTGAACTTGCACCTGCAGTACCCCAACGTCTCCAGCCTGAAATGTCAGATTTCTATGATTCTTCACAAGGTCATGGTCATCGAAGACCGTCTGAGGAGACTGACGGGGAGTAAGATGGACCTGTTGAATGTGGAAGACCAGGGAAACCTGACGGACTTTGATGAAACCCTGGACGACGTCGCAACAGAAAGTGACCCGGGAACAGGAGACAGTGGATACTCTGGGTCGGGACTCAAGACCAAACCTACGGAACCCATGTTTTCTCCCTGCCGAGGACCACCAAGTAATTAGTCTTCCTTTTCTGTCATTTGATTCTTAGTAATGTTTATATTAATCTCATGCTCACTAATTTCGTTTCACAATCATTTTTGAAAACGTATCTTTCTTGCAATCATGGTTAACGTCCAACCAACCAAGTCACCGGCAATGTTTATTGCCTAAGGCCATGAAGTTATTTTACATTATACGTCATGTATCTATTTATTTATTCATTCATTTATTTATTCATTGAAATTTCAACATGGTGATACAGTGAAGCAATGGCTGTGTGATTGTAAACATGTCAGCTTATTTTTGGAAGCTACATGTACATACAGTCCATAGCACACAACAGAATTCATTGCAATCACCCCAAAACTTTTTTCTTCTTACATTTTACATCTGAATTTCTTTCATTTTCCTGCCATTGAGCCTTAAATTTTTCATGCTCACCATTCCTTTCAGAATTGTTTGTGACAAGTGATTGTCCTTTGAATGGTGTAGATTACCATGTTAAAAGAAGACAGTGATCCGCAAAGCTTGAACTGGACAAAGCGACAGAAAGCCTAGCCTGTTTTCACTACGCTGAAGCCAATTGTACCTGGCCACAATCACCCTGACATGCATGATGTAATGGTGACCTTACAACTGGTGGAACAGTTCCGGCCATAGACAGACAGCCCACAGGCTTTGTTGACTCAAACTGTCTGTGTGTGTGTTTTACTTCCAGTCCGGTACACAGGGCTGTACTATGGCTTAGACCGACCCCTGGCCTTGGCCATAGACCAACATGGCCTGCAATTATGTGGCGACAACGTGGCCAAATAAGTGGCTAAATAAGTAGGTTGTACCCGAACAGCACAGATGGGCCCTTCAGTTTCCATCACACAAAAGGCTTTCAGTACGTTTATCTGACAGTGATCAGTGGCTTTGTGTCTTATGGAAATATCGCAACCAACTTAGCATAATGATTTCAGATCTGTCCCAAACTTTGATCACAAATTAATCTTACCTACGCTAAGACAGGTTATTATCCTAATACCACCAGCTTGAAAATCTCATATATTGTATTTGACCTGGCTTTCATACTGCCATTATATAACAGAAGTTATAACATTCTGGCGCCACGGTAAAACCATAATTTGTTGCAAAATGAGGTATCTCCTTGTTAGTCTACACCTGCTCACCACCCAAATTAGTCTCAATGAGGAAAATTACATGTAATTTGGTGCAAACCAAACAATGGCCACAAATAATATGGTAATAACATGTAATTTGGATGTCAGAAGCCTGACAGTGAATAAATTAAGTTTTGGCATTTCAGATGTCACACAATTTGTTTGACATTCTAGTGTACACCTCCATTTTTCCAAACATGGAATGAAAGGAAACAATTATTTTGCAATTTACCCAAAGTGTCATTAACCCTTGTCCTGCTGGCATTCCTGGCACAATATTTTTCAATATTTTCATGTCTTAATTAGATTTAAAAAAAACAATTTTTTTTGCCCTGCAGTGGCATAGTTACTTCCGCATTCGTTGCGTTTCGCAGCGGTGTAATCCGTTGCATGAGAAGTAGCCCCAAATCGTACCTATGCAGGGTGTTATATAGATGGTACTGAATGTGCCGCGCAACATATGTTGCGCACAGCAGGACAAGGGTTTTAACATACAAGAAATAACATCTTTAGACCAAATCATCCTTGAAATAAAAATGTTTACCTTAATAGTTAGTTTACAGTCTTTATACAATTACAGTTCATGTACTTTGAAACTTTTTGGCTCAATTTTTTTATCTTCTCACACCCAGCCTTTGATGATACAAAGCTAATAAAAAACTTGAGTTCAAACATGTAGTTCCAATAGGACACAGGTGTGCCTTGTACCACTGTGCTAATATTGACCTGAGTCTTGACGCAGGTGTGTATGTGTTCTGGCGCCTGTTGTCACCTGTAAGGTGGTGTCAGTGACCTATAGGTCAGTATAGGTCCAGTTTTTATCTAAAGGTCTCAAATTTTTCTTTAAAAGGTGGACTTATTTGCCACTGTCGGGGCTGGAATCGTAGAAAAACTGTTCACTTTGTCATTGACTATAAAGTTATTTTTCCTTTGAAATCCTCTCAAGAATGCAGGAAATGCCATTTTAGAAGGTTCAATTTTCAAAATTTTCTGGTGGAACATACCAACGCCCCCTAGGAAGCTCAATGGTACCTCAGACATTGGAAAGTACCCCCCTAATCAAAATCCTGGCTACAGGCATGGCACTGACAAAAATATGACTGATGTGCCTACAAGATATTTGCCTAGATGTTTGTGTAGGGTTACATTTCTAAGGTACACCAGTATAATCTTGACATTTATATGTGTCACTGACAGGGAAAAAATGTTGAAACTGAAGCCTTTGTTGTACTTGTATTACTCTTCACAAATCTGACAATAGAATTTCTGAATGTTTTGCTGACATTCCTCTATATAACGTTAAGTGTATTCTATATTGTGCACACAAAGTGTTTTCCGGTGACCTGAACTGATACAGATCTGGGCCATACAGAGATGCTTTGTCTCTGTGGGTTCTGTTTGTGGACTTTGCTCATGTCATGCATGTAGTTACAATAAGTCTGACAGAATGAAGAAAAAGATTTAGAAGAAAAAGTTGATGTTATCAGTACTTCCACATCCTTTTCTAGAGTTGTAAATTAAAAGGACATTGTCAACTCGAATGCACTTAGTGAGAGCAAGGCTAAGCTAACACACTTTCATAATGTTATCCACTCTTGTCACAGTGCCATACAGTACCTTTGTCAATTTGTACAAGTCTTAGATTTGCAGGTTTTTCAGTCCACAATTACATGTCACAGGTCCCATCACTTCCCTTCGATGAGGCACCTTTGCATGGCTCTCTCCAAGTAATGAAGCAAAGGTGCTCCCCTTCTCCCCAAAATCTTAGCATCTCTCCCAAAATGTTCAAATATAGGGTTTTCCCTTTATATATAGTGCTTTCATGAAAATTTACTGATTTTTCATCAACTGTTAGGGAGCACCTGTCCCCTATGAATTTTTGGGGATATCCCTGCTTTGTTTGATCAGCATCATCAACAGGTGTAGTTCATTGTCATAATGTTTTATTTCTGTTATTTCAGACTGCAGATACACCTGTCATGTGCGGTGTAGACCCTCTGTCTCTCTGGAATGTTCCACTCCCACGGAGGTGGGGAGTCCCTTCACCCCGGACAGCCCCACCACAGAACACGCACGACTGGCTACCACAAACCTGGTAAGGCTTTTACATTAGTCAAAATGTATCTTTTTTTAAATCCAATTTTAACGTCATTTTTCCCTGAGTGCAAGTTTTTTTTTTTTAAGCAAGATTTTTACAGCTGGATGCCCTTCCTAATGCCAACCCAAACCCTAGTACGGCCCAGAATCATACATCTTCCATGGTAGATTTAATAAAAGATGGCCAAAGTTCACTTTTCGCAGAAAGATTTCTGTTTCGTATGAATTCTCTGGAAACAAATTTGACTTGAAGTTAATTCTCACCCTTGTCTATGTAGTACTGAAAGTTTATTGAAAGTTGGCCCCAGGCCACACATGTCTTTTATCAACATCCAATATATACATGTTAGGTGTAAGGCACAGGACAGGGCTGTCTTTGATAGAAAATGATGTAAGCTTCCAGAAATAGGCAGGTGTTTACAGTAGAAGTGAATTGTACACGTGCCTCTTGTTAGTTCTGCTAATATTGACTTCCTAATTGGATCACCCATGGCTTTGGTCTAAATTACTTCTCTGTGACTGCGTGTCCAAGTCACTAGGTCACAATCTTGGCAACATTTCTGTAACTTTGTGCTGAAAGATATTTTCAATGCAGATGATTTTTTAATATAGCATACAGAAATGAAAATTGCCATGGTACAAGTGTATTCTTCCAATAAACTGTTTAAAACTTTGTGCATTAAGCATCAATTAAAGCTTGAAACTCCATGGTTGAAATGATGCATATTTTCTAATCTGAAGTGACAGGTGTTGAATATTCTTCCAACCCATGTAAAATCTATTAATTGGAAAATATTGATTAGTGCTGGTATGACTGGTATGAAATCAAACATTTATCTTTTATTGATTAAGCCATGAAAAATGAAAGTACCCGTCTCCCTGCTGCCCCCTAAGAAATAGAGAATTGGTAACAAAATGGCTTTCTCAGTGTGGTAAAGGTTAATTGTCTGAATGCCAACAAACATCTCATGTTGCATATCATACATATGATATGAACCCAGGTAATCCCAGGAGAGTGTTGTTACGCATTTTCCTAGCTCAAAACACCAGACCACAACTGTAATTTTGTAACTATAAATAACACAAAAGGCATGTTGTACCCAGTATACCGGTACAGCACATTTAGATTTACATTGTACATCTTATTGGGTGCAGCAATGTATTGGGAAATATTCAGGGTTTTTTTTTCGGGAATGCTTGTCAAATATTTTTGTCAGATCTATATTCTACAAGTAGACCAGCTGAAACTCAACCATCATGTCTCCTTCCCAGAATTCCCCAGACTTGGACACGAGCAACTCAGGTCACATGACCAAAGAGGAAGTCCGCAGAGCGGTAGAACGGTACAACGCAGAGACTAACGGCCTGGTACTGCAACTGGTATGTTCTGAAACTGAATCTTATTAACATATGTTGTTTAATGTCTGATTTTGTTTTCTAATGTAGACAACTTTTTGTTTGTTTGTTTGCTTGTTTGTTTGTGCCTCTATTTGTACTCGAGTATGTACCTATATGGATACAGATTTACCCATTCGGCCATTTATGACGCTTTTCATTCTTAGACTAGTAGATTCTAGAGAACAGTGGATGACACGCAAAAAGTCATCTGCTAAGTTAACCATATTCTTGGCATTCTTTGTTATGAAAAATACGCCATACACATGCCATATTGTAAATTGAAAGTCATACAAGTTTAAAAGCCGTCAACATGTGTCCACACAAGTTAATAAATCAGATGTTTTGTGTGAGAAAATGTGAACACCAGAATTGTTTTGTAAATGCCCAGTTGTGCAGTACCGGTAGCTATCCTTCCTGTTGAGGTCAGAACTAAAAGTCAGGTTCTGATCTCATTTCCTCTTGTCTCAGTGCCAAGGTCATGCTTCCGGGGGCGTTCCTACCACAGGAATACCTGCACTGTCTTCTACCTTCCTTCTACTTAACCTTATGTACATGGAACTGTTCCAGTTCACTGACCACTACTTGTGTGGCAGGATTTTAGCCACTACACATGACCTTATTACCTAACAAACTGAGTATGTAATTAGACCTCCAGTATACGCGTAGTTGTGCCATCGATAGTTCTATTCAAATAACTGAAACTTGGACTGTCTGGTTCTACTTCTAGTACTAGTAGTAAACTTCCTTGTTAAGTATTTTGTATGACTGTTATTCCCAATGAACTTGATATAACCTTCCCTAACAACCCTCAGTGTTACTGTTTTAGTCTGCAAAGCAGTTGCAAAGCATTATGGGTAATGGGGTGAAGTCTGTCAGTTATGACTCAAATATAATTTCTTTTGTAAAACTGCAATTATATAAAGATGTAAAACCAATGGCTTTTTTTTAATTCTCTCCAACAGCAATCAGACGGTGAATCGTTCCGAGGCTACATCCGCGTACACATGAACCTGTCACGACCGGTAACGGTTGCCGCCGGAACACGACCTCTGACCCTATACGGCTCCTTACGAATCAACGACCAGGAAGACACGATAAAGGAGACGACGTCGTTCTTCCTCCCGCGGGACACGATCAAGGCGCTCCACATCACCAGCAACACCACGGTACGAGAGGTCATCCAGGCACTACTGAAGAAGTTCAAGGTCACGGACAACCCCAGGAAGTTTGCTCTGTTTGAGAAGACAGTGGAACAAGAGGGCAATGGTGAGTTATAGATAAGAATATGAAGTGACAGGACAAAAAATAAATAAAAACTAGGCATCCTATTATAGCCCCAAATGCTACGATAGGAGCCATGAAGTCAACACAAAAGGCTCAGTTAATATTCAAACAATCAATTTTGAACCACTGCATTGATAGATGGAAAATCTGTAACAACTAGGAAGAAAAGGACTTTCCTCAACTGTTGGGGGCAAAATATGAGCATTTTTTAGTTGATTCAGAACAAGAGTCTTTTTTTTTGCAAATCAGAAAAAATGAAGAGGCAAATCCGAGAACCAACAAATTAAATTGGTGTGGCCTAAGTACATGAATAAAGAAAAAATAAAGTTACAGGAACAACAGACGATAAACCAGATTGAGTGAGAGAGAGATCATCTGTGTCTAACAAATGCGGAGCAGAATATTTCCTAATCCCCCTCTTTCCCTTAGGAACAAAATGTAGGGTTACAATGTCACAGCTCTTTGAACTTTTTATCTACCTCCTAAACTTGAGATAAACAGGTTTTCCAGTCCCCTTTGTTCTCTGTGGTTCACACACTCGATGGAAAACACTCCATGGCAGAGCGTGCAGGTTGAGCCACTTGTGTGGCTAAGTGTGTGTGAAGAACAGGTCTGTGTTGACGTCAGGAGCACGGCTGGAAAGTGCCAGTCCCAGAGTTAGCTCCTGTAGTGTGTACAGAGGGTACGGCAAGGGGAACTTAACATCTTTTTCTCGGTAGTGTTACCACAGGTGGTACACATGAAAAATTACACTTACTAGTATGTCAAAACATGTACATGTGTACATGTACATATGCTACAGAAGGTACATCTTACAATACAAGACAAACATCATTGCAGTTATCGGTACTACTGACTAGAGCAGGAAAAAATGTTGTTTTTTCTAAATGGAAACATCAAGCATCTCCTGAACAAAAATCACAACTTTGGCCTTGATTTGGCTGAAAGAAGCAAAACAAATTCAGTACTGTTATATTTTTACTAAGTATTAGATATTAAATGTTGCTTTGATGCTTCCCTACAATGCATGAAGGCTTGCACGTAGCCTTGGTATATGGCCATGGACATTGTGTATCAGCACCATGATTGTAGAAGCAAAGCAATATTACAGAATGATGTTGACATACACTTCCATTAATGTAGCCTAGTTAGAAATGGACTGTTGAAACAAATGCATAATGTACAGAGGGCACTGGTGCTACCAAGGCTGCATACTGTTTCCCAAACACAGTGTAGTAATATTTGTGGCCCCTGATATTTACATGTATTAGACATCAGGATTTAAACAATTTTGAGAAATTTGAAAAAGCAGAGGCGCTACGCCCCCTGGAGGGGCATGTGGAGCTGAGTGAGTGAGAAATTTGAGACCTTAAAAAGTGTTAGGAATGGTGACTGATACATACCGCTTGTTATATGTAATGACTTTTACAACTTGTTGGCATCACTTCAGATTAAATGCAAGTCAGGTACATTATTTATCAATAGTCAACAGTCACAAAGTAATGAACTTTCAGATGATTTATGTCTGTAAGCACTGCTAGGCAACCTGAATATTTCCGCAGGGTTGTTCCACATGTAACCATGGCTGACAAAGTATTACAAACCTTGATGTACGTCATAACTAAACCTGTTAGACTCTGACCTTTATCCAAAGGTCTGGAAAAGGCAAAGGTCTGTTCTTTAACCCTCTCCCAGCTGCATCACCTTGAAGCCCTTGTATATGTGGTACTAAAGAACTGTCTCAGTAGTAAAAAGGTTAAAACTGGAAGGTTAATTTAAGTAATGTGACAGGTCCTGTAATAATGTTTTCTGATTGAAATGGCTTCTTTAATTACATTTGTGTCATCTATCATTTGCAGGTTGCAGGAAGCCATTTGCAAAGCACTCTGAAAGGCAGAATGAATGCAATTCAGTGTCGAACAGTCTGCCATGATATGTTTAGTAAAAGCATCTTTTTAGATTTTATTGTCAGAAAAATGTCTTGGCAACAAAACACAAAATATGCAATGATGTCATCTCTGCCACAAAGATGAAAATTTGTCATCAGAAAAAACATGAAATCATTGTATGGGCAATGAAATGATCACTGTTTTTACCCGTGATCCTCTCAAAATCATGGACTCTCTGCAGAAGAATAAGATGACTAAATTAGATAAGCACTCTGTCAACTGTTTATTCATATTTCTGTGATTTGTAGCTAAACCTGTAGATCTATACTAGTACCTATACCTGATGGTATGTTTAGGTACATGTATGTAGCACTTCAGTATGACACTCAGACTAAACACACTGTATTTCTCTGTTCTCCCCAGTCCTGATGAGGGTTCTGCCTGACACAGAGGAACCACTCCACCTCAGTCTGCGGTGGGGACCCAACAACACAACACACGAGTTTGTACTACAGGAGAACGAGTTCACAGGAGAGATCATGGTCAGAACCACTAAGTCTAACATAATCAATAACTTAACACTCAAAAAGCTCTGGGGGGTAGGGACTTGACCTGTAATATAGACGCCCATTGTTGTATACTATCAGCTAAATCACACTTCTAGCAGCTAGCTCTTCCACTGGAGCATGCCTATTCAGCTACATGTAAGACTTGGTCTAAAGTCACTCAATCATGTGTTACTTGTTTAAAACTCTGTGCTCAAAGGCTGTAATCTAGCTGTGATATCAATGCTGCAAAGATAGAGCTTTGTAATACCTATTGTCTCTTTAGACAGACAAACCGGTAGATACAGTAAACTAGAAAAGTAACATTTGCATTTAGCAACTGCATAATGGTCTGCTCTGTTAATTCTTACTCAAACACATTCACATATATGGTGACAGGAGTCTAAATCCCTCCTACTGTAAAATTGCAACATTACAAATGTATGTAACCCAACTCCAGTTACCATGGAGAGAGATGGTCTGGTTCAGATCATTGACTAGGTCAGAGGTCACTGTTTGGAGAAAACGTGGCAAAAACCATATGTTTTTCTTCGGTAAACATAGAAATAAAAATGTTTCTCTCCCCACCCCAGTGGGATGCGTTCAGCCTCCCGGAGCTGCACAACTTCCTGACGATCCTGGACCGTGAGGAGGATGAACACCTGAGACAGGTGATGGACAGGTACAACACCTACAAGGAGAAACTGGAGGAGGCCTTACTGGGAGTCTCACCTGTACAGTGCTCTGCATGACAACACACAAACAAACAAACAAACACATCCTTCAGTGGGGAACAGTTCTGTGATGTATAGATCAGAAAAACAGCCAACACTGGTTATGTTGAACAAGGAGCTTCAACTTGCTTTGAAGTAACAACTTTAGTTTAATTGGGGGAACCATCTCCAAAATACAGGTTACATATTGAGCAACCTGGTATAAGTCTGTGAAATTTCAGATGGAAAATTAACTTTAACTAGACAAAAGTCACCAAGTTTTGCAATCATGTTTTGAAAGAAGTTAGTGACGTTTTGGTGTCAGAAAAATTGATTCAATTGCTTTCATTTGAGGGTTGTGTTTTGGGATCCTATGTAATGCTGTAACAGTTCATTGGTTTATGGACCAGAAAACAATTAATGCTGGCTACTTTGAATTTTGAAGAAAAAACACAGGGAACAGATTAAGATTATTATATGATAAGTGTAATGGTGTAACTGTAGAACATATACAGCTTGCAAGAAAAATGCCTAACACGTAACTGCTACTATATTCAGGTTGCACAATGATCAACCTAATAAATTTGTGTCAAATTTCAAGCAGAAAATTAGCTTACTAGACCCTCAGTACGTTTTGCAATCATGTTTTGAAAATAGAGTACTTCTAACTACTCTCCATCTTCTCTGACTTGATAAAGCCAGGTTTCCCTAGCCCGGGTTGTTCGATGTTATTGCATATTGACCCAGGTTCTCCCTTGTGCCTTTAACACATTGCTTTTAAAAGGGTGCCCTTAATAGAGAGAAATATGCGCAGGTAGAAGTTTGAGAGTAATTGTGCCAGTGGCAATTAGGTGCATGCAGACACCGTATAGGCTGCTGGCATTTAATTATTGTGTTGCTATATTTTCTGTTTTTTGCTGGGCATAATCTTGGAGTTCATTGTAACTTTTGTTCAAGACTTGTAGTGCAAATGTAATCTCTACTGATTTGCCTACTTTTATCTTATAGAGCATTTTTGAATAAGAAATAATTTTGTTACATTGTGCTGTTGCAATGATCTATGTTACGTGTTACATATTTGATGAAAAACCACCTTGAAATTTCTGGGATTTTTTCAGTCCTTCTAGGAAAGTGCAATGGCTAAATTATGCAAAAATCATCATGCCTTTAAAAATGTTGCCTAAAAGCCATTGTAGTGATTGTAAATTAACTAACTCATTGAGACAGTAACACACCACGGTTACTGTAGTATATGATGCCAACAAAAGCAATGTGCTTTTTCAACAGGCCAAATTTAGACATGTAAATATTTTTGAATGTCAGAGAATAAATTAAGTTTCAGGGTGGTTGTAAAATGTAAGTAATTTGAAATATGTATCCTGCACCCTATGAACGTACCAGAGTATGATACCAAAGATACAATATTTTCAAAGTGTAAATTGTACAGCATTGGAAAGTTGAAAACAAACTGAAAACGTAAACATTTGGTGGCTCTCTTGTATATTTTAGTGTCTAATATATTTAGGTAATACAACTGTAAAAAATGTAAAGTTTGGGGCAAATGTAATATTACAGGTAAGTTTGGAGTATCTGGTACCTTCATTCTCCATGAAATAGTTGTAAACATTATACTTTATTTTCCTTTTGTCATGCCAAATATGTAATTATTCAGATAATACTATGAAATGTTTTATTCTGTTATCCTTAGATGGTTTAAGTATTCTATATTTTGTGAACATGTGCCTTGGAAATATTCTATTCAAAGTTGTGTTAAATTATACTTCCATATTCTTTTATTGTCCTTATTTGCACGTAAACAAGATTTAAATATGCACTTATTACTGTGCCCTTGAATATTTTGTTTTATGAAATATTAACAGCTTACTATAGTGCCTTACAATGTAGTTTCAGAGATAGACTCTGGCTGCTATCTAAGAATTGTGAGTACGTAAAACTTTTAGTTGATTGATTGGAAATGTGATTCAAACAAGGTCATGTCACTACTGGTTGTTTCCAACATCATAGCCTCCTTAGCAGTCTCTACAGGCTGGGCTTTTTGGGGCCTACATTGAACGTGGACCTATAAAGCCTGCTGAGGAGGCTACTAACCTCACACCTGGAACTTTTTGGTTTAGTGAGAAAATCTACCAGTGATTAACAACCAGAATAATTTCTGTGGCCTTGGTGATGTTGAGTCTTCTAGTAAATATAAGGTGGCCATAGGTACATGTAGGTGCCAAAGACATGTGCAGCTTTCACATGTGCTAGCTGAGGCTTAGAACAACTTGTGCAAATCTCATCTCAATACACAACGGAAGAATCAATATGTAGACCAGTTTGTGTCTTTTGCCTTACAAGAAATCAACCTTTGTTGAACAGTAAACAAGGATAAAACTTAATAGACGTCTGTGTGTCTTGTGTGTGTGTGTTAGCTGTCTTTACCAAAGTTGGGCTGAACAGATTATGTATCAACATCAACATTCTCACTTCAAATCCTATACACACCTGATCCACACAAAAAATCAAACAAACATTTACATGTTCACACAGCCTATGTAGCAAGTCTAAGAACTGGTGTATTCTGCAATTTGTAGACAGGTTTTGCAAAAGTCAGACAACAATTTCATCAGTCTCACATGAACCAAGTGCACATCAGTACCACAGACTAAATACACTTATTACATGTATATCAACGATAAATACATATTAACTAACTTATTAACTTGTTACTAAAACTGCAACAATTTTACCAACAAAAATAAATCATAGTTAATGAATGTGTATACACTACAGTTCTAAGGAGTTCATCAGTACATTTCATTAACATTTTGTTTACACTGCACATACGTCAAATTTGAAATTCATTTCAACAAGTTGTTGTCAATGTCGTGATGAAGTTTTAAATTTTTTGTAATGTTAAGTGAGCTAAGTGGACCAAACTAATGTTGAAAGATCCATGCACCACTTTACGTGGATAATTCTAATACAGTATTTGTTTTCTATGTTACTTAAAGTATTTAGTTACTACTGATTACACCTTTTACCTTTTGTTACTGATAATGTGATATTTAAAACTGTTAGGATAGTGTCAGCTTGACTACATTGTGCTTACAGCAGCCCTTTAGTCTTCTAGTGCACGTGTGACAGACTAAGGACGGAGCATTGTGCTTAATGTTGGCACTTTTTAACTGTTTCCCAATATCATGGTCTTAAAATTTGGACAGTGAATTTCAACTGCATAGTGCACCAGGAGCACCCCTGGTCTAAAGCAAATACTTACTAATATGCAAGATTATCAACTAATGAATTAGCAAACAGAAGAAAAGTAACACTTTAGCTAATGTGTACAGGTTACTACACAACTTCTTTTGTGACAAGGAGACAGCTTACGTTAAACTAACTTTCCAAGTGCTTTTTTTGCGCAACAAAGAAGAAAAAAAAGAACTGTCAGTTGACTTAAACTTTGGCTTGTTCAATTTTCTTTCCAATATAAACTCTGCAAATTTTGTTGATACATGTACTTTGCCAATTTCTCTTCTGGAATGACAATGTAGCATTACATGAGTAACAATGACAATGAACAAAATCACCTTGGCTGTTCATCAAGTACTAGTAATAAAATCTTTAGCTCTGACTCTTTCTTTCCACAAGGCTACATGTATGTGTACTTTGTAGCATATATAAGCCCAGTACAACTTAATCAAGCAGTTTTAGTTGAACTAACATAATATGGCAATGTCTGATTTCTGGGCAGCAAAATAAAACAACAGATTCATGGGGAAGATGTCACTTGTGGTGCTTCCTGTCAAGACGCTATACTTTCTTGAAGACATGACTCCTGTAGAACTGCAGCTCCTTGATACTTTCCCTGATGTCTTCCAGGGCCCGGTGAGTAGCCGACTTCTGCGGGGACGTGTTGTAGTCCTCAGGGTACCAGCGCCGACACAACTCCTTAATCGTGCTCACTGTGGAATAAGATATACACCTTAGCTGTCATAGACTTCAAAGTTACAGTCCAACATATACATACATTGTAAGTAAGGACTACCTGGCTATTGACAATTTACAGTCAAACCTGTACAAGTAACTTACGGTCAAACCTGTACAACAAGACCAACTCTACATAAGGACCAACCAAGGAAATAAATAAGTGCCACCTGATCTGGATTATACATTTTGTGTAACAGCAAAGTTTCCCTACCATCTATAATTCTGTAGTGCAGGTGGTTCATGAACTGCGGCATGTACTTCTCCAGGAACTTCTTGTCCACGTGAACGGAGTTCCCCGCCAGCGGACAAACGCCCGGGGGCGTGTACTGTCGCACAAACGACAACATCTCGTACTCCGCAGCCTGCAGCGACAGCTCACTTCTCCTCACAGCCTCCGTCAGCCCTGACTTCCCGTGGTGTTCCTAAAGTACAGAAGGCAAGAAATAACTGACATGTAAAAGAGCTTTCCTGATGGTCTCATGGTGGAACAACATGCTTGATGTGACAGTACATATGTGAACACACTAGCTAGAAACAAGACTGGAAAAGTATATGGGAAGAGATCCAGTGAACATTTCCATCTAAAACTTGCTCTGGAAAAAGAAATGTAATATTCTTGCTTTGGATGACCCACACAGACCAGAATTCACAGTAAATTGAAGCCCCAACAAGAAAACCTACTTCGCATTTGACTTGGGGAACAATCACATTTCCAACCAATGGTTCACTGATGTTTTATTTTTGTTGTTGTTTTGTTGATGTTATTGTTGTATAGTTTAGGCGGGGTCCCGTGGGATACCCAACTGCAAGGGCATCGGTTTGGAAATGTGACTTTAGCATACTAGTAACTGTGTCCATCTACAGAAGTCCTACCTTGCACCAGTCGTTCATGGTGTCCAGTACAGAGTCCGGCTGGTGGATGACCAGGTCCGGAGCCTCGGCCACCACGTTCATGTCGTCGTCAGTTATCAGACACGCCATCTCGATAATGTGGCACGAGTCCAGGTCCAGTCCCGTCATCTCCAGATCCACCCACACCATCCGCCGAGACATCTTCACAGCCTCGTCCATCGTCTGCGAACAGTTCCTTGAAGGCACGGAGAAACCCTGAGAACGACTTAAGGTATTGGCGAGAGAAGCAAACCTGAAGAAGGTTCGATGGAGCATGAGAATCGCCGCCGGACTTCTTGAGAAGTTGGGAGGAAACTTTCCGACTTCCTTCGAGCTCGAGCGTGGCAAATTCTACAGCCGGCTGACCTTTGAACTGTTTCTGGGGTAAACCATTGAGTGGAAATGGTCCCAAAGCTTTATTTCACTTAATTTTCTCTGTAATTTCGATAATATCATAAATGCTACATATCGTTTTTAATTCTAAAATCTGATAAATAGGAAAATTGTTTTTAAAATTCGCAGATTCCAATAATTTAGAAATAAATCTGCAACCCCCCTAATTTCAATGACGTATCCCGATCTGTTACCTTTGACCTTATTTAGAAAAAATGGCCGACAGAATGAGATATTTGTTGTTTTTCGTCTGACATTTGACAGAATCCCGCGATAGTTTTGTCTAGATGAAGAGATATTTCAGCAGGATGGGAGGGTGGGGTTCCAGACTAGTTCGCCGCTCTGCTGAGTACCTGTTCGGCTGGGAGCAGAAGGCGCTGCCGGCCGGGGAGCCCGGGACTCACGCCTGGGGGAGGGCGACGTCCGCCGCCGAGAGCAGCGCCCTGGCCACCCCGTTCGTCTTCCGCCGGAGAAGGTACGAGTGTGCTGGGGTCCAGGGTCTTAACAAAATACGAGGAGGGGCGTATATGGTAACGTAACCGACCGGCAACATAAAATTACAAAATGTACATCAAATTATGCAAATCGTATCATAAATAACAGCAATTAGAAAATTGATGATGTCACCTGACATTTGTGCAAGGCATTAAGGGAGCATACCCTTGAGACACGCATAGGTGCGTGAACTTATTGTGCGTGTGTGTGCGTGCATGTGTGTGTGCGTGAATACGCTTTAAATAGACAGTACAAAATGATTTAACAATAACTGATTACTGGGTTTCATGTGCCATCTTTGATAATGTTTACATTATATAGTAAGCTGCTCCCTGTGTCACTAGTGGAGCAGTAAGCTAGCCAGTACAAAGTTAGCACAGATTGCAATTGTGTGTCCTTTCCCAGCTCGTTGTTTGTGGACCTGGATGGAGATGTGGCCCACGAGTTCTATGAGGAAACTCACTACGTGTGCAATGGACAGAAACGGGCAGGGATGAGGAGGATATTTGATGACCTCACGCCACTGGTAAAGTCTTAGCGGATCATATTTTTATTTTTCATCTCTTCTAGTATCAATTGGTTCGACTGCCTACATGTAACTATACGCTGCTGTAGTAAAACCTAGCCTGGGTGCCATCCTCTGTAGTCTTTGCCCGCTCCCTAATGTCACTGGGTACCACGCGTACAACATTAGGGAGCAGGCGAAAACTACGGAGGATGGCACCCAGGCTAAGTAAAATTAATCTAAAACCAGCTGTAGGTGTTACAAAGGTGGAATACCTGTTACAAAGTACCAGGGAACAGTAACAGTCAATGCAGGATGTGTAGTTGAGATTTATGACTTTAACCAAATGGACTAATGATATGTCCCTTTGTAAGCGTTAAGGCTGAAATATTTACAGTTAAAAACCCTGTGCCTTTCCAAATTCCAAGTGATCAAGATCAATGTAAAATACATGTAAGTCTCAAGAGACTGTATTGCCAGTTGACAAAAGTAGTCAATTTATTCTCCTATTAACATTACAGCTTTCAAAATTACAAATTTGTTCTAATCTAAATATACTACATGTAACTTGATTCAGGCTGTTATTATGAGCATAAGTGTACCATGTTGTAGTACTAAATAAAAGTGATTAAGTTTAAAGCAGTTTGCTTGTTTCCTCCCACCCCAGGGCACAGTTGAGCTGGAGTTCCCCAGACTACATGTGGACATGCCGTTTGTCCTGTGTGATTCCCTCACCTTCTCATCAGTCAGATAAAACCAACAGACTTCAACTTAACTTCCTCCAAGGAGTCATCTTCTCTTCTGTCCATCCATCCTTCAGCCCAGGACGTGGCTGTATGAGCTGCCTCATGGTTTGAACTGCACATGTACAAGGTCCAATGTGAAGGCCCCTAACTTAAAGACAGTTCTTGTCTAGATCATGCTTGATACCATGTCAAGACATGTTTGTTCATGTCTCTGGGGCCCTCAACTTTGACGTATTACCCAGACATATTACACAGTGCACATGTACAGCAGTTCCAACCATGAAACGACTTGTTGTTGGCACTGGGTTCTTCTAAGTACTAGTACATACATAACTTTGTCCATGTGCAATGACTGAAGAATAGGTGACACAAGTATTCCGAAAGACAAGGAACAAAAGAATGCCAAGTCGAATCAATCTTAATTCTCAACATCATTTAATGTCTCAGTTTTCCCAAGGATCATCATTGCATCAATGATGGGTGAAGGTAAGGGCCATCCTGTCCAGACAAAATGAACATGTCCCTATGAAAAGGATTGGAACTAGAAAGGTTACCCTTTGCAAATGCATAATGTTTACCTTTGCATATGGTCTGCTCCGTTAATTCTTACTCAAACACATTCATATATATTTTGACAGGAGTCAAAATACCTCCTGCTATATAAAACTGCAACATGATGTAACCCAACACTAGTTACCATGGTGACAGACGTCTGGTTCAGGTCATTGACCTTATTGGTTAGGAGAAGAAGAGGAAACAGAGCAAAAACAATATGTTTTCCCTTGGTAAACATAATAAGGTCAAACCACAAAATCACACCAGGAGGCGAGCATGGTTTGCTAGCAAACATGACAAGGTCTAGAGGTTGTGAAAACCCTACAGTCTCAATTCACAGATTACAGTCTACTGTTCCAATGGTCAGATTTTTATGTACCGCAGTACCCATGAAAATGTTAACTATGGTCCAAAGTATGACTTGTATTATTGAAGTAAAGACGTATGAAGTATAAGAAAAGGAAATACAAATTTATGTATCAATCTGCAGCTGGAAGTTTCCAGCTACATCTAAAGATGTGAATATTTAATAATTGTTTTCTGTGTTGTAGTAACCCAGTTATTCATTGAGAGTACTTATTGAGCTTTATAGTAGATAGAATATTTCAAAAAGGAGTGAACTCCATGTCAGTAGTTTAAATTCTGCTTTGTAAATAAAGCAGTAGAGTGGTAGAATAAGGATTGTCACAAGCAGACAAGCACGGGGCTGTTCACCTTGAACATTTTCAAGCAGATTATGATTATAAATATCTTCAATTTTTTGTCATATTTTGATTTATATTGTACATGTACATGTATGTCTCGTTAGTAGTGGGTTTTTTTTCTAGGGACACCTGTAAAAAAGCAAACTGAAGTCACTTCACAGCTAGAGTGTTAGACATCTGTCCTGATGGCTCATCAGCACCATCTAGCAGTTGAATGGAGAACTGCATATACTGTTGCAGCAGTTGAAATACTAGAAAAAGAAATAATGTAATAAATGTTAAAAATTTAAGATACTATTTGTTTAGGCCACACCAATTTAATTTGTTGGTTCTCAGACATTTTTTATCATTTGCAAAAAAAAAAAATTCTGGTTCTGAATCAACTCAACTATGCTCGTATTTTGCAATCCCAACAGAATAGTTGTCAAAAGTCCTTTTCTTCCCAGTTGTTACAGTTTTTCCATCTATCAATGCAGTGGGGTTTTTTTTATTAAAAGTTCAAAAGCCATTGTTTAAATATTAACCCAGCCTTTTGTGTTGACTTCATGGCTACTATCGTAGCATTTGGGGCTATAATAGGATGCCTAGACCTGTGTTTTTGTTTTTGTTTTTTTTTTTGCCGTCGCTTCATATTTTTTCTGAAAAAAAATTAAATAGGTGTGGTCTAGGTTCTACTAAAAGAAAATGTGTCATCAGTAGTTATTGAATACATAAGAGGTGACCAACTTTTTGCATCCAGTTGGCAATATATAAATGTCATGTTGATATTAATGAAAACATAATTATTACACTTCCACATTGGAAGCCACCAGGACCTAGTTTTAATCCACATTAGATAAAAATCAATACATTGTATATGTCATTGTCAGAGGCAAGTTAGTTGAATAAATTATTGATTCAACATTCAGATATCATAGTTTTTAGTCTTCATTTCTGTACAAGCCTGGAGATAGTCTATATTGTGTGTGTGTGTGCGTATGTGTAGAGACACAGGTACATGTGCAAACATAAACCATACCACATTTGTTTTATTTTAAGCACACCAGAAATTACTGCCTAATCATCACAATGATGATTTGGACTGATATGGGACGTTTGAAAGAAACATACAAATTTTAAACAAATAATCTGGATCCAAATTTGTAAGGAAATGATTGTACTTAAGGTGCAAACTGATGATTGTACTTAAATAGTTTACATGTGAGTGACATACAGTATATGGTACACTTCCAGTTAATGTTCTGTTTACACTGAAGTTTCTTAATAAACATCTTAATACCATAAATACATTTAAATCCTGGTAACTACTGCAGTGACTGTATCTACCATAGTTAGGGAATGTGTTATCTATGCTTGAATATAAACCACGTTAACAAACATAACTTTACATGTTACACTATTTCCAAATATTGTATAGCAATTGCATACCACAACTAAAATTACAAGTCAAAACTGTATGAATATCAAAATTGCAAAATAACAGCCAGGATATATAGTATTTGCTTCAAAACAACAGCTGATTCAAACCGATTAAATGTCTATGAAGGTTAAGAGAATCACAAGAACACAGTTAATGGATACATTTTGAAAACTTCAAGTAGCATCCACTACTTTTTGTGACTTCTTGCATATACTAGTAGACTACAAGCAGAATTATATCACAATCAAGAAATGACAAATCCTAGTCAAAACAACATATTCTAGCATGTGGCATACATGTATGGCTGTAGTGGTTGGCATTATTGCAAATTATTCTTTAAAAAAAAGTTTAAAGAGCAATTAATGCACATTTCAAGTAACATGACTGTCTGACTGGAATGTTAGTCATCTAGAATTCAGCATCTTTTTGGATCTTCCAAAGTTCTAAGTTCTTATTGCACAACTCAATCACAAATAGAAGGTACAGATCTAGAATTTCACAACAAAACACCAAAGTCACCTTAGAGAAATGTAGCCAGATATTCTCCCTTACAAGTAACATCAAAACATTAACAAATGATATGCAAAATATTATCTCACTGAAAGGCAAGGCCAAACCATTAGCTTCCTTGGTTCTTGGGCTGTATGAAAGTATTTTAAAAAATAGGGAATATTATTGCTCATAAATGTATAACTTTTGGCTGGATTCTGGTCAATTTTTTCTTGGTTTTCAAAAAACATTAAATTGTAAAAAAAGAAATTTAAATTACTTTGTTTTTCCACTTAAATTTCCTTTACAACCAAGACCCAAGAAATCAGTGGTGCCATGCCCTGGCATACATTCATAATCATAATATACCATGCATACAAAATCACTGTCAGTAACAAATCTACAGACCCGACAAATACAAATAAAAAAACAACTACCTTGTGGTCAAATAATCATATGACCATGCAAAATATATACATTATACAGATCCATTCACCAATGTTCTAAGATATACATATACATGACATCTCATAATCAAAAAATTAACAATATCCTTGTTACAATGACTATGTCCCTGACACTTTTCTTATGGAATGACTGAAAAGATCATAATATATATATGTCCAACCTTGAGACACAAGCAAGCTACATTACACAATGTTAACTATTACTGTGTGGGGACAATCTATTAATTCTATCAAAGAGAAATCATTCTGTCAGTACATTCTCTCAAAACACATCAGAAATGCAACCTGTATGAGAAGAAAACTTACTGTGATTGACAGTGTGTGTTGTCTTCGTCTTTCCCTGTTTTATTATGTGTACTTTCTGATGTGTTATTATTTTTCCTGGAAGAATTTTCATTCATGCAACTGAGAAACAAAGATATCAGCAGCAAGACGTGATTTTTTGAAAGAATTCTAACCAACAAAAAATATTTAAAAATCTTGCAGCCAACAAATGATATGATTGTTTCAAGAAATTATAATCTCACCATTGCACAGTCCTAGAAAATCAAGAAGTCAAAATATTCCTACCAGCTTTGGAAGAGGAGTTTTAACTGGGGCATGAGGAACAAAAATGCATTTTCAAAAAGGCAAGAATGCTTAAAAAGAATGTTTTTTTTCTTGAAGCAAGACACATAAGGAATGTACCCTGGAGCTACCTAATAGTACTTTACATAAAATCTTGCTATCTAGCTACACATACTGTGTAAATGATCATCAACAATTTCATTTGTTCCATTGGATTCTATGTAGAAAGGACATGTTTTCAAATTTTCCCACTGAAATTTTAAATTGAGGGACTTGATTTGGAAAGGGAGCAGAAACATTGCAAATTTGGAGGGGATGACGCTGTGTCATTGAAGTAGGGATCCAGCTGTAGTAGCAGCAGTAGTTAAGGGGGGTCTTTATTGTCAGGGGGTGAATCTTGTTGATAGGGGGTTCTCATATGTTGGAGAGCTGTTGTTTTGGTGTCAGCTGGATTGACTCAAATGGGTTGTCTCCCTCTCCCTGTAGGGGAAAATCAGAGAAACGTAAGGTTAGTTCAGTGGGAAGTAAATTATTATACTCTGTCCACTGTCATACATGTACATGTATATATAACAAACCATGGCTTCCCCACCCTCTACAGACCATGGCTGGGAGTTAACAAGGTCATCTGAGGTTTGGAGGTGATTGGCAAGTTTGCCTACTAGACTTTAAAAGCTGCATGATTTTGACTAATCAACAGATGATGATCCGATAGTTTCATCAGGTTGGTAAGTCACTGAGTAAAGAGGCTCTTTTTACACAACCAAGTCTTTTATCCAGACGACATTTTGGAGACCGATTGTAGATACAGTTCCCTATAACCACGCATATATGTAGATATGTAAATATTGTACATTTGGGAATGCATCCATAGCAGAGACACCTGTGCTGCAGTGTAATGTGAACCAGTCAGAATTGCCCTGAGGAAGGTGACAGATGGTAACGTTGGCTAAATAAAAGACTTGGTTATGTAAAAAGAGTCTCTTTACTCAACAGATGATGTTGATGATTTTCAGGATTAGACACTGGAGAAGAGTGACTTACCGCCATCTTGGACTGCATCTTGTTCTTGAACTTGTTGAACAGCGTGGACGCCGAGTTCCCGCCCTCGTTGAAGATGACCTCATCCTCGTCCTCCCCATCATCCACGCAGGACTCCACCTTGGGGAGTTCTCCCGGCTTGGAGGAGTTCTGCATCAGCCGCATGTACTTGTACTCCAGTCTGGGGGGAGGGCAAAAACACAACATCAGAGAAACTCAAGATTATGGACTTTCCTGTTTCCCGAAAGCTTAAAATGTATCAGTGTCTCGCGTTCCTGCCTTTCTACTTACTTCCTGTTCTTCCTCCAGAAGTAGACCAGCATACAGACCAGCAGGATGGAGCAGCAGGTGGCCAGGCCTACACCAATCTGGACCTGAGGGGGAGAAACAACATTATTGACGGTGTTTCTTTGGAAGGTGTAACAAACACAACATGTCATAAATAGCACTGACAACTACCCAACTCATCATTTTTTCAGAGACACATACCAGGTGACCAACTCTGCATAAGGACCATCATCACCATTATCTATCAACAGCATGACAAAGAATCCTGTCTACAGGAACAACTTATCTACTGTGACCATACTATTTCTTTAAAGTGGTAGAATGAGTCATGTTTGACTGTAGATCATAACCTACCATAGGGTCCCTGATGGAGAGAACATGGCACTTCTTAGTCTGTGTCTGTGGAAGGGCCACACCATCACGACAGGTCCTGCAACACAGTACACAATTTAACAAGCCTTCACTTTGTATCACTTTTATTACACGCTTAGGTAGGGCCACATTCATATACTTCATATCATACCAGAAACTGTGAGACTATCTTTACACTGCCCCTCATTGGAATTATTCTTCCATAAAGTACTAGCGAAACATCACAAACAAACAAACTGTTGTACCTGTACTCTGTCTGTGTCCAGAGGAACTGGGTGACCTGTTTCCCATCCTTACACTGCCCCTCGATGCTTTGGTAGTCCTCCTCAGTACACAGGGGACAGGCCTGCCGCGTGTGCCACAGGAAGTGGAAGTCACACCCTGGGAACAATAGCAAACAAACAAAAATGACTTCATGTTGCTTGTGATTTCTTATTAAAAAGTTTTACCTACAAGTCTCTTTTCAAGTAATGTTGCTTAAACAATCCTTTCAAGATTTTGCAGATGAAGACAAGACCCGAGAAAGAAGCAATCTGTTCCTAAAAGATGCAGCAGAACTGAAATCCTGACCTGTACAAGTGCCTGTAGGACAGCCCCGTGGGAGTTCTATCTTCCCTTCGTCCGTTTGGGTGTAGTCACAGCGCAGGTAGATAAGCGTCCGCCGGCCTTCAGGGCAGGCCATGGTGGACCTACAGGGTACAATCACACATCAATCATCATGGTAAAACCTGTATTATTGCTAGATATCTGATTTGATGTGGTTTCTGTGCAATTAGTTCTTACTCTGTACTGGTAACATTAGCTATATCAACACGGTACTTTCAAACATCCGTCTCAAGCATGGAAAGTATAGGATGCAAAAAGGACTGTCAGAATATGGAACTAATAAAAAATATCATGTAACTTCCTAACACAGTACATTTGAGTGATATGTAGTTTCTTTTCTCTTTGGCTTTGCATCAGTCTCAGAGTCTATAACAGTTACTGAAAGCTGTTTTCTCAATCAGGCAATGCAAAACACTACTGTCAGAACAATAAATCCTAATATACATTGTAGTCTACAGAAACTCGGATAAGTTTCTTTAATTTGAAAGTGTACACCCATGACTCACTTTTCTGACTGGAACTCGAACATGAGATCGTGGATGCCGTCCTTCTCCGGATCAAACAGGTCGACCATCTCAGACATCGCTGTTCCCGTGTTGTTGACGCCAGACAGGGTCACGTTCAGCAGGCGATCTCCCAGACTGGAAAACAATGGGAAAATTGTACTTTTGTAGTCTACTATTATAATTGTGTTTTCACTAGGATTGGCTTAACAGAGTATCAATGAAACAGTTATTCTAGGGTTCCATGATTTCTAGTTTGTATAATAAGTATGTGTACATTATATAATGCTTAGGTATATAAGGATCCTACTTTTGGAACCGGCAACTTCTTGCTTCTTTTTTTCCGGTTGACTTGTCACAATTGACTACGTACCTAAATCTAAGCTACTCATTCCAAGTACAGGTGATTGATTGATTGATCCTTACCTGTCAGGCTGTGCAGAGATGACCTGAGCGATGCCCTTGTTGTTGGTAGGGATGATGGTGGATCGACACACCATGCCTTTCACCACATCTCCAACCTCTCCAGGCTGCCGGGACACAACATGACATTTGGTCAGTACAACATTAAAGTACATAGAGGCTGTGGAAACAAACTTATTTCCTAACTTTCTAAGAATCATGAATTGGGAAGAGTAACCTAAGAACTAAGTGTTGAGAAGGCTATATTAGCAATCTTAGTTAAACTTTTACAGATTGCACTGCCACTGAAAACCATATAAGGGATAACTTTGACACAGTACTCCCTTATTTAGCTCTCACAATTTACCTTGACTTCACATGCTTCAAATTTGCACACACAGAAGTTTCAACACATTTTCCAGTGACGTACAATGTAGGGAATAATATGAATTATAGGAATTATCAAGATACCAAATTAAGCAATGTTGAAAACACATATCAAAGAAACTGTCCGTGAATGCTCCCTTACCCTGCCGCCCTGTCCCTCCACAGATGTGATGTTGTCCAAACACGAGGCCTCTCCGATCCCATTGTTCCCACACAGAGAGATGTTGAACTGGTAGTAGTACCGTGTACCCATCGCCGTGAAGGTTGGGGCAGACTGCACTGTGTGGAACCTGGGAGGCAATGAGTAAAACAATTATCAGTCAGTGGAAAACCTCACTCATGTTAGGCAGGGTATATATATACAGGCTATTCGGTGGGGAAGTCTTCTTTGCATTATAAAGGGTTGAACTTTGTGACAACATCACAGATGTCACTCATGTGATACTACCCATTGGTCAAATTATCACAAATAGTTGGTCAATTACAAGGTATACTACAAAACGAACAAGGAAGAAAAACTGACCCTTTCAGCCCTGTCAAGTCAAACTTGTGCCCTTGTGCATCAGTGTAGGTGCAGTCACTGTAGCAGGCTGTTCTGTCTTCATTGCTGAAACACAGTCAAATTTCATTAGGACATACCGAGGGTTAGATATACATACAGTTTAATGTTGATGTCTGATGGCTGATACATTTGTCCTATTTTGATGCTTAATTACATATCCATAATACATACAGAAAAAAATCCACTCTAAAAATCTACTCTAGTTGTGAAAAGTATACTAATCACAACTACATCGTCTTGTGACAATTTTTGTACTGTATTCAGGATATCATCAGTATTACTAGTATGATTGAGCAACCCCATTACACAATGCATCCCCATTAATAAGAATACAAACTGTAGAACATTACCTGGTGGTTCCCTCACTACAGGGCACACAGGGGCCATCATCAGCACCGAAGTTCAGGTACGTTCCTACAGGTCAACAGGAGGGGAGTTAGCCACTATACATGTGCATGTCAGTGTCCACACTCTGGTAAAATGTGCAATTCTACACGTAAAGATTCTCATAGATAGGAGTCTCTAAAAGATCTGACTTGCACCTCAAGGCACTAATAGTGAAGTCCTTACCTTTGGGACACTGCTCACATGTGTTGGTGTCTGGGTTGGCAAAAAAGCCCCTCTTACAAGGGATGCACCTGTACATTTGAGAAACCACATACTTTAGACATTACATGTACATACTGGCTTTACAGACACTTACAAAATACTGCTGATTCACAAAACGTATGAAAAACAATGAAAAGGTGTCACAAACAGTATCTGGTTTGAGCTATACTATGGGCCCCTCAGGTGAAGAAATACACAGCGTGAGATTCATCTCCGCACGCGGGGTTGGCACGTTCGTGTGAAACGTCCCGTAGCCCCGTGAGCGCACGCTGTCGGTATGTGGGGCCCATAGGCGTGTATCACTTCCCCTAGCTGCACGCTCGCACGACCGGAGCTATCGCGTGTATTCCTTCCCCTAGCTGCACGCTCGCACGACCGGAGCTATCGCGTGTATTCCTTCCCCTAGCTGCACGCTTGCACGCCGGAGCTATCGCGTGTATCCCTTCCCCTAGCTGCACGCTCGCACGACCGGAGCTATCGCGTGTTTGCCTTCCCACTGCCCACACTTCGCACGACCGGAGCTAACCTTACGTGTATTTCCTCAATACGAGCCGAGTAAACACGCATTTCGCGACCGTATAATGTGAAACGGAAGGCCGGACGTTTTGACTGCCTGGATGTGCGGATGGACCTATCGGCCGAATCAGTTCAGACACGTGAATTGATTAAAAACAAACGAGGTTTACGAGCGGGAGAACGGCGACGTGTTTTCAACGGACCATTTTGATACGGTGCGCGGTATAATTTTCGCGTAGGGACATATCACACAACCGGCGCGTCGATACTTACAACAGCAGACATTAACCACTTAGATTTACACAGACATGTGTTTACTGACTCCAACAGAGATATGTTACGGTGTTTTAGGAGCGTCTTTTTTTACAATGCACTTTTCTTGATGATCATCTTTTCCACGACTATTAAAAGTGTACAACGTGAAAAACGAAAACTGAGAAGACGAAGTAGTACCCGCCGGGGCTAGGGGAAGGATCACACGAACGTGCCAACCCCGCGTGTAAAGAAGAATCTCACGCTGTGTTTTTCTTCATTTTCGATACCCCATGTATACCTGCTGGTTTAGATGACACTTCAGCACACTTCATTTTGATTTCTTACAGAAATCTACACATCAATCCTTATACAAATCGATATCAAGGTTTGACCAACCTAATGCTTGTTTAATGTGATTTGATGTTCTAGCTACACTCAGTTTCATCCATCATACCTGGCGTTCTTACTGCCCTGAGGACAGGCGGTGCAGGATGATGCTCCTCCGTCCACTGTGTTGGTCACATTGATCATGTAGATACGCGCCCTGAAACACAAACAATATACAGTAAGTTACGTATACCATGATATCACTTCAGCAGAGGATGAGTTACCAAAGATAACACCCTAAGCATAATACACAAGAGCTGTAAGTCATCTGTCAAAACTTAAGACAGAAGTAGAAATATTAAAGGTCTGTCCTGCATTCTTCCATAAATGAGGTCCAATCTAGTGAAAAAAATCTGCTCAAATATGCTCCTTTCATTGATCATCTCTACTGTGGGTCACACATACATAACTTCAACTGCAGGTGAATATTATATACCAATGGATATACAATTATCACGACCCATTAAGATGAGACTGAATGTATGACTTACATGTAGCTGGGGAAGTTTTGTTGGTTCTCCCCGAACACCTCGTCTGTCTTCTGGAACGCCCAGGTGAAGGTCATGGCGTCCTGCGCCGTGATCACGAAACTGCCAAGGTCAACAACATGGAGGTCAGAGGACACTAACTCTTGGTTTTTACATTGTACAAAATCTTGTGTCTGGTAGCTGGGACCCTTTTGGATAATAGTAACAAATTCATATACATCTCCAAAGAACACTATTAGTAAACATTTACTAAACCGGTCAAAATTTCACCAGGGACACACTATTTCACTAGACACACTAAGTACATGCACTCACCTGTACTGCTGCTTGCTTTGGCCACCACTCCAACTTTCTATGACCTTGGTGCCCCGTCCCTCAATTTCCTATGAGAATAAAAGACTTTAACTGTCAGTATTGTCAGTAAAAGAGGTGCCTGATGTAATAATGTCCAGACAATGCCTGACATATTACGAAATTAGAAGAATAACTGAACCATTACTAGAAAAATAGTTGAAAATACTGGTACTAGTACCAGTGCTTAAACATTCTGCTCTAGCACACTCATGAAATTCAACACACTGTTAGAACAACATTTTAGTACAGTTGTATCTACTTCAATGATAATCACTGGAAAACTATACATTTTATTTTTGTTTCTCAAGAAACGTTCTCACCTGCATGAAGAAGAGCTGACACTCAGACTCACAGACAGTGTCAAACACGAAGGTGATGCGGCCAAACTCGCCAGTCGACCCCGGGATCTGGTCACGGTATCCCTCCGTGCGCAGCGCCAGTACGAGATACGCATCGTCGGCATTCCCAACCCCAGAGTGGATGTGATCGCCGGCCAGCTCCCAGCCCCGGGTGGACGCACAGCCACGGACTGGACAGGGGTAAATTTCCATCACTCAACAGGCAGAAAAACACCACCTGCCTTTGCAGGTTAGTGTGTGTGTGTGTGTTTTTTTTTATTTTTATTTACTTCATATTCACCACAAAACAAGGCTCATGGCTCATGGGAGCCACTTAAATGTTTTGGGTTACTGTATAGCCAGTGAGGACAGATGTTTGTTTACCTTAGACTTGAAAAGTTTAAGGTTATACCCATTTGGGAAACAATCACGTGGTAGCTTGTTCCATAGTGATGTTGTTCTAGGAAACAAGCTTTTAGCATGGAACTTCCTCTTAACAGGTGGCAAAATTAAAGCTGGCTAAGTCTTTGATTTTTGAAATGTTTCCCTACCGTGCACACTGATACAGGTCATCTCCATGCTGGCTGGGAGGCTGTTCCACCACTTGTACTGGTGGCTGTAGTTAGGCTCCGTGTTTGGGGGACAGTTCTGACAAGCTGGAGAGGTAAAAAAAACCATCAAGTCCTGATGACAAATTTGCTTACATGTATATATAATGCTACATGTTAATGTCTTAAAAGACGTTTTCCTTACAATTTCTAGTTTAAGCCATACTTCATCAAATATACCAGTACTACCTGTATTTGGTAGTGATGCTAGTCAATTATATGTTGTCTGCATCAATGCAAAAATCCTGCTAAATAAAGTCTAACTTAAAGGTAAAAGAAATGGCTGACAGTAAGGCATGATCAACGAGCCAGTGCACTCACATTGTTCCCCCTCAGAGAACTGGTTTGCGGGGCAGAACTCGCAGACGGTTGCTGTCTGGTTAGGGAAGGCCATGCCGGGGTTACAGGGCGGACACGGCTCCTTGGCTCCTGACGCTGGCAGCTTGACGGCTCCGTTGATGTCATCGCGGCAGATCTTTGGTTCAATCCACTTGTACATCAGCTGGGTCTGAGGGAATTATAGAAAAAAGATATTTTCCTAGTACATGAACGAACATGCTTGCTTTGTGCTATATAGTTGTAATAATGAATCATATTCAAAACTGAATGCAGTGGCAGTTTGTACATGTACATGTAAGTAAGGCTCAGGTCACTAAGTGAAACTGGCACTAGAGATATGAAAAATTATCCAGATTTAGAATGTTAACCCCTATTCCTATAGTACAATGCTAGGGCTTTTCAATCTGATTTAGTGTACCTGCTTGTTCTCATCACATGGAGTGTGTGTCTGAAAGTAGTCCTGGGCTTTACATGGTGGCATCGGGGTACACTGTGCTGCACCAGCCTCTGTGAGGGACAAAAAATCAGGGTCTTTCAATTGCTGTAGACTAATTCCTGATACAAAGTGAGTGAGTAAGTGAGTGAGTGAGTGAGTGAGTCAGTCAGTCAGTCAGTCAGTCAGTCAGTCAATAAATGGTTCAATGGAATCATGTAAACTATATATATTGAGGCAAGGAGTAATGCAGTCAGTATACAATTCAATGAATTTGTTGACTTCATCAAGACACAACAACACAGTCACTGTGACATATTACAGACACGTGACCCAATGTACATGTACATGTAAGCCAGGTTAGTAAAGGTGAACAATACCTGCATACTCAGTGGCATTACAGGCTACACATTCATCTGAACCCTCATGTTCCGCATGCTGGTTACGCGGACATTTTGCACATCTGGAAAGTTAACGCACGACAAAACAAAACCCAGCAAAATTACATTTAATGTCAACACAATATTACACCCTAGGGCTCTTCTGTGGGGGTTCATACAGTTGCACTGAAATTATTTTTCAGCTTATTTCTTTTCATGATTGCTGACGTTTTTTAAGCTGTGTTGACCCTATAATTAACAGGTGAAAAAATATTTTAAAATAATGCTGTCATAAGAATGTAAGATTATTTTCCCATAATTTCAGTGTGCGTAAAATACATGTATGAACCCCATGCAAAGCCCTAATAGTACAATGTATGTAGTAGAAGTTGTGATCTGGACAGAACTGCATTGAATCATTTTTTGTCTGATTTAAGACTGAAAGAGCTTGTAATGTTGGGTTTTGCTCAATGGGTCTGTTTCTGTTTTTATTATCCATGTTGGAAGCAAAACATTGATTCATGAATTTGTTGATTGTGGCATTGATGGGTGGAAGAAATTTGATTGGGTCAAACCATAGCCTGGATTCAACACTTAACTGAACCCTTTTCAGCAGCAAATGTAGAGACTGTCAGTTGGTATTGCTTGTATCTGCTAGATCACAAGTTCTACTTCACAGTTACTACACAGTCTGTAGTCGTGTCACGTTTACCTGAGTAGTGGCTTCTGGGACAATTCTGACATCCCCTTTGGCCTGCCTGGGGCTGGTGGTGATTCTCCTCACAGATCTGACACCTGGAAATGGTCGAGGTGCAGCGCAGCAGGAGAGCAGGACAGGAAAGACAGACATGAGGAA